TTGGTCTGACCCACGGATCAGGTCTTTCTGGTTCCCACGTCGGTTCAATGCCCGTTTAGGCAGACCTATTTAGTTGGCTTCCTTTCATGTATATTATACAGGGATCCAACTGTATTTTACAAATTTAAATGTCCGAAGAACTTCAAATCTATTTAGACTTGCCAATATTGTAACTGTTAAATCTTTTTCTTTCCGCGAACATTCGTTCCAAGTCATCATAAGTCGTGGCGAATACACTTGTCACAACTCAATTACCGAACCTGTTCGGGCCGCGCTGTTTTTCGGGCCGGAAATTGAGTTTGAGGGGTCATTTTGTCAGTCGGCCTCTAGGGTTTTTGTCGGAAATTCACACTTACGCGAATCAGAGATGACACGAGGTGTGATCACGTAGCTACATATGTAGATTTTTTATATTATGGTAGGGTCGGTTGACTTTTATATACAGGCAAATTTGTTTGTCTTTTAGATACAAGCAGGGTCAGTTGATGGCGGTATGGTAGGGTATGGGATTTGAAAGAGCAAAGTAGAGTTGGAAGCGAGAGTTTTGGAGGGTAGGTTAGGGCAGGTATTATGACATTTTAGGTTAGAAGACACTCCAAAACCCTTTATGACACATCACAGTACCAAACACCAGCATATTATGTCTTCTCGATTATTATTATCGTATAAAAGGCGGGGCTGTTCCGTTTTGCAAAACAGCCACCCCTCCCTTCTTTGATTCTTGTTTTTATTGGGCCCGGGAGGGGGGATAAACAGCACGTGTTTCAATAAGGCTTTAATGACTTTGTGCGTATCACTTAAGTCTTTGATTGCTTTCCGTAACATGACACCAGACGCAAAGGTCATACGAGCAATGTATATTTACTTTTTCGATTATTAAATTCTAAGCTTTTGGGCTTTGGTGCCGTGGATCTTCGACCGAATTTGGATGGTTTTTATTGGGCATGGGTGTATTTCAAAAACCTTTTTTTGGGCGTGGGTCTATTTAGAAAAAAATGAAAGAAACAGTTTTTATTTTTGGGGAGTAGGGCATAGACAAGGATTTAAGCGAGGCTTCATGCTTGGGCTGGGCCGAGTTAGGCTAGGCTTCTTTGGGCTGTGCTCAGCTGGGCTGGGTAAGTTTGACTAGGGCTAGGGCTAGGGCTAGGGCTAGGGCTAGGGCTAGGGCTAGGGCTAGAGCTAGAGCTAGATTTAGGATTAGAGCTGGTGTTAGGGCTGTGGCAATGTTTTGTAAAGTTTAAGATATTTATTTCAAAGATCTCCCCGCTCACCTCAATCTACCTCAACATCCCTTTTCTTATAAAGTTGATCTTGCGCTTGTTTATTTATTTTTTATTTGATCCGTCATTTCTTGATGCACTCTTTTTTGATCTTTAAAAGTCTCCGAAGTTTAAAATTACAGATTTTGAAAGCATTTGCTCGTAAATACTGGTTTCTTTTGTTCAAATTGAAAGAAAAGGTTTTGATTACTTGATCTTGGGTTTGATTTTGAAATGTTTTGAAACATGTTTTTGAGTTTATTGTACTTGGAATGTTTAAATTGTATCTTGTTTCACTTATTGGTGAAAGGCATGTTTTAGAAGTTAGTGTTAAGGTTTGTTATGTTTGAGGGTATGGTAGAATCTGAGGAAGAGTGATGGTTTTCGAGCAGTGTGGAGTTTTAGGTTTGAGGTTTGGTAGGACTAGGGCTCAAACTAGGGCTCAAACTACGGCTTCGACTAGTGCTTAGACTAGGCTCAGGCTAAAGCTATGGCCAGGGTTTAGCTTAGTGATCAGTCTAGGCCAGGGCTTAAGGTAGGTTATATGCTAGGGCTCAGTTTAGGTTTTCAAGTTCAAGCTAGGACTAAGGCATAGGCTAGGACATGCGTACTGCTCAGGCGGAAACTAGAGCGCGGGTAGTACGCCTAGTGCTTAATCTAAGGCTCCACCTATGGCTCATTTTAGGATCCAGGCTAGGGCTCAAACAAGGGTTTGATTTGAGACATTTTTAGCGGATAGGGCAAGAGCTAGGTCTAAATTTAGAGCAAGGACAGAATTATCTTTCTTAAAATATTTCTACTTTTTATCGTTTCTATAGTATGTACTTAAAAATGACGTAATCTTTTCTACAGTACTGTACACGTAAAAATCCTTTAAAGACTTAATAAGTTCATCTTTCTAATGTTGTTGGACTTGTTATTTTATTTTTGTATTTTTAGAACGCAACGGACGTAAGTTCTTTAAGCTGTAAAGTGTTTATTTACCACTACTGCCTAAACAAAGTTATTTATTTATAACTCAAATTACAACTTAACATCTGTTCCTCGTATTTTTGGAGCGTTCGGTCGAATTACATGGTCAAGGATTAAGTGGCAGTAAAAATTCAATTTTTTTCAACTTTATTAAATTTCAAGGTTTGGGGTTTTGATAACGTTTTTTGAAAAAGCCTTGTCGTCAATTTCTATTTTTTTTTCACAGTAAAAAACGACAAAATTTTTTTTGACGTGCTAACACAATGCTTGTTCATATAATCTTGTGTCTCCTCTCAAAGCATGTTTTTTGCGGCGCAGTATTATTTGAATATCCTAATAAAAAAAGTACGTTCCGAATTATACAGCACGTTTCAACTCCAAAAAACTTTGACCAAAAAAATTTTTTAAATTTTGGTACACTTGGAACTGTTTTTTTCTTAATTTTCAAAATTTTAAATATTTTTTAAATAAAAATTAGGTAAATTATTTTTGATACTTTTTTTTCAATTTTCATTGAAATTCCATCAAAATTTGACTTTTTTTCGAAAAGCCTTTGAAGAGAAAAGTAATGTGAAAGACTTTTAATGAATATTAATCCCTTTGACGTCATTCCCTAATTAACCTGACCTCTTTGTCGTAAAAGACGACATTTGGCCGCTTTTCGAATCGAACGGCCGCTTTTCGCGAATGGCCACTGATAAACAGGTCAGTTTTATATTATAGTTACAAAGGGGTTGTGGTTAATCAATAAAGTTAGATTTTTTTATTTTTGGTTTTAAAAAACGAAAATTTAAAGAAATTAAGGTTAGTTATAGGAAAATAGGCTTATTTCTTAGAGTTTGAAATGATGTCTATGAAGAATAACTACTTCTAAGAAGATGGACCCATTTGTTAGAAGGTGGCACCTTTTACAAGTATTTGGCCAATTTTTAGAAAGGTGGGGCTTAGTTTAAAAAGATAGGATCATTTATAAGAAGTTGGAGCCATTCCTAAACAGATAGGATTATTCATAAAGAGAGTGGGATTATTTTTAAGAAGATGGGGCCATTTCTAATAAAACGGGACTATTTCTACATAAAGTGGGACCGTTTCCAAGCAGATTGAACCATTACTAAGAAGATGGGACAAATTTTTAAATAACGGGATTAGTTTTGAGGAAAATGGGATTATTTTTGAGAAGATCGAACCATTTCTAAAACGATTGGACCACTTCTAGGAAAATCGAGCTAATTTTAAGAAAGTGGGACAATTCCTACGAAGACGGGATCATTTTTAAAACGAAGAGGCAATTTTTAAGAAAACGGTACTATTTCTGAGAAGATTAGACTATTTCTAACAATTGTAAGAAGATTGGACCACCTCTAAAATAAAAAAATGGGACTAACCTTAAGAAAGTGGGACGATTTATAAGAAGTTGGCTTCTTTTTTAATACGATGAGGCTATTTCTCACCTAATTGGACTTTTTATAAGAAGATGGGACCATTTATAAGAATGTGTCATTATTTTTATGAAGTTGGTTACAGATTAAGACTAATTTTAAGAAGGTCATACTGTAATTAAAACGTAAAATGAATTTTCTGCTTAAAATTAGCTTTTAAAATGGTACCAACCGTAAAGTACACCCTTTTTAAAACTACTTTTCTTTTTTACCCTTTGGTCATAAATTTAAACCTTCACCCCTCCCTTCACCTCCTATAGCCAAAATTCGAAAAGTTCAAACACGAATTCACTCAAGAATTGACGGTTCAGTTTTGTATTTGTTTACTTGTCTAGTGCACAATTTACAGCCGGAAATTAATGCAAATGCATAAAAAAGGATGGCCGTTCGGTTGACTTTGGTTTGTTTGATAGACTTCCTCATAGCGACAGAGTTTGGCGGGGTCAGGACAACAAAGCAAAGATAGAATCGTGGAAGGATTCTTGAGGTGGTTTTGTTTTGAAAGGGGGGGGTTTGAAAATGATTTTTTTAATTAAAAAGGGCAGGGTATGGTATGACAGAATAGGGCTGGCTATGGTTCAGTATAGATTTAAAAATGCTTTTTAATGTAGGCTATGGTAAGACAAGGTGGGGCAGCGTAGGACGGAGCAGAACATGGCAGGGCAAAGTAAGGCAAGGTAAGGAAAGGCAAGGCAGAGCAGGGCTGGGCAGGGCAGGGCTGGGCTGGGCTGGGGTGGGCTGGGCTGGGCTGGGCTGGGCTGGGCTGGGCAGGGCAGGGCTGGGCTGGGCTGGGCTGGGCTGGGCAGAGCAGGGCAGGGCAGGGCAAGGCAAGGTACGATACGGCGGGGGAGTATTATATACTCTACGGTAAAAAAATTCATATACTTTAAATACCTAAAATTACTCTGCCACGTTCTGACCATCTCTTTGCTTCTTTTTTCGAATCAATTGTAAAAGATGTGCCCTGAGGGCACATAACATTCAAATTAGTTTTATGGCCTTTTGTTCGCGAGTAGTTTAACGTCTACTTTAACATCTTCTTTGCGGGAAAACGTCAGATAATAGGCTTAGGAATAGCAGGGAGTAGACAATAGTTTAGATTTCAAATCTTTTAAATTTAAAAATTTTTTGATTATTTGAAAAAATGTTTATTTAAAGTGATTTAAGATTTTTGAAAAAAATTCTTCGATTTTTTAAAAATTTTTCGAAATTTTTTTTGGTGTTCCTACTATGCCAACGTATACCATTTTATAGTACGTGCTTAAAACAATACACTAGACAAATCCCAGCTCCCGTGTTTTACCTAAAACCCTCTATTTTTCAGTTTAAAATGGGGAATGACTCCTCGAAACAACAGCTTCACCCCAACCCTCGAGGCGTTCATCGACGATTATCGACCGATTCTGCTCGTCGCTACAAGACCAGTCTACAAACTCCGACCGTTCAAGTGTCGGCTTCATGTTCTGATGGATTTTTAAGCCCATCATCAGCACCAAGTGACAATTCTATAGCGACTACACCTTCACGACCGTCAGTAGAAGGCCATGCCGAGATCTCGAGGTCACGGTCTGGCTCGGCGTGCTCGGAACGCTCGAATAGTATCAAGAAGAAACATCCGATCACGTTGAAGAATAGACAACTTATTCAGGTGGGTCTTGGGGAACGGTGAGGGAAAGGGGATGATAAAGTATGGTGCGGTAGGGTGGTACAACAGGGTAAGGTAGATCAGGGTGTGTAAAGGGGGTAGGTTTTTAAATAAGGTAGGCTAGGGTAGCAGGGACGCCGTTTGGGGGTGGTTCGGAGCCGATCCGAAAAAAAAATCAGTGGACCAAAAAAAATTTTTTGGGTCTCCACCCCCAGAGAAAAACCGTAGCGACGTTCCTGTAGGGTAGGGCAGAGTAGGGTACGGTTGGGTAGATTGAGGTAGGGTTGCTGAGGGTAGGTTAAGATATGTATGATGACATGATACAGGGCAGGGTAAGGTCAAACCTAAGCTACAGCTGCAAAAATTCCAAAAATTCAAGACATTTTTCAAGCTCAAAAATCACAAAAGTGCACGACAATCATTACTTACCTCCATCACGACACCGCCAATTAACCTTAATCAAGCGGATGTTTTTCCATCTGTTTATACCTAAATATAACTTATAAACAGATTGAAAACACACTCATCCCTGATGTGTTAAAATCCGGCTGCAAAAACAAATTTGCTCGAAAAAGTTGGGAACGATTACGTAACGTTATTTTAAGCACGTTATGTTGTTTTTGTTGACACACGACCACGACTTTGCTACAGCATTCATTAGCTGACGCTTTTGGATTTTGTAAACAAGGGTCGGGAGAGCATTACAGTAATATCTTGAGGGACTGTATTTTTATAAAATTGAAGGTTTAAAATTTTAAATTTGCAAAAAAAATTAATTTTTGTTTGTGTTTTTACAATTTAAAAAAAATAAAAAAAATATTTTTGTAAAATTACAGGAATTTGCATTATCAACCGGCTAGAGCTAGGGTCAGTACAGCAACATAAGAATTGAAAGTAAAGTAGATATATGGTGGGACAGGATAATATACATAGATCAAGGTGACTTAGAACTAGAAATTATGCTAATGCTAATGCTAGGGCTAACGTTAGGGCTAAGGCTAGGGCTATTGTTAGGGCTAGGGCTAGAAAGTTAGCCTACTGTAAAAGTATACGTCTTTACATATTTAATCGTATACGTTCTTTCAACTGACATCACGATGTTTATATCACTTGTTTTCGCATTTAAAACTTTCAAATTAGGAAAAGAACTTAGTTATGCATTAATTGTGTTTGAAATTTTAAGTCGACTTTAACTGTTTTGACCTCATACTTAATGGCATTTTAAATATTTTGCAGCACTTATACGTACTTGTTTTGGCATGATTAATATGTAAACGGCACAAGGAAAAATTTTAATAATTTTCAAGATAAAAAAAATTTAAAGAAGCAGACCCAGTTCAGCTCTAGCTTTAAACCTAGCTTTAGCCTTAGCCCTAGCCCTAGCCCTAGCCTTAGCTTTAGCCTTAAACCTAGCTTTAGTTCTAGGTTTATGCCTAGTCCTTATCCTAGCTCCAGCCCTAACCCTAGCCTCAGCTTGAGGCTTAGCAATGAACCTTAGCCTCAGCCTTAAGGCCTTATCTTTAACTTTAGACATAGCTATTATATAAGCTTGAGTTTTATTATTAGGCTAGTTCTATTTCTAGCCTTAATACGAACCTAAAGCATAAAAAATTTTAGTTTTATAAAATTTTTAAATTTAAAAAACAAAATTTTTACATTAAAAATCTTAAAAATTCAATTTCAAATTGTCATTTCAGAGTTGCTTTCAAAATCCGCACGAGATCGTCGGCAAGAAGATAATCAAGCGAACGGCCGAGAAACGCACAGATTTTGGTGGATTTTACGTGAGCCTAACGTCCGAACAGAAGGAAGACCTGGAGACTGGCATCAAATTGTTACTCAAAAAGTCGGTGGCAAATATCGACTTTATGGATGAGGTTTGTCATTTGATATATTTGTTTTTAACGGCTAGTTGAGAGAATTTTCATAAAGACTAGACTAGGAAAAACAATAATATATTATTATTGATCTTGAAAGTTTGTGGAAAAATGGCAAATGTTTATTATAAAAGTTGAAAATAATGCAGAAAATTTGTAAAAATAAAGAAATTTGTACAAATTTAATTTTTTTTGCGTGAACATGAATTGGCACAATTTCCAATAATTTTTGTGACATTTCGTCTTTTTTATTAGTCTTATAATGAAATTGAAAAAATATTAAAAAATGTTGTTTGATTAAATCGGTTTGATGTATGCTCCGTATTTTACAATTTTTTGTACTTTACAAATTTAGTACAATTTCCAATAAGTTTGTGGCATTTCGTCTATTTTCAAAATTGTGCAGAAAATATTAACAAAAAGTTAAAAGGTAGTAAACCAGTAGAGTTTAAAAGGGCATATAAACATGACCAATAATTTTTGTGACATTTCGTCGTTTTATCATTTTTTTTTAAGTTTTGAATTATAACTTAGGTAAAAGGTATTAAAACTAGTAAAGAAGAAATTTCGTTTTCGTATTTTACAAAATTATAAATATTTTTTGGGAGTTATAACACTTCTTTTCCCAATACTTTTATTGACATTTCGTTTATTAAAAATTTTTTAAAGTTGTTTAATACCAAAAAATGAATAAAATTGAGCCTGAATCTTAAGTTAAGTTATGAAAGAAAAAATATTTTATGCACCCTACGTCTTACCCTATCCTATTCTGCCCACCTACCTATAAATAATTTTAAAAACCTATATCATTAAATGGTCTTATTTTAGGTAGAACGCCTAGCCCAAGAGTTTGGTCTAAGGTTAGTGACATTCCGTTCAGCGGGCTTCAAAGCCGATTACTTTGCCGCAATAGCTGATTCAACTATTACTGAATGCACGTTTTTGGACAATGCTGTTCATCCAGCACATCAGACCTTGCAGGCTTTTTCACAATTTGTTGGGATTGTAAGTTTTGACAACGCTTCAAGTCGTATTTTATCATATAGGTTTTTGTATTTTTCTATTTCGGCGACCGTGTTTTACTATCCTGAGCCACATCGATATTTTAAGCATAACCTTTTGCGAGGTTTAGCGCTAGGCTCTGGCTAAGGCTTGTGCTTGAGCTGAGATGAGATGGCTTACGGCTTAGACAAGGGTTTTTCATCTTTTCAAAAATTTTAAAAATTTTAATTTTTTGGGAACGACATTTGGCTGGGTTTTCCGCCCTTTAACTGTTTGTTTTTCGTCTTTTTTGAAGGAATTTAATCTGCTTCCTTGTTCTAAAAGGACACGGATTTATATTATACTTTGTGCCTTTTTGAACAAAAGGGTGAAAATTCAAAAAGTAAAAAAAAAACAGTTCTGTATAACGAATTGCTCGGGGTCTTGAAATTTGTTCGTTATAAATGAGTTTTAAATGCACCGTGTGGTGGTAGAAGAGGACTTAAAAGTTGTTCGTTATACGGAAATTTTGTTATAGAGGAGTTTCTTATAAAGGAGCTCCACTGTATATTTAAAATTATAATTCAAAAACTTTTAAAAAATAGCTCTATGTCTAGCCATAGCTTTGACCCATGCTTAACTCTAACAATATCTCTGCCTTGACTTAGCCTTACAGTTTACTCAAGTCCTAACTCTAACCCTAATGGTAAACCCAGTTTTAGCTTTAGTTTTAACCCTTGCTCTAGTCTAGGCTCTAGCTTTTGGTGTTTACCTACTCTTGTAGTACCTTTGCTCTATCCTCGTCGTACTTCGAGTCATCTTGAGATAGACGTATCTTGCCTAGCCTTAGCCTTGTTGAACTCTTGTTATACAGTTGCCTTACTCGCACTTTATGTTTGCTCTGCTCTTTCTCGACTTTCTTCGAACCTGGTCCTATCCCTAGCCCTAGAGTACTATATATTACCCTATCACAAGAAGAAAAATTTCCAAATTCCAGGTATTCACCTCAGTCCGCAACGGCTTCTACAATGAAATGCGACGTCAACGTCGTGCCTCTCATTCATTCTCTTCGGGCCAATCTATAGCTCTTGATCGGCGGCCGAAACTTTCGATTTCTGGCCCATCCGCTAGTCCAAGCACAAGATCCAAAATGCTAAATGAATTTTGGTCGCCACAAGTTTTGGTGAACGGGAACCAACAATTCTTAAACACACCTCAAGATGCCTTCTACTGAATCTCATTCCTCCACAATAACTGTGTAAATCAACTTGTATAGTGTTTATGACAGAAAAATGTATTTAATTTCGTATTTTATAAAGGTTTTAATAATTACTGTAATAAAATCTTACTGTATATTTTAATTTTTCGGGAATTAAAAAATTTTGGTAGGATAGGGTAAAAAAAAAGCATAGCAAGGCAGGGTAGGTTGGTAGGGTAGGGAAGGGCAATACAAAACAGGGTATGGAAGGGAAAACCTGATATGGTATGGTAGGGTAGAGAAGAAAAGGATAGGGTAAAAAATCAATAACCGTACCTAAATTTCAAATTTAAAAAATGAAATTAAAAAAATAAAAAATTTTAAATTTTATGCAAATCTTTGTTCTTTTTTAAATTTCAAAACGTTCTTCACTTTCTTGAAAAATTTTGAAAACGAGTCAGTTGATTACCTTGAATTGTCAGCGACTGGTCGATTCGTGTTTTGTCTGTCAAGCACATCAATTTCGGTGAGTTTTTTCTTCTGTACTACGTATGTAGTACTATTTTATGAGTATCTTTTTACTTTTTTATGCTTTCTCATCCCCTCCTTTCTGCTTTTACCACCACCCTCATGAAGTTTTTACCACACTCACCCTTTAGGATGTTTTATACGATTTTGAACCCCCCCCCCCTTTTTTTTTCCTTTCTACTACCCCGCCATGGTCAATAAAAACGCATTTTCAGATTAACCCGCCCATCAGATCAGCCGAACCATGTCCAGAACGCCAGGAACGTCGCGCGCTTCGAAAGGCAATAAGAACCGCCGCAAGTCCAGAACCGTGACCGAGTCGTCCCAATCGCTCGATGTGAATGCCAAAACGCCCGGAGTTCGACGACGTGGAAGTTCGGCCAAGTTGGAGGACGATGGCACTCAAATGGAGAACCAGAAATCCCATGCCAAGTCCAAGGTTGGGTCGGTTCAGAAGACGGTTGGAGGGGTAGGTAGTTTTTATAATATTTAGTATTAGGTTAGCTGGTATAGGGGGCTTTTGATGTACAGTGTTACTCTTTTGTAATGAATTGTTTGAGGATATTAAAGTTGTTTGTTATATTATAGTTTGTTTATATTAGGGTTTGACTGTTCAACGAAAATCTTAGTTTTTTAAGCCTAAAATCTATTTTTAAGCTTAAAATATATTTAAGTTGTTAAGTCTAAAATAGGTTTTTTCAAATTTTTTAGTTTTTAAAGAACCAAGAAACGTCCTCACATAACGTTGGCGTTCTGTAGCAAAAATCAGGCCGTTTGATATTCGATTCTTCCGCAAAAAGACCTGAGCAGATCAGTCTCGAATTGGTAAAGCCATTTGTGAATTCAAATTGAGACCGACCGCTAAAATTTTTTGAGAAAAACAATTTTTATTCATTTTTTAAATATCTTCTTTGTTTTCTAAGCCTAAAATAGGTAGTTTAGGTTAGGCTATTTTTTCTTTATTTTTTTCTAATTTGATGAAACCTAACTTACTATTTTTAAATTTTTTAGGACAGCGAGTACTATCACAAAGCTCTGCACGACTTTGTGATGGAAGCAGTGAAGGTTGGGCCAGTAAAACTGGCAGCAGATTTCACCGCCACTCGCCTGGCCATGCCGAAGAACTTGCCTAAAACGGCATTTTTGGCTAATCCGACTAAGAATCGGTACAAGGATGTCTTCTGTCTGGATCAGAGTATTGTGAAGTTGACTTGGCCGGCAGACGATCCAAACGACTACATCCATGCGAACTATGTCCCAATTGAAGGTAGGGGTGGATTTTTTTTGGATTTTGGGTTTTGAATTTGGGTGGGGCTAGGAATTTTTTTTAAATTTAAAAATTTTGAATTTTATTAAATTTGAATTTTTTTTTAAAATTTGTAATTTTGTAAATTTTGATTTTTTTTTTTGAATTTTTTAATTAATTTTGAAATTTCAGACCAGAAAAAGTACATTTGTACTCAAGGCCCCACCGAGAAGACAGTCATCGACTTTTGGCGGATTATTTGGCAGGAGAAGTGTAAGGGGATTCTGATGCTGACAGAAGTCATGGAACAAGGCAAAAAGAAGTGCGAACAATATTGGCCAACCAAGCTGGGCGAAGAAGCCGAATATGGACCAGTAAAAGTCAAGGTCCTAAAGATCCTCACCCCCGAGGACCATCTACACTGCACCCGTCTTGAAGTATCGGCGGAGGACTCGACTCTGACGGTGGAGCACATGTTATGGAAGAACTGGCCGGATCGAGGCGTGCCCAAAGAGTATTTGAGCTGCTTTCGTATGATTCGTAAGATGACTCAGTACGTCCCGGTCGTGGTGCACTGTTCCGCGGGAATCGGTAGAACCGGTACGATTGTGGGTCTGGAGATGATGGACAACAAGTTGCGCAAAGGGGAAGTATGCCCACTTTCTGATATTGTCGCGGAGTTGAGAACTCATAGACACGGAAGCGTTCAGACTATGTTCCAGGTAGGGGTTTGGCTTGATTTTTTGGGGGTTACGAGGAGTGATATGTTTGAAATGGTATAAGTTATTGTATAAAGAAGGTTTTTCATTAGTAGGGTATGGTGGAATAAGGTAGGAAGGGTAGGGAAGAGTAGGGTACGGAAGGGTAGGTTAGGGTGCGGTATTGTAGGGCAGGGTATGATAGTATTATACCTACTATAATATCTTTTTTTTTCAGTTTCTCTACATGCACAGGACCCTAATGGAGCTGGCCGTGAACAAACGAGTCGTGGCCAAAGATGAACTTAAGGACTTTTACGAAAAGTATGAAGTGATCATCAACAAACAAGGCGCCAGTTGAATGTTCTTGATCCACTCTTCTCACTCTCACCGTATCCAACTAACCGTTCCACTGGTCGAGCATTTGATGTGTAAATAAATTCTTTTTTTATCGAATGGGCATGTTGTTGTATCGTACTATTTAGTATAGAACTTGTGTCAGATTTGGAAAGAACAGGGAAGAACTGTGGCTATGGTTTTAGCGCTAAGGTTTTACTAATCTTGAGGCTAATGGTTAGGGCGAGTGCTAAGGTTGGGGCTAAAGTTTAAGCTAGAGTTTAACCTAGGGCTAAAACTAAGAATAAAGTTAATAGTAAGGGTAAGTCTATAGCTAAGACGAACTTTGAGTTAAACTTAAGCCTAACAACATGTTTGAGCTGGACTAGTCTGCGTTGGTCGAGCTAGGAATAGAGCTAGAGCTAGAACTGGAGCTAAAGTTAGAGCTAGGGCTAGACTAAGAACCATGGATAGAGCCAGTCATTTTTAGACCTATTAATGATACTTGCAAAACATTAGATTTTTATTACGTTGCAATAAAACTAACTGTGCTATTATAACATTGAGTACCAATAAAATTGTTGGGGTTGTTTTGACATAACAATAACAAAAAATACTTAAAAATTAATTACTCAAACATTAATTGCCTCTTTCTAACTCCAAATATGTTTGCGTTGAGGTATTTAAGCAGTTTTTTGAGATGGGCGAGAGTGAAATGACAAGTTCAACTGCTTGTGTCACACTACTTAAGTATTTTTTATAGGGGTTCTATTAGGAAAGGTGATCAAAAAGCTGTCATTTTAAAGAGGGTGTCACACTAATGAGCGTTATTCAATAGAAGAATTACTGTTTTACGTTTATGTTATTATTGATGTCATTGTTGTTTTACTTTGTTACGGGTTTTACAGTTTACGTTGTTTATTGTTATGCTACATTACTTACAAACTATGGCTACGGAAAGGTCAGGATAAGGCAAAAGTAAAACGAGAATACGTATGTTAAAGTAGGATAAGATACTGTAGGATGTGGTGAAAGGTAAAACTAGCGTAGAGTAGGGTATGATAAAGTATGGTAGGGTAGGATGGTATAAGGTAAGATAGAGTAGGGTAGAATAGGATAGGTGTAGAAAGATTAGTCTTGCCAGGGTTAGATCAAAGTGTAATAAAGGTATAACTCAAGACTTCAACTTAATATAACGTTACAAATAATACGAAAATCACAATACGAAAGATTTATTCAAATCAAGATTAAACATATACCGAATATGCTGCAAAGAGACCGATCGGCGGCCAAAAGATGAGACTTGATGAACGAAGAATTGACCGATCGGCGGTCGTTCGAACGAGAAGACTGAATGTAAAATGAGAATCGGATTGAAATGATTCAATTTATGCAAATTGAATCCGATCCGACTACAATAGGGTAGGGTAGGCTGGGGTATTACAGGATAGAGTAGGGTAGGTTAGGGTACGGTAAGGTACGGTAGGGTAAGGTAGCGTAGGGTGCAATACACTACGGTGCGGTGGGCTAAATTAGAGTAGGCTAGAGCAAAATAAGGCAAAAGATGCCTATATTTTTCTAAAAATACTAGAATATACGCCATTTATTCAACGTAAAATTCCTTAAAATGAGGTAGATAAATATATTGAGCATAGGTCGTGGATCCAAATCCTATTACAATTCAATCAGCTGAGATGGTACCTTCTCAGATGCTTGAGACATGGCGCTGGTGGGATTAGCTTCTGATCTGACGCTAGAGTTCGATTTGCGGTCCTTCTTTTTGGTTCTCTCCATCTCGGTTCTGCCCATGATTGATTTCTCCTTCTTGGACTTGTCCTTGTTCGACTTGTCCGCCTTCGACTTTTCCGTCTTGGACTTGTCTATCTTTGACTCGGTTTTCGACTTTTCCTCCTTTGAAATGGCATCTTTCTCTGGCTTTCCTCCTTCGTTCGTTACTGATACTGATATGTCTTCGGTCTTGGGCTTGTCTTTGCCCATCTTCTTACGGATGTAGACCAAAGGCGGGAATGGTACACGTTGACATACAAAGTAGTAGACGCAAAGACCAACCACAAAGACTAAAATATGAATAATTTGTTAAACTTGACTTAATGTTAGAGCGAAAAGTTTTTGAAAAACTTGACTCAAAACAAAACGTTTTTGTAAAACTTGACGCAAAACAAAACTGTAATAAAAAATACAAAAATAGTCTTTTTCTAGCTTATCTCCAAAGTATAAAACACTTACGCACGCCCAAAGAAACACCCACAATTACTGCAATTCGAATGATCCACTCGTTTCTCATACCCCAGGAAGGTGCTCTGAAAAAATCGTTTTATTGTAACAGTGTTATTGGTTTGTTCACATAATTCTGTGCTCCTTCTTAAAGCAAATTTTTGAGGTAAGAGAGCTCAGAATTTTTTGAACAACCTATATTATCTTACCTACATATTATAGTATAGGCGTTATCAAAGAGCAAAAATAGGTTGTTCAAATAATTCTGTGCCCCCTTTCAAAGCAATTTTTGGAAGTTATGGGCTTAGAACAATTTGAAAAATCGAATATTATAGTAATTACATATCATATCCGATTGTTCAAATAATTCTGTGCCCCCTCTAAAATTAACGTTTTGGTTTTAAGGGAACATAATTATTTTAACAACTTTATATGAACCATGATATGTAACCATAGCTATGAAACACTTTAGTTTTGAAAAAACTTACTCTTTCAAAGACAAAATAAGATGAGTTTCTTCCTCATTTTCGACCGCTGTGGCTCCGAGCGCGTAAGCATTTCTCTAAAACAAGATCATTTTATACCATACCCTACTGTACTCTACCGTACCCTACCCTATTTTACCCTAAACTACCCAATTCTTCACACTGTAACTTTGCAAAACTTGTCCTCTATCTTACATAAATATTTTTTGCCTTACCGTACGTTCATACTGTATCCTGTCTTGTCTTGCTCAACGCTATCTTCAAATTCTAGTCTTTTTACTTTATCATACCCTGCCTTATCTTAAACTGCGGTAAGGTGCCCCGTCGTATCGTAACTCAACTACCTTACTCTTTATTTTGTTCTACCCTATTGTACCGTACCGTACGTTACTTTACGTATCTTACCCTACCTTTCCGAACTTCACCCTAATTTACCCTACCCTACCCTACTTTACCTAACCCCACCTTTAAAACATCAAAAAACCCCAAAAACTCACGCCAGAAAGATACAGCTCCATGTCGGGTGGGCATGGTACAGTTTCCAAAAGAGTACCGTTCATAGCTCGACAGTTTCCTCTGCCCAGCCAAAGGTGACCACTCTTGGTGTAGCCATACTTTTTCTCACACAAATCGAAGTCGACATTGGTAACGTTCTTGCCTGGATCCGTCTGTCCGAGACCTCCTCCTTCAATTACCAGAGTGCCCAACGTGCCACTACAATACTGAACGAGTAGAGATCGGTTCAGGGAAACGTAGATCGGATCCGAACTTTCAGTGACGTGGATGAATGAGGGTAATCCGGCGCCATACAGTTTTTCTCTAAAAAATTATGATTCTGGACTGTTTTAATAAGAAATGTCACAATGTCTTTTTGAAAACAAAGGATACGCCCTCTCGTCTTTACTCTAACTAGGGAATTGCACCAAATATCCCTCGGCTTTTTGAACGAGACCTATATAGGATGAAAAAGCATAATAAGTTACCGAGAAAACGGTTTTTAAAAACTGCTAAATGAAATTGGCTAGCGAGTTACAGAATGCCCTATATCCTTATATGTTTACAAGGTATAGCTTTAAAGTTCGAAAAATGATATTTTTTGATAATTATTTTTTTTCTAAAAGTGTCTAAAAGCAAAAAATACGACTTAAAAAATATTTTTTTAATCAAAATATTGTTTGGCTAACCAAAACTTCTTGTCAGTATAGCTGGGCACCAAAATAAAACCAGGAGGTTCGAACTTCCCCCCTTCTGCACCCCAGACTAACTGGTTGACCACTCGGCCACACTGGATTAAAAGCTTTAACCCATCCGTTTTGCTCAAGACAAATGAGAAGAGTCACATAGGAAACCCTATGTAAATCCTTTAATCGCTAATAACTCGCTAGCCAAATCTATTTAGCAGTTTTTGAAAACCGTTTTCTTGGTAACTTTTTATGCTCTTTCATCCTATATTGGTCTCATTCGAAAAGCTGAGGAATATTTGGCAATTCCCTAGTAAGTACGCCACAAACTTTTCTTAAACCTCTGTACCTTTGTATTCTACAAGCCAAAATCGCCCTCCATTTACAATAACAAACGTTATCAAAGTGAAAAAATTGAAAAAAAACATACACTCCGGCTTCACTTGTAGCCATCTTCACGATTGGAGTTTCAAACTTCAAGAACAACTGTTTCAGCTCTGTAGTGTTGCCTCCGAAATTGAACGTGAAGTTTCTGAAAAAATTGGATTAGCTGAATAGTATTTGGATTATCTAAAGCATAATATTGATCCCAGTGGCACCCCTAGTCAAGCCTCAAAACAAAAAAAATTCAGAAACATTGCTTGACCTATCTCTTCTCCTCTTTCTCCCCGTCTAGCCCAAAACAGCCCGTTTAACTATGCTCATCGAGGTTAAACTTAAAAAAATACTTTTTGTCAAACACCCCGCTCCCTTTTTTTTCCAGTTCGCTATAACAAGTCCAACTTACTTAATTGCTAGAGTTTCGGGTTCGCTGTATTCACACAATCTGTACGCTTCTTGACCCATCGCTGAACCCTCCAAATTGTACTGAAGGAAAGTGATACACAGCTGACGGTCTGAGCTATCGTACTCGAATAACCTGAGGGGAAAGACGGAATCGAAAGCTGGTTTCAACTCGGCCATAGTGATGTTTCGGAAGCGACCAGTTTCGGTCCAAGCAAAAGGAAAATTATGCTTGAATTTTTAAAAAATTTAAAAAAAGTTTCAAAATTATCAAAAAAAAACGTGGAAATTTGAATAAAACATTTTTCAAAATTTTCAAAATTTAATTTTTAAATTGTGGTAGGAGGAATAGGTATAGCAGGATAAGATAAGTTAAGTAAAATGTAGTAATTTAAGGTAGAGTAAAAGCAGAATAGGACAACGTATAAGCAGGGTAGAAAGAAGTAAAAAGCAGGGTAAGGTAAAGTGGGGTAAAAGCAGGAAGGGCGAGGTAAAAGCAGAGTAGAACAAGATATGTAAAAGCAGGGTGGAGCGGGATAAGAGCAGGGTAAGGCAAGGTAAAAGCAGTGTAGGACAATGTAAAAGAAAGGTAGAGCGGATGAAGTGTAAGGTAAAATAGTTAGGGAGAGGTAAAGTTGAATGGTGTAGGGTAGGGCAGAGTATAGCAAGGTAGGGTGGGGAAAGGTAGGTAATAGTAGAGTAGAGTGAGGTATTGTAGGAAAAGGTGAGTATAAATAGGGTAGAGTAGGATAGGGTAAGGTAGGGTAGCGTAGGGTAGGGTAGGGTAGGGTAGGGTAGGGTAGGGTAGGGTAGGGTAGGGTAGGGTAGAGATTAGTTCTTACCTATATATAGGACTCTACAAACTACATTACAATTGTCATCGAAATTATGATGCCGATGTCGTTTTTGTAGTTTATAGGCAACCATGTGAGGCCCTAATGTAAAATTTAATTTGCCAGGTGCAATTTCTATTTATTTGCCAAGGCGTTTCCTTTCTTCTAGTCAGAGTTAATTTAAATTTTTGTTTGTGGCGGAATTAAGCTCAAGGCTTAATTTAATGTCTTCATACGTAGTTAAACGTCTTTTTGAGTTTGATGACTAATGTCATGGGTTTATGGAGTTCAGTAGGCTTAGTATCTACATGTTTACGTGTTTTGTTGCATGCTGTAAGCACTTCAACATATATAAATATATTTTTGAATGACTAGGTCTAGTAAAGTAAGGCAAGTTAAGTACAATAAGTGGAACAAAAAGTAAGGCTATAGCAATGGCTAGCCTTTCTCTAACCCTTGCTTTAGGTTATAGTAGGATTACAACAAGCTAAAGTAAGGTAGATTAGACTATGTTAGAGCTGGGGTTAGAGCAGGACTAAACCAAATCATTGGCGTTTTAGTAAAATAAGGCCAAGGAAGGCTAAAATAAAGCAAAAAAATTTTTAGTGTTGCTTTTATCTACACTTTCTAGACGTTTTGCTTCATTAAATGTGAAGAGCGTTAACATACATTAGCTTCTTCCAACCGGGAAGTAGACCAATGTTTGCCAATGATCCGTAGCCATACTATGGCCTTTTCTGAACGTACAGGCGTTTTTTAAAATTTTTACATTTCAACAAATAGCTAGACTTATTAGGTAAAACTTTCTTTCAATGATAAGTTTTTGTCGTTTAACTTACGCTCATTAGTTTTAAAAGTTGTTTACATGTTTTCTAAAGTATCTTGCGTATATACATTTTCGTAGTTTGTTGTAGCTTAAAGTATGTTTTTTCTCTACTTTTTATGATGACAGCTGTAATTACACATAACATTTTGTTAAAAAATACTTGTATGTTCGTTTTTTCATTTTACTACTTCCCTTTACATAACCGTATTTTACAGAAATTATGGATGAACCAAAGTTACCACCAAATTACTGCCCATTAGCAGACGGCAAAACTGGATTTTTGCACGTTTTGATGACGAGAACGTTACTGATATATCACGCAATTGGAAAAAGTACACGACTTTTGGGAATTATAAGAGTTGTGCGCGTCGCAATTTTGTTGAGTCTTGGTAAGGAAAGTACATACAAATCTTGTATCACATACTAACATTACATTAAGAAGAGTGAAATAAGGCTTTGATAAAGTAGAATGTGTTAGAATAGGTCAGGGTAAGGTAAGATGCAGTAAAATTGTACGGTTACGTTACAATTGGGTAGGACTACGGCAAGTAAGGGTATAATTAAGCACGACTATATGATGATTATGGTAGGGATAGGTAAACTTAAGGAAAGCTAGAGTAAGTCTAAGGTAGGGTTAGGCTAAACTTAAGTAAATAAAGCTATAGTAGTTCTAAATCAAAGCAGAAATAAAAAGCAATTTATAAAAAATTTTATTTCAGTTTTCTACCAGCTATGCTACACTCTTTACTTCATGGCCGCCTATCGAGGTCAACGTCTGGATCGATCGTTGGTTTATTTCTGCTGGTTGTTTCAATCATTCATCTCTATGGTAGGTGCAAGGCAAGGGTGTAGCCAGAGGTAGACAAAAGTAGGACCAGGTTAAGGCAAGGGTAAGGATAAAGTAAAAGAAGGATAAGACGATGATATGGCGAGGGTATGGCCAGGTTAGGGCAAGTTTAGGGCAAAAATAAGGCAAGAGTAGTACTAGGGTAAGGCAAGGGTAAGGCCAAGGCAAAGCAAGGGTATGGTCAAAGTAAGGCCAAATAAATTACAGGCCTGGTCTTAAATCTCTCTTCTATGACATTAATAAGATCAATACTATTAATAATACTTGTCGTCATAACAAAGTTATTTGTTAAGTGATACTTGTATTGCATTAAAACCACACGGTAACATTGTTTACAATTCTAAAGTTAAAAATAAATTGATTACAAGGAAGTTATGAGTTGTAGTAATAAGGCAATTACTATTAGTACATACGATACATAATATAGTACGTATTTGCTCTACGATAAAGACTTGATGTACGCGTTCTTCTCTATAACTTCTCAATGTAGCTTAATATAAACGATATTATTCATCAGTTCTTGATAAATCTAGATATTCATGTCACTTATACATTACTATAATATGACAATACTCATATCAAAATTTAGGTATTCATCGTATATTGGCAGAGAAAAGGACAGCTCAAGTCTCTGGTCGAAATTGTACCATGGAGAAATGCGATGTGCGAAAATCAAACCTTGAAAAAGAACAAAATTTGCAAAACTTTTCTAGTCTTCTATGGATTACTGATATTGATCCTCACCATCAATGTCATCAATATTGTCAAAGGATTTGTCAACCCAGACTTGAGGCATTATGATCCTGGATTGTTAAATGTAAGCCTAAATTTTTAATTTTTGCAAAAAAAAAGAGAATTTGTGATCGGTTTTACAATTTTATGAGTAAAAGAACGAAATGTCACAAAATTTATTGATTTTGTAAAAAATATTAAAAAGAGCAACTTTTTACTTTAAAAATAAAAAAGTTGTTAATTTTAAACCACAATTATTTATTGCATACTAAAATTTAGATAAATGCTACATTTGGAAAAGCTAACGAAATGTCACAAAAATTATTGAATTTTTCAACTTATGAAAAATGAAAAAAGGGTTCATTTTACAATTTAGAAATGACATAATTTGTCAATTTCAAACTACAATTACGTATTTTAGACTGAAATTGAATTCAAGACATATACTGGAAAAGTTGACGAAATGTCACAAAACCTATTGATTTGAAAAACTATAAAAAAGTTAATTTCATACTTAAAAAAAAACAACTCTTGTTGCTTTTAAACCACAATTACGTATTGTAGACCAAAAATTGAGGCATTAAATATTGGAAATGTTGACGAAGTGTCACAAATTTTATTGGTTTTTGAAAAAATTAAATAATTTTAAAACTTTGAAAAAGGTTAGTAGAGTAGGGAAAAACAAGTGTAAAATACGAATTTAATTAGGATAATTTCCAAAATTACAACTTTTTATTTTAGGGTTACGGCAAGAACCTCTGGTTCATGTCCAACATAATAGCCATGTACGCCTTCTTTGTATGGAATACAGTAATCACTTTCTATGTTATGACATCGATCTGTGTTCATCAACAAATCAAGAACTTTAATGAGACATTACACTTGGTTGGTGAGTCAAATGACAGTGATCAAATAGCTGAGGAACTGCTCGATAAGTATGTGGAACATGTTCGAATTGGCAAAATGATACGACAAGCTGACAAAACCTTTGAAGTCTACACGTTTTTGATGTTAGGGACTAACATACCTACAACTATATTTACATTACTATCATTGTTTCATAGTATGGACTCTGGATGTTTCGAGTTGATCATGGGATTGCCTGATCTTTTGTTCTGCGTTCTGGAGATTTGCAGTTTGACACTTCATCCTGCTCGTGTTTTTTCATCGGTAAAAACAATTTTTTAAAAATAAAATAAAAATTATTTATATTTTATATTTAAAAAAAAATTCAGATCCGCTACACCGAAGCCATTGTCTATGCCAACAAGAACATTTGGGTACCATTCAATTCCAAAGTGTATCAAGTCGCTCAGATGTTTGTGAATCACTGTAATCAAAACACATTGGGAATCTCATTATGGGGCTTTGCTGTTGTCACAAAGCCGTTGATCTTGACTACAATATCATTGACTTTGACTTATCTTACTTTACTGTTGGAGATGAATGCTCCAGCTAAACTGATCGGAGCCTATTCTGATGCTATTAATAGTACTCTTAGAGTTTGAAAGAACTTTAAAGGTTAAAAAGTGTTTTACTGTCTTTTTTTATTATGTTAGAGAGGAAAGAAGAATATAAAGCAAAGGCGAGATATTTGTCTGTGAGAAGGAAAAGCAAAAAAAAAAAAAATTAACCAGCGTGGTCTCCCTTGCCAGTTTTCAAAACATTTTTTTTTAATGTGAATCCCCTTATATCCCTTCTTTCTAATCCCCCCCCCTTCCACTACTTTCTCTTACCTCCTTTCCTATCTATCCCTCTCCTCTAGCATTTCTCCTTAAACTGAACTTGTTAGCACCTGTACATTATTTATAGTTCACATTTTTTAAATTGCATCTTATATTACTTTATAACATGGTTAACATGTAATTGCTTGTCCTACATAATGTATTAATATTACAGTAAGGTCTCAAAATCAACACCCCGGTTTTATAATATTTCAAAAACGCTTCCTTATAATTTAACACACGTATTTATTGTCATTAAACAAAATTTATGTTATTCATTAAGCAGCATTTTGTAAAAAATTTTAATTTTTTAAAAATTGTAAAAAAGTTAAATAAAATTTTAAATTTTTAAATAAAAAATTTTGAAAAGTTTTTACAATTTTATTTTGATGTCATTTGTCTTGAACTTTGAAAAAAGACTAATTATAAACACGTTGTTTAGTGTTTGTTAAATCTCGGCCAGCCGGCCAAACGAAAAATCGTGGGATGAAGGCAAAAAGCCCTGAGGACATTTGATTCCGGTTCAAATTTTGATTGTTTTTGCTTTTGAAACTTGTGCTGTAGGTTATTTTGTCTCAATTTAAACTGAATTTTTAAAAATTTTTATATTTCTGAGGAAGGTAAGGATAGGGTAAGGTTGAGCAAAACTAGTACAAGGCTAAGTTTATAGCTAAGGCTTGTTCTAAACCCAGGGCTCCGGTTAGGGCTCTGGGCTAGGGCTCTGGGCTAGGGCTCTGGGCTAGGGCTTTGGGCTAGGGCTCTGGGCTAGGGTTCTAAGATATAGCATTAGGATAAAGCATTGGGATAAAGCATCGGGCTAGAACTTGCCCTTTTCTTACATTTTTTAAAATGAACTGTGAGCTAGGTTTCTGGATTAAAGCTCTGGGCCAGGGCTTCTAAAATTATTTTAATTATATGTCATTTTGATATTAACCGTGCAGTAAATAATTTTTTTTTGTGATTTTCTGTCAATTTCTAGCTTAAAATGGGAATCCAACCAATCTTCGACAAAGCCCCAAGTATAATCAACCGGCCAGACGGGTCAGTTTTGTTCGAATGTATGGTGAATGCCAACCCCGAACCTACTGTAACATGGTATTTGAAAGACAAAGAATTGAGTGGAGATCGATACGTGTTTAAGGTGAAGAAACAGGTTGGAAAGTACATGTGCACCATGATTATGAAGGTAAATTTACTCATTGTCAGACTATAGTTGAGTTTGAAACGATATTGCTACATAAAAGTCTTGTCGTCAATTGTTATTGGCTTTTATAGTAAAAAACGACAAGACTTTCTCTGACATTTTAAAATAATATATTAGGTTAAAAACATTATATTATTGTGTTAAAATAAATATGAGCTATTTTTAAAGCAAATTTGAAAGGTTATGTAGCTCAAACTTATTTGGACAGCTTATTATACTAACTCGGTAGAATTTTAGTAAAATACGTGGCACTTAACTAAGAAGTCAAAATATAAAACTACAGTATTAATTATGTTACGGTAACTTTTTCAATGTTTAGAACCCAACCCAAGCTGACCAAGGCATTTACAAAGTCGTGGCGAAGAATCCTCATGGTGAACATAAGGTTGAACAAAGCTACGCGGCCGTTTGTGTAGCTAATGAAGTGTTCAAAACTCAGTAAATTGGACGTAACTTACTTTTCTTTACTATACTTTATTGTATTTTACTTTATATACTATGATAACGTATACAATTACAATAAAATAGAAATCATCGTTTGACGGAAGACGAAGCAAGAACAGAATTTGTTATAGTATGTCTTCTCTGATTCCATGGTAATAATAGTAGAATAAACACTTTACGTCGAAGTGGTTTAGAAGCGACCAGTAATGAAGTTATTGTAACTGCCATGGCAAAGTCGAACACAAGAGGTACCCCAATGCCACAAAAGGCAACTGGTATAACTAGGTCTCCGTTTATATAGTAGTTTAGCATTATCATCTAAAACATGTAGTGTAAGAATAGTTATCATTATCATCTAAAACATGCAGTGTAAGAATAGAGTATGATAACAAACGGTATGGTCAGTTGAGGTTAGGGTATGGCGTTGCAAAGCTAGGTAACATTAAACATAGCTTTAGTATACTTACATTCATAATTCCATAGCCAATATGAACCAAAAACATGAGAAAAGAAGAAACAGTAAGATTGATCTCTTGACGCCAAGTTTTGTGACTTTTCAATGCCTTCTTACGGCTATATAACAAGCCCAAGGCTATACAGTTTAAGACTCCTGATACACATGGTACAATCGTGTATATGTAGCGACTTGTTCCTGACACTGAGAGCTGAAATGTTATTTCTCTTATTTATAATGCAGTTTTTTAAAAACATTTTATGACAAATTCATTGATAAGTTTAGGCCTAGTTTTGTATGTTGTAGTGTTTATAGTGTATAATTTCCATTACGTACTATAGAGTATCAATATGCAGTAAGACTCCTGTATGACAAACCCTTCTTTAACGAAATTTTATTATAATGAAACTTTTGAATTCCCGGCCAATACTAAACATTGCACTTAAAACTCCCGCATACAGGCCGGACGCGAGGAAGGGGTCTGGAGGAGGGTAATCCCCCTCCACAAAAAAAAATTTTCGAAAAGAGTTGAACGTGGTCCCCCTGTTGATATTTGGAAAAATTTTTTTCGACCGCGTCACCAGACTAAAAGCACCGCCCGGCCCTGCCTGCACATCAAAACTCCTTCATAAAAAGTGAATTTAAAATCCTCAAGCCATTCGTTATACAAAAGTTCTACTATAATTAAAAAATTTAAATATAATTTTTTAAAAAAAGTTAGTTATTTCATTAGAAAAATATTTTAAATTTACTGTTTTTTTATTACTATGACTTCAATTTTGCAATTTATGATACACTACAATTTTGGCTTTAAAATTAATTTAAAACAAAGTAATTTGAACACAAGAAAATTGTAGGTCAGGTCTTTTTATTACATTTTGATTAAAAAACTACATATTTTAAAATAAAAAAAATTGTTTTATTCAACTTTCAAAAACCTTACCTTTCCATTCCACGTAACAGAATGATCGTACGATAACAAACATCCAAACAGTTCATCACCACGTCGAGCACAGAGTAATATGCCTTTATTCAAATTGATGTATCCATACATAACGATCGGCAACAATATAAAAAATCCAAACAAAAATGGCAAAAGCTTTCGCCATGCCCTTTCATGACTAAACGGATACAAAACTGATGAACATCGATTCAATGCTAGTACTATTGTGCACGATACAGCATTCAGTTCAATGGAAATGCGTAGAAATAGAAGGAATGCATGTAGACGAGCAGAGAAACCTTCTAGATTGCTGAAGAACTTTTGATAAGCCCATAAGTTGGTTGGGCCACGTAGAGTGTATTGACATATAATGTAGTAGACAATGTGTTGAATACCAAAGACAGCTACTAGAGTGTAGAATACTGAAGAGAAGATTTCTCGGTGCTTTAGGAGAACATATATTATTGCAATGTAAAGTAGAATCATTGGAATACCGTAGAAGTAGTAGATAAGGAAGAGCCAGTAGGGTAGCATAGTGAAGTGAAGTTCAGTACTAGACAGCACTTACGGTTTGAGAGCAGTACAAAAAATGTGATAGTAAATAGCCCTTGTAGCTTTATATGTAGTATAACAGTGGAGTACTTAGTACTGGAAGACTTTTAAGATTCTTGTTAGTAGTATCAAAGTAATAACTTCCACTCTATATAATATTATATGTCAAGAAAATGCTACAAAAGCAATTACAAGTTTCAATAACGTAGAAGTTGTTATTTACTGTTATGACAGCTTAGCAAAATGGTCTGAATAGTTTATATAAGGCTCTAGCAAAAAATGAGTTAATATTAATTTCTAAGTAGTGATGTCTTTTAAATTTTGTTTGCAAGCTCAGCAACTTCTTTGTATGTAGTTGCAATAGCCTTTACGTAGACTATTTATATGTTTCGATAAGTGTAAATATTAAAGTTGGCAACGTGTTATACAAAGGCTTTTTATAATTTTATAGCGGTTTTTATATAGAGTGGTATATAGGACTTGTACAGTGTTACATAGAGCTTTATAGGAAGCGTGCCTTAGCTTTAATAGTCTGATATACAAATATTAGTTTTAACATTACAATTGCTCTTATATAGAGTAGTATATACAACCTTACACAGTGCTATATTAAGCTTTGTAGAAAGCGTATACTACCCTTTATAGAAGGCTACAATATGCTCAATCAGCTGTTATACTGAGCTTTCAATAAAAAGCTATAATAGACGTTGTAAGCCGTGTTATCAAGCTCTGTAGGACGAGAATACGCTTTTACGGTAAACTGATATATTCAGTTCAAAAAAGCATTAAAGTAAGGTTTTTACAGTAATCTATCAAGTCCACCAGTAATAATATTTGTACCACAGTATAGCGTTAGGAACAAGGCTTTACTGTAATATAGTATATCAAGGACAGTAGTAGTAGTATCCAAACTAAAATAAAGCGTTTTACAGTGATATATTAAGCCCAGTAGTGGTATTATTCCAGCCAAAGTAATGTGTCAGATAAAGCGGCGTTTTACTACGGCCAAGCTATGGTGTATCAATCACAGTAGTAGTATTACTTCAACCACAATATAGCAAAATATTTAGAGCTTGATAACAAAAAATATAGAAAATAGCAATGCCAAGATGTGCCAACTTCTGTATCAAACAACTAACTTAATTTGTTTACAGCCTTAAACTGGCCAGTACGATAATATCGTAGAACGCATCAAATGTATTTTGATGTTTAATAAATGTAAAACAATATATTGCTGTTTGAAATAGTTAAATTAGGTTTTGAAATTAAAATACAAATTTATTGCGTTACCAAAAAATATTTTACTATAGTAAATGTTGTGATATCACTTTTTACTATAGTAATTGCTGTGGCAGAACTTTTTACTGCAGTAAATGTTGTGGCATTAATTAGAAGTAACAAAACTTAAGTTAGCAGTAAAGCTGAGACCAAAATTTAGATTGTAACATAAGATTACTATGCACAAGGTATACAAATATATATACGTTTGTAGCATTTATATAACTTTAGATGTATATATTTTATCTTAGTTGTAACAATACCAATTTAGTTTGTATCTTGTAACTAAATTGTAACGTTTTAGATTGAACAGCAAATTTGTAGCTAAATTGTAACCATTTAAACTAAACATTAACACCAAAACTTGAACTCGCCCAAAATGTAAAACAATATGCGTCTCAAAAAAATAATAACGCACCACACAGTAAAAAATAAGGATACACCACGCAGTAATTGATAGTTATTGTAGTCAAGACCAAAACGCCCTAGAAGGAAGTGTTTTGATTAATAGGTAACAAACTAGACTAGTCTGGGTTTGCAATATAATTTTTTTTTCTAAATTAAATTATAATATAAGCTCTATAATGACATGTTTAACTCTTTTAGATCCAATGAACCGCCGCAGTATGTCATCTAAAAGTCCAAATGGTCTATAGAGTTGAATAATGCTATCATATGCTACTACGGAAGGAAGATCATAATAAAAATGATGACAACACAGAGTATAACAAGCATAAATTTCAGGTTCATACAATGAAAGTGATGAGTATACAGGTATAAAAAGATTCAAAAATAAGGCTATAGTAGAGCTATAATAAATCTACGATAGAGATAGGGTAAGATTATGGCTGGTGTTAAAGTATAACAAAGCATGAAGTTGACTAGAGTATGCTAATTGCTGTTGTTAGGGGTAGAGTTTACTTTAATAATACCGCCGGGCTAGGCTAGAAACTGGCTATGGTACTATAGCTAGGGTTCTAAGGTTCTGGGCTAGAGCTCTTCTGGACTCTCGGCTAGTGCTCTGGTATAGGGCTTTGTGCTATGGCTCTGGGCTAGGGCTCTGGGCTAGGGCTCTGGGCTAGGGCTCTGGGCTAGGGCTCTGGGCTAGGGCTCTGGGCTAGGGCTCTGGGCTAGAGGGCTAGGAATCTGGTTAGAGCTAAGAAAACTGATTATACAGGTCCCTCCCACAGAGCTTTTCCAAAAATTAGCCGATCGGTCGACCAGGTGTTCAGCCGCTTCTGATGGTCAGTGACCGTCTTTAGCGGCAGTTATCGTTTAAAATCCTTGCGGATAACGTATTTCTTATCGCACTCTTTGATCATGTTTTGATTGGGTTAGATCAATTTCTTTCTCTCTCGCACTCTCTTTCTCTCTTTTCTGACATTCGTCGAGTTTTGTGGCATTTCGCAACGAATTCGCGTTATTTTTTCGAATTAATTTTTTTCGGCGAAAATTTTGAAAATCTTATGGATAACAACATAAAACTAGCTCTAGTAGTGTTTTAAAACATAAAACTAGAAGTGGAGAACATGCAGCCATGTTGTTCATCACAAATCGACCGAGAATTGGTTGAGAACGAAGGGATTTTGGACGAAAATGGCCATTTCAATGGATTTGTAAGTGAATATTTATATATTTTTTGATGTTTAGGGTGGTTACATGCGAGCAAAAGTCGCCAAGTTGAAGCATCAGGTTCATAACAATGTTGTCTTGAAGTCTGAATTGTTTAAGGGCTTGTCAATCTACGTAAATGGATATACTGGTAAGGATTATGTTATCCATGGCATCTTTCCTTGAATCAAAATTACAGGTTTGGTTTCTGCAAATCTATAATTACTAGATAATATAAAGCAAGTAAAGACAAATAATACTGGTTTTGTTATTTTAGATCCACCAGCATTTGAGCTACGCAAAATATTCACTGAGAACGGTGGCGAATACCATCATTACTATAATCATGGCTTCACTTCGTACACAATAGCTTCGTCTTTAGCTTCTTTAAAGTTCAAAAACTTGCGGAAAGGCGAATATTTGCTAAAACCTGCATGGGTTACAGATTCGTGAGTTTTTTTTCTTTTTTTAATGTTTAGAGCTGATACTCATCTTTGCTTAGTACAACAACATACTAAAAAATGTAAAATACGTGTCTTCGGACATTCGTTTTTAAAGCCTTTTGATTAAAGAGATTAAGCTATTGATAACTTCAGAATCCTATTCCACACAGTTCTACCAATAGAATCGTACATTTTGAAGCCTTCGGCAGCTCCGTCAGCTCAACTGAAAGGTGGCGTGGACGAGTTTTATCAACGTTCCCGTCTTCACTTGATCTCAACCTTAGCTCAGGATCTTAAAATCTTTGTAGCTGAACTTAGAGCTAAAGAAAATCCGGAATTTCCGTCTAGAAGCAAGTTGGAGGGACTGGGTGATGAAGATGGGTAAGATCATATAATTTTGTTTTTATGAAATTTGTGTTGATATATATACACATATGATCTGCGTATTCTTAATAGCTTTAGAGTTTTTTAAATTGAAGGTTTTAGATTCAAATTGGACGAAAACGTGATTTGTCATATTGATATGGATTGCTTCTTTGTCTCTGTAGCTCTAAAAAGCCGTCCTGCACTAAAAAGGAAACCTATTGCTATTACACATTCCAGAGTGAGTTTTAGCTTATAATATGGCTGTAGTTTTGTAAAAAAAGGTTTTAAAATTATGTTCTACCAATTTAACCGTTTAGCATAGTTTTTGCACCATGCAGATTAAAAAAAACTTTTTATGCATAAATTTTAAAATCTTTTTGAATATATTACAACATAATATGACTGCCTTCAGGACGCGAATGGCAAAGGTTATGCAGAGATTGCATCGTGCAGTTACGAAGCCCGTAAATTCAATGTGAAGGCTAGTATGTGGATGAATGAAGCTGTAAAACTGTGCCCAAACTTGATATGTTTGCCATATGAGTTTGACAAGTACAAAGAAACGTCAAAGATTCTATATAGTATTATTTCAAAGTGAGCTTTTTAGTTTTTCAACTCTAATTTTTTAGGGTTGCTTCAGTTTGTCTAGTTGGTCTACTATAATATAAATTTTTGGTCTAGTAATAGGTTAGACTGAGGTTGCTTTTACTTTTTTGAGTTTATATAATATTTTAGGTAATACTTTTTTTGAGTTTACATTTTTTAGGTAATAATTTGATTTTTAGGTACACCTTGGACATCAGAGCAGTGTCATGTGATGAGTTATACATTGATCTAACTTCATTATGTAAAAAGATGAAAATCTCTGATCCATTGAAGGTGGTCAAGGTCATTAGGGACGATATCGAAGCCACAACACATTGTACAGCTTCTGCTGGATTGGGTATGGATTTTATAACTTCACTTTGAATTTTTTAACTTTTTTCTTTTGATTTAAAGGATTTTTTACAATTAAAATTTGGTTTAAAGAACGATAATTTGCAAAAACTTTGTTTACAAAACAAAAAACAGTCATAACATTATTTTCTAAGCCTTTCTCAATATTACCCATTGATATTCCAGGTCCAAACATGCTGATAGCCCGCCTAGCGACCAAAAAAGCCAAGCCGAATGGTCAATTCTACGTAAATCAAAAAGAATCTTCAAATCTTGTGAAAAATGTCAAAATATCTGATCTACCTGGAGTGGGATACTCAGCAATGGACAAAGTACGATCAGAATTGGGCATTGAAACGTGCAGAGAGCTGAGAAAAGTGGATGTGAAGCGATTACAAGAGGTTTTTGGCCAGAAACAAGGCAAAAAAGTGAGATTTTGGAGGTTTTTTGGGATTTTCTGAAGCTATTTTTGGAATTTTTGTTCAAATATTTATGAGCCCCTAATCCCTAAAATTTGCCTTGACAGGAGGCAAAGGATTATGTGAAAACTAATAGATCAAAAAGTTGTAAAAACAACCCATGTGTAATATATTATTTTAGCTCTACGATCAATGCCGAGGAATATCCGAGCCGTTTGAGCTGACAGAACTGACTAACCGAAAGTCAATTTCATGTGATGTTAACTTTGGAGTCAGGTTAACAACCCAAGATGATTTGACAGCATTTTTGGCCGATATTGCTAGGAATTTGGCCAGTAGAATGAAGAGCGCTCATGCCAAGGGGAAAACTATCGGATTGAGACTTTTGGTGGGTTTGTGGGCTTAAATTTATAGAGGGTTAAACAAAAAATAAACATAGCTTAAGGAAAAGTTCACTTAAAACCACTTTTTTGTTACCTAAAATAAGCGTTATTGAGGCAAAACTTCCGATAATTGAGAAATAACCTCAACTTTCAGATCCGCTCCCCTGGAGCCCCAATAGAACCAGCCAAGTATGGTGCACATGGCCTTTGTGACCCAATATCCAAAGCCTTTCACCTAACCGAACCCACCAATGACGAGCAAATCATACTAAACACGGCCCTCTCCCTGGTCAAACACCTCAAACCAGTGATATCCGATATCAGAGGAATCGCCCTCCAGGCATCCAAACTCGATTTCCTTTTGTTTTGTAAGAAACCAGAAGCAACGATCGAGCTGAGTGAATCCCAAATGTCATTACATCAGTTTTTGCCAAAGAGACGGAAAAATGAAAAAAATGATGTTATTGATTTGACAAAGGAAGATACACAGGAGGTGGTGGTGAAGAAGAGGAAGAAGAAGAAAGCTACAGTTAAGTCGGCCAAAGATCTTACACAGTATATCGGGAAATTGCCTAAGGTGGGCATTTTAAAAATTTCATTTGTTTTTTTTGAAGTTTTTATTTTTTTCAAAATAAATTTTTTTAGGTAAAATTTTTTGCAAATTTTTAAAATTTTATTTTTTTTAAATTTTTTGAAATTTCAATTTTAATTTTTTCCAAATATTGGTTTTTAGGTAACATTTTATGAAAATTTTGAAATTTTAAAAAATATTTCAAAATTAAAAAAAAAATAATAAAATTTCAATTCTCAACCCCTCCATTTCAGCCAGACATCTTCTTCTGTATCTGTGGCCATCCAGAGCACGAATTGTCTCTAGACCTATATCAACCACCTCAATTCGAAGACATTCTCATCCTAAGATGTCGCCTATATAGACTATGCCTGTGGGAGATGTGGTACGAACTGAAAGAAGAGTTTGATGACATTTACGACTCCATTTTCGAAAACTATAGGGCTCCAATGGCCTGGATTGAAGTTGTAGTAGGGATTCAAGAGGAAATCAACCGAAATTCAGTCAGATTATTTGGGTTAGTAGCTTTGCCTGATGAAAGGTTGAGCACTTTTATTAAGGGGTGTGATTGACGTGGTAAAAGGCTATCACTGATATGTCATTGATCCTGTAGACTGACTCTTAAAGCAACTTTAGGGCAGTAAAGTTGAATTCAAAATAAAGTCTTTTTATATTAGGTTGTTAAAATAATTCTGCGCCTCTGGCCTCGAAAATTGGCTTTGATAGGGGCTCAGAAGTATTTGAACAGCCTAATAGGCAATAGTTGTAAAAAAGCATGGTAAAGTTAAAAGTAGTCTCAACTTCATCTGTAATTTTCAAAATTTCAAAGCGTCCTCAATGTTTCTGGAGTCATTATATTGATCTTTATAACCTTCTACGTATCTCACGGATATTTTAACTTGTTTGACATTACCCATACTTTGTGATTTTTTATATTGTTTTAGATTCGAATGTTTTCCAAGCCTTATAACGTTCTCTCCCAATTATACTTATGTTGTTATAAATAGAATATATCGTTTTTAACATTAAATGTATCAAAATTTAGTATTTGCATGATTTTTAAATATAAAAGGTCAAAATTATATTATGTTAGGCCGTCAAACAGATAATATAAGGTAACGGTCTAAAAAATGAATATAAGGTTGTTCATATAATTCTGGGCTCCTACCCCCAAAATTTGCTGTGAGAAGGGGCACAGAATTATGTTTTGGTTAGGCTTGGCTTTCGGTCCAATTTTTATGCCATAGCTGGCTTGTAGAAGACCTACTATTATATAAAAATTACTGAAAAACCAAACTTTGGATGGAAAAATAAAATGCCTATACCATGGTGTTGCTTATATCTAGAGACATTTTTATAAATTTAGTTTTAAAGAAATACATTTCTACAATACCAAAACTTATAAATGTAACCACGGAGTTGTACATTGTTTTCAGTTTTATTGTTTCTCACACTAATCAGTTGACTAACATTAAATTACAAATATATGAGTATTGGAGGGGTTTTAGTAGTAGGCGTCTTGTGCTTTGACCCGTTTACTGCTACTGGCTTCTTCGTCGTTCTTCTGTAATTAACGTAAGTTTAAACCTTAATGTTTAGCCGCATTTTTAGTGGTTTGTTGGCATTGGATGGCCAATTTCAAGGCTTAGGACGACAAACTTAAAGGACTACCCCGCAGATACTTTTAGCTTAGCTGTTTTAAGATACTTTTTTCTACTTTAGAACCAAAAATTTTAAAATTCTATCTATAATATTGAAGTATAACAATAGTTGTTCATCCTAGTTATCTTACTTTTCTCTTTTTGTCCTTCTTCTTTTTCTTTTGCTTCTTTTCCTTTTCTTCTCCACTTCTATGCTTCTTCGACTTCTTTTCCGGCGGTTCTAAAACAAGGTAATGCATTTATAATCCATTAAAACAAGATAATATATTAATAATATGTTTATCATAGCAATAAGAATCGAAACTATAAGTTTTCTACCTAAAATCCAACAAAAGTTACCTTCATAATCATCCAAAGACCGTTTTATCCTCTTTCTGCCATGTTCATCTCCTTCCGCATCGGTTTGACCCGGTAACCTCTCTTTCACGCCATTTAATAACGTAGAATCGCTTGGAATTGTGTCAAAGAACTGATACTGCTCGGGAACTGGCCCTGGAGCAAACTTAAATCCACTCATAGCACTCGACGATAGAGGTAACACATCTTTCCCAGTGATCGGAGGTTTTTCCACCAAGTGCTTCAAGGAACTGAAAATAAGGATATTAAAGAGCCAGATGTAGACGAACATCTCTAGTCAGAAGACGATTTTTTCTTTATAACGTATTTTATTTCAATTCTTCAACCTAAAAATCGAGAGAATAGATAAAACACTTACCATGAAGAATCTTGTTGCTTTTTCAAATTGGATGTAGCAGCCACGTTAGTCAAGAAGGCGGACAAATCTTCTTTTGGCTTTCTTGGCCCACAAAATCGCTGAAACGCACTGCTGAGATCATAATATGAGATTAAGTCTTCACTTCCAATCACTGGATGTTGTTCTGAAATTTATTGAGGTCAATAACTTGTGGTTAATATATTTAGTATCAAAAGCAGTCAATGATTAAAGAATTTGTCATGAAAAGCATAGGAAAAGCAAGTTTTTACTATAGAGATTATAATTTAACTGAAAATCTTTGTATACGATTAGTGAACATTGTTTTAACTTTTGTTTATGTGTCTGTACCTATAAGTTAATATATTTTGTTATTACGAGCGCCAAAATTCACACTTTTACATTTAAAAGCACTATGCCATCAACATCTTATTTTATTAACCATAAAAATATAAACAAAAGCTCAAAAGTTAATGAAACTATATTTTTAGCTAAAATTTTATTATTAATCTACTATAAGATAGCTTAAAAACCCAAAACCTCAATTCCCAGACGAAACGTCAACAAATCAAATACGTATTTCACAATCAATACAACAAACATTAAATTAATCTAACTCACGAGGTAGTTCCTTCTCCTTTTTCATGCCATAAAAAGGTGTGACGAACTTCTTCAACGACAACTTGAGTCGTCCCGGTGAAACCTTGGCCGCTGACGAATACTCCATTATAACATACCTTATCCGCACTAAAAGTATTTATTAGTTGACATAAAAATGTTCTTGATCTCGAGAATGTGGAAGCTTTTCGGGCGTTGAGCGCAAAAATTCGTGAAAAAATGCGGAAAAATACAGGCGACAAGTTATACGACGAAAGTTCAGCAAAAAGAAAATAAAAAAGAGACAAGTTATACGCTGGAAAGTGCTAACGATAGAGTTTTGTTTTATAAATAAAAATAGGTTTAAACAATGGAAATGTTGAAAAAACAAAACAATTGTTAAATTTGTAGAGATAAAAATGAAGAAAGCTAAAAGTAAGAGTAAGGTTCAGGCTCAGGCTCAGACTCAGACTCAGACTCAGACTCAGACTCAGTCTCAAGCTCAGATTCGGGCTCAATTTCATGCTCATACTCATGCTTAGAACAGGCTCAAGGCCAAGCACAACCTGAAGGTCAAGCTTTAGTTCAAGTTCAAGCTCAAAATCAAGCTTAGGCTCAGTCTAAGGCTCAGAATTGTCCTCAGGTTCAAGCTCAGACTGCGGCTAAGACAAAACCTCGTTTTTACGGCCCTTGTCAGTGTGATATCCTGTATATAAGGATAAAAACCGGGTTGGATCAGCTCTCTAGTGTCATCCTAAAAAGACTTAGCTGTATTCAAAAAATTTAAAGCTTAAGTATCATATAATGTACTCCACAAACTTTTTAATGCACTCTTCCGACCACCATGTAAGTTTTCGAACAGAAATGTTATCGCGTGTTAGCAACATAATAACTTTCTTTTGTTGTTGCGTAATCGGTCGTCAAGTTGGTGTTACGGTGAAGAAACGGAAAGATTCGAAAAGCCTTTTTCATATCCACATTAATTTTACTTTCACGCTGACTTTTGACAATTGAGCCGACCTTAAGTCTGGAGATCTTAATGATCCTTGAACGGAGCGACGCTAAATGTTTCGAGCTTCTTAGACGAGTAAGTCAGGTTGACGTGTATGGGAAAGGTGTTGCTTGAGGGCGCGGTAAAAGTGTTTACTTTATATTTGCATTTTAAAAAAAAGATTAAAAAATTTTGGGCATGGTTGGATAGGCCTAGATAAGGTAAGGTAAGATAGAATAAGACACGATAATAACGAGTAGGGTAAAGTAAGATTACATCTTGATAAAAAAAAACAGGGTAAAATAGGGTAAAGTTGGTTATGGCAAGTAGGGCAGAGTCAGTTAGGGTTTGTTAGGGTAAGGTAGGCTAGGGTAGAGTAGGCTAGAGTAGAGTAGAGTAAGGTAGGGTAAGGTAGAGTAGGGTAGGGTAGGGTAGGGTAGGGTAGGGTAGGGTAGGGTAGGGTAGGGTAGGGTAGGGTAGGGTAGGGTTGGGTAGGGTTGGGTACGGTAGGGCAGGGTAGAGGGTCAGAAAACCTTTAGCTTTTTTTAAAAACGATGTTTTGTGAAAGAGTCCTCTTGCTTGTAAAATTTTTTAAATTTTTTGAAGATTGCTGCAAGAGATACTGTAACTTGTGAATTGTAAAAACCATTTTTTTTTCTTTCGTTAGCCTAATCGTTACTGTAAGATAAGCTATTTTTTATAACTTTCTTCACTTCGTTTACTTTTTTTTCTTTAAACCTAGCGGAAGGGGTACCTGAGAATCTCTGGAAGATAGGTAGGGGAAGCGATTATTGAAAACCTTTGCGAAACTGGAAATCCGACCCGGCTACTCGGAATTCATCCCCCCTATTGTTTGAGACTGTTTCTTTTCCGTATCCGTTCAAGTACACTGCCTGAGGACGGTTACCTGCTAACCGCTAATAATTCTTCTTTATGGCGGACGTTTTTTGAAGATCAACGTGATTAATTGGCAGGAGTGATGGGTAGGGTAATTGGGATGAGTTATTTGTTATTTATTAATGTAATCATTTTTTTTATTTTGCCGTTTTTTGAATTTCAAATTTATTTTTATTTTTTAATATGCACTGCTCTGGCAAAGGTATGGTACTAGAAAGGTAACGCAAGTATAGAGTTACAGTTTTAGGTACGGTTAGCTGAAACTAAGATTAAGATTACGGTAAAATTAGAACTTCAGAGAGACCAGAACAAGGCTAGAGCTGGGGTGGGAACAGAGTTGGCACTGGTTCTGGGGCTGACTTGGACTGGGGCTAAAGCTAGAGCTAGATCTAAGACTAGCGTGAAGGCAAGGGCTCTGGGTTAGGGCTTTAAGCTATTAGTAATAGAGCCTCAGCCTGAGCCTAAGTCTGAGACTGAGCTTTAGCTTGAGCCTGAGCCTGAGCTTGAACCTGAGCTTGAGCTTGAGCCTGAGCCTGAGCCTGAGCCTGAGCCTGAGCCTGAGCTTGAACTTGAACTTGAGCCTGAGCCTGAGCCTGAGCCTGAGCCTGAGCCTGAGCCTTAGCTTGAGCCTGAGCCTGAGCTTAAGCCTGAGCTTAAGCCTTAGCTTGAGCCTGGGCTTGAGCCTGAGCCTGAACATAGAACAAACTATTAAGTAAATGAAGATTTACTTGTTTGTATCGTTTCTATAAGGATAAGATCTGTTTTTTCTTCTTATGTAACATAACTCGTATTTGATTACTACTTAAACGAATCTATCTTAATGTCGCTGCGAGAGATTTTGCACGCGTTTTATGCAATCTAATCAAAACATTGACGTTCGTATCTTATAATTCATGCCGCGTTCCGAGTTGACTCTATCATTGTTTTTCCTTCTACCAGTAGCTGATTAGTAGCGTAGGGTTGGAGGTGGTTAACTAATATTACTTTCTTTCACTGATGCTTTTTGCTCGTATTTTACTTCATCTATGCTCTATACAAATCCAAACTCATATGCCATCATGTTGTCTTCCCAATACATATCGTATTATCACTCCCGATCATCAAACCCATTGATTATTATGTCGCCAAAACGTCAAACTCTTCTTGTCACTCGTCGTGTAAATTAAACCCTCCGGCATTTCAGGCATTTTGACGCGCAATCGCTGAAGATGTTGTTAATCCGGTTCTTAAAACACATCTTCTTCGATTCTTACTTCCTCCCCCCTACGCTCGCTTTGGTTTGTTTGATTGCCGCTACCGCCGGTTTATAGTCTGTTTGTTTTTTTTTAATTTTGTTGTTTGAACCGTCATTTGTATGCGGATTTTTAAATTTTTAAATTGCTCAAGAAAAATTTTTTCTTCGTATGTAACATAAGATGTAACATCTTTTCCGGGTTGAGTCAAAGATCGGTAAAATAAGTCCATGCCACCATAATTTATAATCTTACATTCTTAAGAGAAACATTTTTTTGTTTATATTTATCAGGCTTGGCAGAATAATCAATGTTTTACGGTAGGTAGCAGGGTAGGGTAGGGTAGGGTAGGGTAGGGTAGGGTAGGGTAGGGTAGGGTAGGGTAGGGTAGGAGGGCAGGGCAAGACAAATCAAGGCAAGGCAAGGCAAGGCAAGGCAAGGCAAGGCAAGGCAAGGCAAGGCAAGGCAAGGCAAGGCAAGGCAAGGCAAGGCAAGGCAAGGCAAGGCAAGGCAAGGCAAGGCAAGGCAAGGCAAGGCAAGGCAAGGCAAAACAAGGCAGAAGATTAAATTTAGTCTGGATGATCAATTTTTTTTATTTTTAAAATATTGCATTAATCCATAAATTTCCTTTAAGCTTCCTTAATTTTTCAATTTTTTTTACGTTGAAAGTGCCGCTCGTGATTTTTTTTAAAATCGCAATTTAATTTTAAAGTGCGCTTCTTCAATTTCACTTTCTTTCAGAGCGTGCAGATTAGAGGGAGCCGGTTGGTTCGATGCGTCAATCTTAATAAATTAAGGTTTGACGATCCATAAGTTTACATAATACTGCTTGGTATATTAGCTTGATAGTAGTTGATATACAAAGGTTATACAGCCTAGTATAGTGATATTGTACTGCTTGGTATACCGCCATATACTAAGCAATATATTAACATTGTACCAATTAGTACTCTACCGTTATACTGCTCAATATACTCAATTTATAAAGCTTGAATACTGACTATACCAACCTTGAACTACTTGGTATATTGGTTTTACACTGGCTAGTACTTTAGCATATTGGCTTTATACTAATTAGTACGTGCTACAACATGAGGTTGAAACATGACTACCAGTTCACAGTACTATGGGTACGTTGCTGCTTAATCCTAGCCCTATTCCAACCGGTTTTTTGCTCACCTCTACTGCCAAACACATCAGCACGGTTGCCAGAAGTAGTGTACCCAAAGAAATCACAATCAAATAACTTGTGGACTAATGCGGCCGTCCAAAATGGCGTGTCCAAGGGTAAATCGACCAGTAAGATTAACGTTTAGTTTCAATTTTAATTCAGACAATTCAGCCAAAAACAGTGGAAACACAAGTTATGGCATGCCAGTCGGACCGGTTCACAAAGCGAGGAGGAAAACGTATGCTCAAAAACAGTATATCAGTACAAAGGAAGCTAGGATAGTGCTCGCGCCTTTGGAGGGTGAAAAGTAAGTTGGATAAGTATTAGGTTTATAGATTTAATTCTAATGAGTGAACAAAAGGTAAAATACGGGCCGCCATAATAGAGTAAAAATAATATTAAGCTACAAAGGGCTACAGTTTGGTTAGGACAAAACCAGCGTAGGGTTATGCTAAAAAATAGGTATGAGTAGAAGTAAGGGTAGAATAAAGGACGGTAAGACAAGAGTAAGGCCAGAACAAGGCTAAAGAGAAGCTAGAATAAAGCTAGAGTAGGGCTAAAACAAAGCTAGGCTAAGACTAGATAAAGTCCAGTACAAGGCTAGCAAAAGCCTAGCGTAGAGCTACGGTATGGATAGAATCAAGCGAGGATAAGTAAGGTAAGCTTAGAATAAGGCTAGGGCAAATATATAGTGCCGCTAAGGCGAGGCTAGGTTAGTGTAGTATAATATAAAGCAGGACTACAACCAGTGCCGGGCGGGGACTTCTGGTCTGGGGGCGGGGGTCGAAAAAATCGACACATGTGTATTTAGGACTGAAGTAAGGTTAGGATAGGTTCAGCTTAAAGCATGGTAAAGAAAGCTTAGGATAGAACTACGTAAAGCTGTAGTAAGGCTAAAGGTAACTCTATGGTAAAGATGGGTAAGACTAGGTTAATTTATGGTAATGTAAAATTTAAAAAATGTGTTTTTTCATAAAAATTCTGCTACAATAATATAAATATTTAGAGTGTACACTTTGGAAAAATACGTTGTAGTATCAAGTGAACAACCAGAGCGACAAGAAAGTACAAAACGACCGAAAGGACCGAGTAAGTTACTTTTTATCATTTTTCAAACCTTTTTACCTAAAAAACCAGAAAATGTTGTATTTTACCTACTATAATATAGCTAAAACTTCATTTTCACAAATTTAAAATCTTTAAAATTTAGAAGCAGCAGTAGCGGCAGTAAAAACGAAGGCTAATGTACAAGAGCTAGTGGCTTTGAAGCGCACTACAATGTCGGAATATGCAACGTCTACGACTGATAAGCCTTCTTTAGTCATTGGAGAAGTAAGAAGGCCGGTTTCTGCTGAAAGCGAGGAAAAACAGGTAAGTTGTTACTTAAATTCCATGTATTTTTAAAATTAGAGTAGGGCTGTTACCATACTTTAAGTACGGTAGGGTAGGTAAGAAACACTTTATCATACAGCAGTCAAATTTTCAAAGAATCAAAAAAATTTTTAGCCAAAGAACTTAGCACCTCCAGCCTACGGTTCCAACGTTCACTTAGTCAGCCATGACACCAGCAACTCGGCCGAAATCAAATACCCAGCTAAAAGTTGGCAGCTACCTCCAGCCTTACTAGCTGCTAGACTAAAAAAGAGTGGACTAGATACGGCAAGAGAACTGAATTCAGTAGAAGATGAAAATCTAGAAGAAGCACTGGAATTGTTTTCAAAAGCAAATGATAAACATAATCATCTGATGAGTATGGGGCCGAGAAGCAAGAACATTTCAATGGTCGATGTTTTACAAAAGGCTTTTGGAGAGACCAAGCCTAAACCACAGGTAAAAAATATAGTTTTGAACATTTTATGAAAAGGATTAGTTGGGAAGTCTTAGAGTATATGAAGAAAGGTAGGGTAGACAAGGGTAGAGTAGAAAAAGAAGGTAGGATAGAGAAGGGTAGGGAAATTAGGAAAAAAAGTGGGGATTTTGTAGGTGGTGAGAGCTTACCATACTCGGATTTTTTTCCTTTTCTAGTAGGTTTTGCCATTATCTTGCACTAGCTTCACCTAGACTAAAAATGAGTCTACTAGGCATGATCTGAGCCAAAATAAATTTGAAATGACCGGGCCAAAGCATTAAGCCGGTCCAGCCTCTTTACAAGTTGTTGCTTTAAATCTTGTTGGTTGATTTATTTGTTTTTAAATTTTTTTTGTATTAATTTAAGTTTATCTAACAATAAGCCTTATTTCATTTCTACCCTACCTATGCTCAGCCCTACCTTGCTTTTTTTTATTTTTAGTTTTACCCTATCTCTGCTCTGCTGAGTCTGGGAATAATACTACTAATCTAACCTTACTCTAGTTTGACCTTAGCGTAGCTAACTCTAGTTCAGACCTTCTACTCTAAATTTAGTAACGCTCGACGCTATTTTGTTTCCAGACCTGTCTTGTTGGTCTATTATTTGTATTTTTAAAGTTACCTTGTATATGTCATACTTGTTTATTTACCTTATTAAATGTCATACTTAATATAAAAGTTTTCAAAAACTTTGAAATGATATCATATTTTTTTAAATTATGTTCAGATGACATTTGTGGACCGTCAAAAGTTCCGTGCTACATTTGCTACACACAAATCAGAAGCGCAGCAAATCATTCCATTACCACCGGCTCCTTTTGGAGATGAAAGTAGGTGACTTGACAGTATTTGCATATGTTTAAATACTATTAATTTTTTAGACATAGTTTACTGCCAAAAGAATTAAAGCATACCGTATTTTACACTAAAAAACTTTAAAATTTTAGCTGATATGGACCTAATCCAAGAATCTCTTCGTCGACAAGGACAGCTCCCAATCCAGCCTGTGCCAATTCAAACCAATCCTTCAATAGCAGTGCCTGGACCCTTATCAGCCTTAACCTCACCTCTTTCACCTCTACTAAGCGCCTTTGCTCCAGTACCACCAGCACCATACAATCAAAATGTGCAGATTTCCCCAGTCGTTTCTGGTGCTACAACGAGTAGTGGCTTGGACCCGAATCATAAGTTGGACTTGTGCTGTCGAAAACAAGGTGTCAATGCGGTTTGTCAAGCCATGTGTAACTTTGACACTTTTACGGATCGATCTGTAAGTTGGGTTTGATAGTAGGGTAGGATAGGGTTGGGTAGGGTAGAGTAGGGTAGGGTAGGGTAGAGTAGGGTAGGGTAGGGTAGGGTAGGGTAGGGTAGGGTAGGGTAGGGTAGGGTAGGGTAGGGTAGGGTAGGGTAGGGTAGGGTAGGGTAGGGTAGGGTAGGGTAGGGCAGGGTAGGGTAGGGTAGAGTAGGGTAGGGTAGGGTAGGGTAGAATACGGTTTGGTAGGGTACGATACGGTTGGGTACGGTAGGGTAAGGTACGGTAAGGTAGGGTAGAACGCAAGTTTTCGAGATATTTTAACAATAACTGCCATTTCTTTTTGTAGCTAGTAACCGCAGTGATCTCAAACCAATGTCCAGGCCCACAACTTGGTCAAGCCTTTGACTGTGCTTCCTCCAAGGTTGACCATACTGACTGTTGTACTCGAAACAACGTTCATCTACATAATGCAGGGCAGTGTATGCCATTCTGCCGTACACACGAACCAACACCACCCAATGTCTTTACGTATGTTGCGTGTCTGCAAGTGTTTGACACGATTAAGAACTGCTATCGTGAGTATCAATATCAACATCCCAACATCTTTGGGGACTAATAGTACATTTCTTTCTGGTTTTTCTTAATCAGGCTGAGCTATATTGTCCATGTTAAGACAGCTTTGCTAGCTTTTACATTAGGACTGACTTCCCACCTCAGTTTGATGATTAATACCTTCAAGAAAACGTGTGTAAAATGCATTTTTAAACTAAAATAGCCAAAAAAACGACATTTAAAAAAATCTATGCCTTTGAAATATCGTATTTTACACAAAAACTCTATTTTTATCACAATATCTTGTCAATATATAACGTTTTCTACTATAATATCGGCCGCGTCAAAAAGAATTGGCCGTTTTTAATAATAAAATAATAGAAAAATGTCCAATTCTTTTTGACGCACTAACAAAACTCGTTTTTCTGTTAAAACTTGTCTTTATGGGTCTAAAATGATATCTTTTTTTAATCTCCAATAACTATATTTTTTTTATTTAAAACTATTTTTTTGCACTGTTCAAAGACTTTTTACCTTAATTTTAGGCGTTGCACGATGCAAAAATATTGAATTTCAAAAACTTTTTTAATTTTAAAAATAATTTTTAAGATAGTATAATGGCTACTCTTTAACGTAAATTTTGGTTTTTGGTCAAAAAGTTTGTAGAATTTATGCTGTTGATAAAATGATGTGTGTTTCTTTACATTAGCAATAATTATTTTTTTTATTTTTAGTGTAAAAAACTATTTATTTTTTTTTTAATTTCAAAATTATTTCTTTATCTGAAGTTTAAATTTTTAATAATTATCTTACAATAGTTTGTTCAAATACTTCTGCGCCACCTAGCCCCAAAAATTTGCTTTGAAAAGAAACTAAGAATTTTTTGAATAACTTAATATTGTCTTACCTACATATCATAAACAAGGTGTTATGCTATGATATGTAGGTAAGATAATATTACGCTGTTCAAATAATTCTGTGCCCTCTTTCAAAGGATATTTTTAGAGTTTCGGGGGGAGGCTCAAAATTATTTGAACGACCTAATATTATCCTACCTATGTACATCATAGTATCATTTTTTTCAAATAATATTGTGCCACCTCTCAAAGCAACTTTTTAGAGTTAAAGGAAGGGGCTCAAAATTATTTGAACAACTTAATATTATCTTACCTACATATCATAGTATTAAGTTGTTCAAATAATTATGTGCTCCCTTTCAAAGCAATTTTTTACAGTTCGGGAGGGGCTTAGAATTATTTGAACAACCAAATATTTTCCTACCTACATATCATAGCATAACATCTTGTCTTTTGAACATATCTTTACGTTATAGAGAACATCTCCTTCTATATTATATATACCAACATTTCCTTACATATAGAAAAGGTCCTCTATATATTCTTGTTTATGTTGTTTGTACATACTTGGAACTAATCTAATATACTATATATATATCGATGTCTGTGAAAGGGCTTTATTAAATAACCAGATATGAATAAATATACCAATATATTGGGCGGCAATCGTGTTATATGAAAGGAAATGGTCGTACATGACCATAACAATGTGTAAATATAATATTATATATATGAAAGTGGGCATGAAGATGATTAAAATTGTACAATATGAGCAGTGAAGCCTAGAGAATAATAGACATTAGGCTTAAAAACATTTTTTCATCCAGGTATTAGGTAACACTACAAAGTCTAAACACTATGAAAGAGAGATACCTAAAAACCTCTGAATCTCTTCGACCAGTCGACTGACATTACCATTGTTCAGATGAAACGACTTCATACCTACAAGTTCTGCGCCACGACAATTCCTCATCAAATCATCGATGTATATACATTCATGAGAGAACACTCCTAGTCGAAAGGCTGTTATCTGAAACGATAAGATATTACTTTAAAAGTGACTAACAGGGGCATTGTATTTTAAACAGTAAAGGCTAGAGATTAGTTTCGAGTTAAAGCTATGACTACGACTAAAACTAGAGCTAAGGTTAAGGCTAGAGATAAACATACGACTGTATGCTAGAGCTGAAAATAAAGTAAGGGATACGGTTAAAGTAAAAGATAGAAGGCTAGAGCTAAAGTTGCAACTATGGTTTGAGCTAGAGGTACAGCTAAAGCTAGAGCTAAGGCAAGGCCTAGAAATAGAGCTAAAGCTAGAACTAGGGCTCTGGGCTAGGGCTCTGGGCTTGCTCGAGCTGTCTAGAGCTTTAGGCTAAAGCCGTGGCCTAGAAATCTAAGCGAACGCTCTAGGCTAGGGCTTTGGGCTCTGGGCTCGGGCTCTGAGCTAGGGCTCTGGGCTAAGGCTTTAGACTCAGGCTCTGGGCTAGGGTTTTGGGCTAGGGCTCTGGGCTAGGGTTCTAAGATATAGCATTAGGATAAAGCATTGGGATAAAGCATCGGGCTAGAACTTGCCCTTTTCTTACATTTTTTAAAATTTTAAAATTTTTCGTTTTAGCAAAAAAAGGCGTATTTTACCTCATAAACCCTATGGTTGGGTTTTCGAATTCCTTCCCGGCAACTCTCTACAATTACGTCGAATTGGTCGGAAGCTTCCGACGGTGTGTCCGTCCTGTCTTTTGTTTCATCGCGGAAGCCAATGTTGGTCAACATACCCAGTTTGAAGCCGTTTTCGCGAAGCTTTTCAATTAACACCGACATTTTTGGGTCCTAGAAGTTAAAAAATTAATTTTTTTTCAAATTTTTTTAAAAAACGTATAAAAGAAAGTGTCCTACCTGCCCGGCTCTGATTGACTTCAAACTTTTTATATAGAAAAATCATGTAAACATAATATCTTCAGTAAACTACTAAAGCGCACTTCCCAGAAACTGCCGAGAAAAACAAGATCAAAAAATTACGTTTTGAATTTCCCGCCAAACTAGAATTGTGTTCCAAGCTTATAGCTTTGCAATTTTTTGACTTCAAAGCATTTTTCTTTAATATGCTAGTAGAAAACCTTTAAATTAACCTATATTTTTAAATTTCTAAGCTAAGCTTGTTTGAAAAGTCGAAAAACAGTGCATGAAACACAATGCCAAATTCGCCAAATTTTCTTGAAATTGAAAAATAAGGGACTTTAAAGCATTTTTCTTTAATATACTAGTAGAAAAGCTTTAAATAAACCTATATTTTTAAATTTATGAGCGTAGCTCGTCGGATAAGTCGAATAAAGTGCTTGCAACACAATGCCAAACTTGCCAAATTGGTGGAGAAACTCAAATATTTAAAATTTAAATCTCAAAAGCGCTAGCTAAAATTTTTTATAAGTACTATTGGTGGTACAAAGAAATTATACAAAAATTTTGATCTGATTCTGAGTGGAACAGGTTGGGTACTTTCCTTGTTAATTTTCTAAAGTGCATCAAATTAGGATTGGTTCAATTTTCTTTGTCATTTCGAAAGGTAATATCTTTAAGAAAACATGTGTAATATGCATTTAAAAGCAAAATTGACAGCAAAAATGAATTTTTTATTTCCTCTTAATTTACTTATGAAAAATAAAAAAATTCAATTTTTTTTCAAAATTAAAGCTTAAAAACCTTATTTTTCTAAATTTAGCCATTTCTTTCCACAAACTTTTCGAAAAACCAAAAAAGTTTACTAATTAGACTACTAACGAGATTAGTCACTCCTCGTTGTGTCACTAATCAAATGCCTTACCCGGCGGCCGAGTGTTTTTTGACGCACTTGTTCGGCCGTCAAATTCTTGGTTTTGCCCGGGAAATAGGCCTTGAGGGAATTAAAGAAGGTAGCGAATGATAGCCGACCCAACTCATAATCCACGTGAATCCGCGACAAATATTGGTCTCGTGACACTGAAAATGGCAGTAGTTAATAAGGAAGGTATTAGGGTTAAGAGGTTAATGGCCAAGCTCTATTGTTCTTGGCCGCAAGATAGAGAGAAGGATTACAGCAAGAAGCGACAAGCCTTAGTTTTAGCTTTAGCCTTAGCTTTAGGCTTAACCTTAGCCTTAGCCTTAGCCTTAGTCTTAGCCTTAGCCTTAGCCTTAGCCTTAGCCTTAGCTCTAGCCCTAACCCTAGCCCTCGTACTCGTATACACCTGCTCTACCATGCCTTTTAATACCATGCCCTGTCCCACCATACCTTGCCCTACCATGCCCTGCCTTACCATGCCTAGCCCTACCATATCCTGCTCTACCATTCCTTACTCTATCATGTTCTACCTACCACGCCTTCCTCTTTCTTGTTGTGCTTTACTCTATCCTCCTTATAACCTAAAATTTTTAAAAAATTGCCATTTCTAACCTTTAACTCTTCCCAATCAAATTTTAAATCCTTGTTTTCTCAAGCGCAGTACCAAGAAAACAAGATGCAATTTGCTAAAAATAAAAGTAATACTCGAGGTTTTGTTTTCTATTCTGCACACAGCCGGAAATTTACCACAATTATAAGACTTCTTGGCTTAGCATCGCAAATTATGACTAACAACAGCTTCTAGGTAGGCTATAGCTTCTAAATAGCATTTCAGAAACTTTAGGCTTAAAAATGGTTTTTATAATACAAAATTTAAAGATTTTTTTTTGAAAATTTTTTAAATTTAAAATTTTTGAATTAGAAAGTACAATGCTTTTAAAGTCCATTATCGCTTGTCCCTTTTCGGTAAATAAATAACTAAATTATGACAGCATGACGAGCCTAAAGCCATATAGGCAAGGAAGGGAGTCCAAAGAAAAAGCTCAATTAACACGACTAAAAATAGAAAATCCCCAAAATCTTGTTTATTTGAACTGAAATCTGAGCTGACGTCACCAAATGTTGTTACAGACGGGGTTTCTCATGTTAAAAAAAAGTTTTTTTTTCACTTTTTTCAGAAATGAAAACGGATTGCTACTATTTTTAGCTACCCTGCCCGTAAAAATTAATGTGTGCCTAGGTTTCGCTACCGTACCCTACCCTACCATACCCTACCCTATCCTACACTATCCTACCCTATCTATGAAAAGAGCATGCTTATGTTTAGCTATCCTACCCTATCCATTGAAAATGGCCATGTCTATGTTGAGCTGCCTTATCCTGCCTATGAAAAAAATGCCTTGGTTTAAATACCCAGCCCAGCCCTACTCATGAAAAATGTCTATGTTTAGCTTTACTATCCGCTCCTACACTGCCCCTAAAAATCTATTTTCATGTTAAGTTACTCTACCCTATTTATTAAAAAAGACCATGCCTCTATAAAACCCAAAAAAATTCTAAAAAGTACTCCTTGCCCAATCGTATTTTATATTTGAAATTCAAAAAATATTGACCATTTTTAATCGCTAAAGCTAGGGTTAATGTTAAATATGTCAGAAAATCCGATTCTCTCGCACTATCAGACATTCTCGCTAAGAACCGGAAGAAACTTTATTTACAATTCAGACGGACGTGAAACAAAGGCATTAAGGCAGTTGAGTAAAGTAAAAAACCTTTCTTTTCGAATAAATTACAAGTTTCAAAAAGCTTTGGCAGAATTTAAAAATTATTTCGCACCCAAAATTTTAAATTTGAAAAAAGAGCCCTAGCCTTACTCTTTTACCTTCTATAATACCCTGCCCTCTTACTACACCCAAACCTACTCTCATGTATATATACCCTACCCTAAAATCCTTATGTCCTTCCCAAAACCCCCTTGTTTTTCCCCCAAAAACACCATATTTTTCATGTTTTTCCCAATAACAATATAAACCGACCTAATTTCATGAGGTCGACCAGCTCGTCATGTTCATCCACCCTTATCACCACTTGATCCAAGTCAAATATCACAGCTTTGTACTCAATAGGATAGAAATGGCGTCGTACAGCACGACCAACTTCATAAACAACTTCGAATACTTGGAATATTATCATAGTAGGTCTTTGTTCGAAATTTCGAAAAAAACGTTTCACAAGATTTAGTAGGCTAGGCTAAGTTAGATTAAGTTTTGGTAGTTTAGTCAATTTTCTTAAAAAGCCGTGGTAGTCTAGCCAAATTTGAAAAAGTGGTTCCAAAATTTAAAAAAGTTGCCGCAACTGGCACAAAATTGCTGTAAAAGCAAAAAAATAGCAAAATAATTTCAAAAATAGTCTTAGGCTTTAAAATTTTTAATAAATTTCGAAAAAAAAATTAGTGAGAAAGTGAAAATTCACGGTTTAAACAACTCTCCCTTGCCAAAACAAGACTTTTTCCTCAAAAACGAGACTTTTTCCTGCGGCCAAACAAGGAAAAGAGCAAAGTGAAGGAATGGAAATAACATTCGCGCCGGAGGGCGTGGCAATCCCCCCGACGTCCACCAATTTTTCAGCCTCAGATTAAGCGTGCAGGTAATAATGAATCGCAAACACGAATTTAGAATTCCGTGCTTCGAATTAATTAAACAATACTAGGCTAAATACTGGTTTTAAAATGGTTTGAAATTAGTATTAGTTTTGGAAAAGTTTTAAAAGTAAAATAAAATGTTAAAGGCACAACAAAGGTATACTGTAAATTCACTAAAAAAATTCTAATAAGGTGAAAAAAGTATTTACAGTTATATAACAAACGTCTCTACAACAATACTTCTATATACAGAAAAACCTTTAAACCTTCTGCTAACACTATTTTTGTATACCTAAAATCATAACAAAAAAATTTAAAACTCTGTAGCAATTTGTTATACAGGAGTTCTACTGTAGTTACAAAAAAGCAAAAGCTAGATAAATAGTTAAAGCCATATAGTCTAAAGCTAAGGCCACGGCTACAGCTGCGACTAAGACTAATGATAAGGCCAAAGATAAGCCTTGGTGCAGAACAGTTAAACTGTTAGGTCGTTAACTTAATTTTGCGTCTCATAACAACAAAACTTTGTTTAAAAAGGGGGCGTGAACGGCTTAATAATAAAAAATGAATTAGACTATATTAGATTTATTTCTATAATATTGATCAATAAGAAAGGTGAGACTAAGACACTGCACGGCAAAATTTGAGGTATGGTTAGAACAGAGTTAAAACCGATCTATGGTTGCTTTGTACATAGCTAAAACAGGGCTGAAATAGGGCTAAAATAAGATTAGAAAAGTAAAGTAAGAATGGAGCTAAAGCAGATCTAATCTAAGGCAGAACTAGAATAAAGCTAAAGTAAAAAGCAAAATAGAAAGAAAATGGAGTACAAGTGTAAAAAAGCTAGGGTACGACCAGCGTAAGGCAAATGTAGGGTTAGGCTAGGACAGAGTATTTCTAAATGAAAACATAAACCTTCCCGATAGCAAATAAAAAATAATCATTTATAAATAGATTTTAAAGAAACCCTAGTTTATGTGTCAAAAATAATCACAGATGTTGTATTGCTTCACATTGTCACACAGTAAACTTCTCTTTAGTATGACATTCAAGGAACTGGTCCAAACTTGTCCATACAACCAAGGTGTCATACTACCCAGGTACTTTTTGATAAGAATTCTATTAATAATTAGAAAATGTCGTTATTAATAGTATGTCACACTATAGAGAATCTTACTAAAGCAATTTCCTTTTATTAGGTTGAACTAAAAGTAGCGGGACACTTTTTAGTTGAAAAATAAACAAAGAGTGTCCCGTTATTTTTGGTTCAGCCTAATATTAAAGTCATATCTTCCCAATTTTTTTGGAAAATGTCATATCTTTAAACTTTTTTTCAAATAACAATGTCATCAACCAGTTAAGGATAAAAACTATCCTTTTCCAACATAGCCAGATTCTTTATTTTCGTGATTATTATGAAAAACAACGAAAGAAAATATTTTAATAACTGAGAGACTGTGAAAATTGTTCGTTATAAAGAGAGAAAACAATAATAAGGTTTGGCAGAGATTCTGAGTGTTACAATTCATTATTTCTTTATTGTTCTACTATAACAACAATCTAGAGGCGATTCGTTGTACCGCTGAATAACTTTTTCGTTTTCGGAAAATACATGGACCCGGGTTGTGAGTGGTACTGTAGAGCATAGGGGTATTGTAAATTAAAAAAAAATTAAATTTTAAAAATCTCAATTTTTGAGGCCTTTTATGGTTTAAACATGACAAAAAATCGTCTTTTTCGGGTCGTACCACGCAAATCTTTCTAAAAAGTTACAGTACCCCAGTCCCATACAGTACGCCAAATGAATAAAATTTTGTGAAATAAGAAAGCACCTAAGTATGTATACTGTAAATGTCTGTGAGCAAGAGATTTGGTATTTTAATAAGTTTTTTTTCGATTTTAATAATGTGAAGTTGGGACTCGTGTTGGTCGTGCCACTTGTAGCGTGACCTTGTTTCCTGAGGATTTTACCATGGTGACCGCGCCGTTCTGTAATTGATACGTGGGTAAATTGTCAATAAACATGACACCATATTTCAATTTGATTTTTTTGATGTTTTGAGCAATTTTTTTGAATTGGTACCAAAAAGTACCAAACAGTACCACTTTGAAAGTTTTTGAAAATTAACATTGTTATAGCTGATAAGAATGCTAATAACGATGTAAAATATTAAAACACAATATTCGCTAGTTTTCGAGAAAATTGGTCCAAAAATTTGAATTTAAAAATTCGCGCCATGTTTGGCATTCCGTACTTTTTAGCAAAAACCACAAATTTTTACTATTTAAGTCAATTTGAGATAAAATACGATCTAAAAAAGCCAAAAATAATCAAAACTTTTAACGTGCGCCATTCTTTTTGCATCAAACAGCTTTTACTTTCAAATGTCATACTAGTGTCAAAACTTTTTTTTGAGAAAAATGACATTCTAAATGACATTACTAATTGATTTGTTTTAAAAGCCCACCTGATCAGAGATAGCTACACCGTTAACAGCCAGAATCCGGTCGCCGACGTGCAGTTTTTCGGCCGCCGTGGATCCGGGCTGTAGTGACGTGATAAGGATGCCCCGGGGGCGGCGGCCAATTCCCATGCCCCACTGACAGCCTTCATCTTTCTTCAAATGAATTAGCAAATTGTCCGAGCCTTCTTCGTTAATCGGCAGTAGGCCAATTTCGGCCGGTTCGGCTAGCGACTTCTGAAATAAAAATTAAAAAAAAAAATTTTTTTATTGAAAATTAAATTAAAAAATGGCACTTACCAAATCACTGCTACTGCCCGGCTCCTCCGTGACTGGTGACAATTCGCCTCGTGTAGCCGTCTCATCCTGTACCAAAACCTGTGGTACGTCTGGCGCAGCCATATAGCCTCCGGAAGAAGGTGCGGGAGCAGGAGATGGTACCCTTCGATCTTCATCTCCATCTCCAGGTGTCATTTTCACTCCCGAAGTGCCATTCGTCGTAGGCTCTGGTGCGGCGGCGAGAGGGCTCTGTGGTGCTGCTGCTGGTACTGTGGCTGGTGCTCGTTGGAGGTTGGGTGAGGTGGCGGTTGATGGTGGGTTCGAGGTTCGTGAAATGTGTTGAAATCGATTCGCGGCCTCGCCCAGCTTCCATCGGCCGACGCGGATCGATAGTTTGCCGGATATCGTCTGGAAATGGAAGTAGTAGGTTTTTTTATGTTAGAATTAAAATCAAGTTTTTAAAATTTCAAATTTTTCAAAATTTAATTTTTTTCAAACTTGATAAAAATGACATTTTTTTCAATGTTTTTGTAAAAAATGTCATAAAACTCACCTTAAACATTGCTGCGACATCTTCCTGCATTTTAGTTGACACGTCTACATTATTGATTTTCAGTATCTGAAATTAAGAATTTTTTGTATTATTCAAACATAGAAAGGATTTTCGTATTTTACGTTGAAATAATATTTAAAGTGACGAATCTGCAACTCTTACAATACTCTATCTTAACCTTACCCTAACCCAGGGACGTCGTTTGGAGTAGGGAGAGGGTGGTTCGGGGTGACATCCCCCCCCCCCCCCAGAGACAAATCGTAGCGACGTCCCTGCCCTAACCATACCTTTTCCGAACTACCTTAGTTCTTCCTTAACTCTGTTCTAATTGTATTCTTTAGCCGGCTCTTCTAGCTTATCAACTTCAAATACCCACCTGATCCCCCTGCATTAGTCGTCCATCAGCTTCGGCTAGCCCTCCTTTCACAATTTCTGATATATAAACTCCAGGTTCGTCTTTTCTGCCCACAATTGAGATGCCCAATCCTCTGCCAGGCTTTTTGACCAGCTCTAGATCATGTATCATATATGGTGGGTCTAGTAATGACAACTGAACGTTCACATCTCTGTAGACTAGAAGACGGACTTTGGCTGGTGTTCGTCGCAAGATTGATATGGCTTGTTCGTGGGTTAGACCGCGTAGGGATTGACCGTTTACCTGAAATTTCAAAAATATTTAAAAATTTCAAAAAATCTAAAAAAAATTAAATTTTAAGCAAAAACTTTACAAAACTTGAAATGGCCATAACTTTCTTTACAAAACGTAAAATGACAAGAACTTTCTTTACAAATCAAATTTTTCCAAAAATTTTGGCCATCTTCCTACCTAAACTTTTTAAAATTCAAATTTCCCGCCAAAAAACTCACTTCCAACAACTGATCCGCCGTCTTCAATCGTCCATCGAAGGCGGCCGCTCCATCCGGATAAACTTCATGAATGACTATTGAGCTGAGCACCGTGTCTGAGCCTCCAACTAGCGACAGTCCTAGGCCTCGGCCGCCCTTCTCAATCTCGATCAAGGTCTCTTTACCCGTTTCGATTGGCACTTTCTCCATCGGTTGCTGCCAACTCTTTTTGCGATCTGAAAGTTTTAGGGTTAGGATTTTAAAATTTTCAACTGTTTCATAAATATGTCGTATTTTACACAAAAGAAACCATTTTCATAAGATTTTTTAGCTTTTATGATTAGTAAATAGGTATAGAGCTATATATAAAAAAATAAAAACAAAAATTTTAGGTAATAGTTGCCTCATAAACAATTAAAATTAATAAAAAAAATTAAAAAACGAATCCTCATTCACACCAAAAGATGTAAAATAAAATTTTTAAACAACCGCATTAGGCCGGCCTCAAATCCAAAGCAAATTTGAAAAAGGCCAGACCAAATCGTGCAAGCCAGAGGGCCGGGCCCAAATAAAGGCCCCAGAAGATCAGTTTAGGTTGATCATTTAGAGGATAAAAGCAGTACAATACAAGTTTTCCCAGTTATTCTTTCAAATATTTTACATAAAAGGCCGTACTATGCCAAACTAACGCAAATTTGAAAAAAAACCGGACCAAGTCTACACACGTAGCCTAAAAGCCAAGGCTCCAAATCAAGGTCCTAGAGATGCAGCTTTAATCTCGCAACAAAAAAATTACAATGTTAAATAAGACCGCAAAAATTTTCTTTATAGGTCTATTGGGCCTCTTTACAGATCTATCCAACATTATTTTTAAGGAGAATACCTTTCCCTATGTCCCTTGCCTATAATCACAAGCCCTGATAAAAACAAGAAAAGTTGCATTAAAGCACCCCTCCCCCCTAAATCTTATCAAAACCCTCTCTCCCCTCCTCCAACTAACCTCATTTCCAGCCCTCCAAACTTCCTACTATTCGTAAATATTTTCCCCAGTCCATATCCACCCTGCCGCCTTCCCCACTCACTCCCTTCATCCGAGTTTTTGCATTAGACAAAACCCCATTCAGGATGGGCTGTAGCCTCTATAGGATGATGTCAACAATCTATATATTGGAACTACATTCAAATGTAAAAAAAGCTGCGGCCAAAACAATGCACTTTGTTTTCGACTTTTTCCCTTAGGCGAAAAAGTTGGGGCAAAAAAACAAACTGACAAATGCCAACAAAAGTTTTGGTTAATGGGATTTTTAAATCAGTTAATCTGTCGCTTGAGGGGTTTTCATAAATAGATCATTTTTAAAAATCGTGTTTTTTAAGAGGGGGGTTTAAAAACTGAAACTACATATATATTTATATACAGGGTAAAATACGTCATGTATTTGCATTTTTTATTTATTTTATTTTCTAAATTCACTCCTAAAGTTATACAAAATAATATAAAATTATAACATTTTTAACGATAAATGACTGTTACAGTGACGGTGTACATAGCTATTGATCCTGTATTCAAACTAATAAGCTTTTAACTATAAGCTATTTAGGCAAATTTAAAAAAAAAATTTTTTCGGAAAAATAATACATAGGATGGTTAGAGGAAGGGTAGGGGAAGATGCAATGTTTTTTTTAAAAATATTTTAGAGGGGGATGAAGAGTAAGGGAAAATGAAAAGACAGAGAGAGAGAAGGGTGGGGGAAGTCAAAAAAAATTTTTTAAAATTTAATTAGCATAGTATTAAAGCATTTTTTCGCGCCCAGAAAAAAAAGGGGGGGGAGGGAAAGGGGGGGGAAGGTAAAATCAATTTTATTCGAAATAAGTCCACAGGGGAGACCACGTTCAACATCTTCTCGAAAATTTTTTTTTGTCAAAAAAATTTCTTATTTTTTAATTATAAATCTTTCTTAACAACTTCGAAACTTTTTTAAAATGTCTCCTTACCCCCACGGCTCCCCAAACCGTAAAATCAATCAAAATATAGATTCGTCATCGATCGTCTTTTCCGATAATTTGTGACTTTTCGTTATTGCGGCCGCTTTTTTATTTTTGTCGCGTCTTCGACTGTAATAAGGTCCAAACTTGACGGATTTTCATCGGTTTTGCTCCCAGAGAAGCGGAAAAACATAATTAACATTTTAAACAAAATTTAAAAGTGAAACCATGTGTTACAACATATACATCGTGTAATTTGAAATATATTTTACAACATTTTTGTATTTTTTATTTTTCGAATAAATAGTTGAGACTACGAAATGCCTACAATCGATTTTTTAATAATTTTCTATTTTTTGGGGAGCCGTGCCCCCCCCCCCCCCCACCCAAAATACAGAAGAACATAAACTTTAAAAGCACCCCTTTATTCCTAAAAGCCAACATCAAAGCTCCAAATCCTGCCCTATCTTATAGCTAAACTATTCTGACCTATTCAATTCTTTACCCCCTTTCTTCCATTTTCATCAAAAAAAACTTGTTTTTGATACACAAACAAAATTTAATATTTGACGCCTTTGCAACTTCATAATTAGGAAACATAATAAAAATGCTGATGTCATTAGCATATGGGCGAAAGAATATATGAGAATTCGGGGCCGAAATTCATGTTGACAGCCGAAAAATATGAGCAAGGATATTAAACTCAAAACTTTTTAATACAGTGAGGAGACCTGGCCGGAAATGTAGGCCCGGTGCGGCCTATTTACAGGTCTAACTGGTACTTCTGAATAACAAACGCCTCTATAACAAAAATGTCGTATAACGAGCAACTTGAAACCCCTGCCTGGACAGGCCCAAAAATTTAAAAAAGGTCGAGCCGAGCTGACCCATTTAGACCGCAAGACCTGATAACCCAAGGCCCAAAAAGTAAAAAAAATGGGCCCGGTCCGGCCCACAGGTCTAACCCCCAGGCCCCAAGACCAAAACTGCCCTCCTACAATAACAAGTAGCCTTATCAATATCAAAAATATAAATTTCAGTTAAAAACTCATATTAAAAATTTAAATTTTAAAACTTAGAAGATGCACAAAGCGTATTTTACCATGCAAAGCTACGTCAAATTTGTACAAAAACCACGTACAAACTTAAACCCATTGATTAAGACTCCTAATCCTCATAATTAGCTAATTCCTTCGGAAAAACTAATCCCGCAAACGCAACAAAATAAAGAACTTTTAATCTTAACGGCCTTTAAAGGCATAAGAAATGACAGTTCTGGCTGGGTAAGTAACCTAACCCCTCCCCACGCATAATTTTTGTAAAAAATTTAAAAAAAAAAGTCTAAAAGTAAAAAAAAACTTTTTTAAATCGTTCCTGAAGCTACCTATGCCAATGTTTATAAAACCCCCTTCCTCTCTCAAGTCACAACCATCCCCATCTTACTGTATTTCATTCTTTCATCATAATATTAAACTTAACATTTTTAAAACCCCGCTTAAATTAAACGTATTTTAGATATAAAATCCCTTTGAAGTCTCTAGTGTACCCATTAGCAACAAAAACGTAACCTATGCTTCAGTTTAATAGTTATGTTATTTTAGTTTAATAGGTAAGTGTCATTACCACCACACATACTCACAGCATCATACGTCATAAATATATAAACGGTATTTGGTTCTCAAGTTCAATAGGCCACTGTTTCAAACGTTTTTAGGCTATACCGTGTTTAAGAGCAACCAAAATTTTTTTAAACTTTCCATGCCCCAACATCTTATACTAGACTTTTCAGACGTTTAAATTAAAGTATTGTATGCTATGAGTACTAGAATTAGTACCTAGGTGCAAGGACGTCCCTACTATTTTTTCTACGTTTCTAGGAGATAGAGGGGGGGGTAAGAGAGAAAGAGGTAAAACTTTTTTTTGATTATAAAATATCTAGCTTTCCTTTGGATTGGCTTTGAGAAAAAATTGATCAAAATTCTCCCCTCCCGCCTCCCCTTTACCAAAGTCTCTGCCCAACTCCTTATTAGCCTCAAAAAGCCCTTTTTTAAAAACTTTTTTCTACCCCACCCCTTAGAAAAATTAAATCCAAAATCTTGCCGGTTCTAAGCCCTCACCCATAGCCTTATTCTAAATCTTAGTTCAAACACATTACCTACCTTAACTTTAACAAAATTCCTTTCATAGTCTTCCCACTAATATCAAAATATAAATCCAGCCTCAGAACCCCCTTTTCCAAGCCTTTTTTCCACCCCTCCCCTTACCAAAATCAACGCAAAACCTCGTCGGTTCTAACCCCTCACCCCTGCCCATATCCGCCACCAAGTTGGACCGGATTCGGGAATGGAAACGAAACTGTTTTGGAACGCTTTTCGGAAACGCTCTCTCATTCCCACAGATTTCCACCTCCAGATGCCGGTCGTAGGGGCCGAAAAATAAAGGCGGCCGAAAGTAAAGAAAAGCCCGCAGGCAATGTAACCACACACACACATACACTTTTCTTCGTTTGTCGCGTACTGGTCGTCGTCAACGTTGTCTCCCATCTTTTTTCTTTTTTTTTCTACCCTACCCTACTGCTATGCGCTTTTAAAGGCGTTGTTCTTGCACGTTTTTCGTGTAATCGTCTATTGTTTCGTGTTGGAACAGTTTCGGTGTTATAGACTTTTTTAGGTTTACATAGTAATAAGGTGGAAGTCTTGTATAACAAACTCCTTTATAACAACAATCCTGTATAGTAAACCACTTTTAAATCTCAAATTTTCTATACAGATGTTCCAATGTAAAATTAAAACCAAAAAACTTGAACTTTCAAAAATATAACTATAAATTTTTTTAAAAAACCAAAATTTTCAAACTCCAAAAACAACAAACTTGGTTTTTGGTTGGTTATGAAGAGGTTTTGTTATAGGATGCACTATGTAATGATAGCCGGGGATTCAAAAGTTGTTCGTTATACAGGGATTATAGAGGTTCCTTATACGAAGTTTACACTGTGTGTAAAAAGATTTTTTAAAACAACCGTCCCAAAATGAAAAGCCATCAAAAAATTTACGTAAACCTCTGTTTTCTTTCAAAATTTTAACCCTTCTATAACAAAACTCCATTATAACAAACAATTTTTCATGCTGCGGCCAAGAAAAAACTTAAAATCCACAAGCGATTCGTTGTACAAAAATTCCACTGTAATCTTAAAAATCATTTCATAATAGGCAAGGGTAGAAAAGAAATAAGATATAACAAGAAATTCCGTGCCAGGCGGGTATATTATAGTCTGAAGGGGTTAGTTTCACTGTACATCCTGTACCTATTTTTTTGTTTTTTTCCTTTCAAATTCTTTTTAATTCGCTTCACATTAAGAAGTCCTTTCTTATCTTGTCTAACCCAGACTCTTCTCCCCCCCCCCTCTCCCAGCCTCCACCCCTTCCCATTCCCCCTCTCCTAACCACCAACCCCCCCCCCATCCCTAGCCTTCCCCCCCCCCAGCTGGACCCACAATTTCATCCGTCCCCAACCCGTTGTGTACGCGCGTACTGCAAGCAGTACGTCTTCCGAAAAAAAACGCACCGAAGCAAAAGATACCCAACAAACATCCGGGCCCAACCCCCCCCTTGGCCGCTTTATTTTGTTGTCTTTATTCGAAATGAGGAAAGGGAGAACAAGACGGCCGCGGCCCCAGGGCACAATCGATACTCGACGCACACACAAAATTTTAACTCCTTTAACAATCTTCATTTTTAAACTGTTTTTACTCGGAATCGAGAGTAAATATACCCCCCCCCCCTGGTCGTTTGGTTCGTTTTTCGGTGGAAAATCGTTTTTTTTTCGTTTGAGTCAATTACCAAAGTTTTCGCAGACCGATTCGTCATGGAAAATGGATTCAAACGGGGGTTTTGTGAGTACTGTATTGTCAAAAATAGGGTTTTCAAGAAAAAAAAATGATAAAAACAAAAAAAATAAAAATTGTAAAAAGCATCGTCCAAATTTGCATAAAACTCGTAAAAAAATAAAAATTTTTAAAAAGTTTCTAAATGTCTAGGTTCGTAACTCTACCTCATCCTAATATACTTCAACTTACCCTAATTTACCTTACTCTAAATTGTCCTGCCCTGCCTTACTCTGTCCTACATTAATAAGCCCTAAAACACCATAAACTCTAAAAAATGTTTTAAACGACTAAAGGTTGGCTAACAACAAAGTCCAGCAAAGTTTTTCTTATTTCTCACCCCTCCCCTTCACCTGCCCTGCACGAAAAGCAAAGTTGCCTACCCGGACTCGGCTTAGTCGTTTATTTTCACTTTTTTTAATTTTCAGTTTTTCAAATTAAAAAAATGAAAAATCCACCCCCGCACCAGAATTGTAAGTCCCAAAAGCTAGCCCAACCCAACTTTTTTAATTCCATCAAAAATATTTTTTCCCTGTCCATAAACAAAGCTTTTGTTCGAAAAATATTCAATTTTAACAGAGAAAAAGCTAGAAAAATGCATGTTCATCCCTTTCGAAGCAGGTAGAAAATAATATAAAATGCAATATCAAGAATAATATAAACTTAATATCATCTCAACTATGAGTCAGAAAACAAACACGTTTTTAGGCAATATGTGCATCATAACATGACAGTATGAGATGTCAGAAGTCAAAATATGATGTTATACTCTACTCTTACCTACCCTAACAATGTAAAACAACAAAAACTGATATGAAGTTGTAAATACTACACAGATTATCATAAGTTAGTAATTTATGATACAGTTTCGTAAGGACGGTAATTGTTGCCTATTCAAACACAAAGTTTAGAGTTAGGAGCTGAAATACTAGAAAGTAGAGAACATTTTGTCCTTATTAAGCCAGCAAAGCGTTATAAAAAACGACAAAACTTTTAAAACCCCGACAGTCAGACCTCTAAACAGACCGAGCCCAATTTTTTCACCCGTTCCAGCCCCCAGTGTTTTGCCGGACCCGTCCGGTCCGGACCGAAAAAAAAGTTCCGGACCGGCCCAAAAAAAATTTTTTTTTATTTTAATAAAACTGTTTTAAAAATTGCAAATAAAACATATTTTTAAGAGTTTTTAAACGTAAAGAAAGCAGTTTTAGTGCTCCTGACTCTTTTTAAAAATAAAAAAAAAATTTTCCGGACCGGACCTGACCTTTTTGGTCCGAACCGGACCGGACCTGAGCGAAAAAAATAGAGCCGGACCGGACCGAAAATTTTTCGGACCGGACCGAAAAATTCTTGTCCGGACCGGTCCGGCAAAACACTGCCAGCCCCGTCACTTTCCAATTTTCTTCGGCCCAGTCCTATGAAATATATTTGTCCTTAAATTTCGCCTATAAATTCAATAAAATAATAACTTATTATTAAGTATATAGCTTTAAAATCACATTGTTTTACACTTTTCGCAAACCAAATCTTTCGTTGCGGCACCTAAGCCATCCCCTTTTAAATTTAGTTTGGTTCAAACCTAACCTGAATCTACTCTAAACTGAAAGAAAGCCCCATCTGCCGGGCGTACCGGTCCCTATATCACGTCTACTGATAAACAAAAATTTAGTTTTAAAAACCAAGCTTTACGGTGATACAAAGTCTTTTCGTACAAAAACATAGCCATGACCATCCTAAAACGACAACACTTTTTGTACCACCCTCCAAAACACCTACTACCACGCCACTTTTACGCAACAAGGAATAAACGTTCCAGAAGCCGAAAAAAAATTAGTTCCTTTCGTAGCGAAAGAAGGCTAGCGAAGAATTGGCTTAAATTCAAGATGACAGCCCGTCGAACGCTTCTGAATAAACAAAAAAACTTCTGAAAGCCATTAAACGAAGAGAGAACAGGTGAATACTTTTGGGCCAGTTAATTTGAGCAATTCGGCCAGAAGCTTTAACATACGATGAATATAGTAAATAAAGTGTTTTATGTTGATATAAACAGGGTTATTTGGGCTGCTTTTAGGTTTTTTTGCAAACAAAATAAATAATAATTTTCCTTAACAAGAAGGTTTTTTAACTTATCCTACCCTGACGTACTTTGCCCAACTCAACCCTAAACTATCCTACCTTACCCTACCTGCCCTACCATAACATACCTTACCTTACCTTATCTTATCTTACCTTACCTTACCTTAAATTACCCTACTCTTCCCTACCTTACCCTAACTTACCATAACCTACCTTACATTACCCTACGATATCGTACCCACCCTTACCCTACCCCATCGAGTACTTTTCGCTGCCTTACTCTTTACTCTGCCCTACCATAGCGTTCAGTACTAAGTGTTAGTCTGCCCTAATCTTGCTTAATTTCTTACCCTACCCTACCCTATCATACTCTTCCTTACCTTGCTCTGCTCTACCATAACTTTTACTACCCTATCCTGCCCTATCACCCTCTACCATACCATACCGTTCCCTACCCTATCATACCCTATGTCATAGTGTATGTTAAGAAAAACTCTTATATCATATTACAGAGTATCTAAAAATAGAATGAAACACAAATAAAAACGCCCACACAGTGTAATCCACTTAAGTTGAAGGTAAGGTAGGTGCAATTAACAGTAAGTCACGCTATGTTAAATACTTCAATTTGTAAGTGCTTTAGAAGTTTCTAAACTTTTATCATTTTCAAAATAAAAAAGGCTTGTTTTACAGTGCAAAATAACGTGATATCTAATAAAACGCAACAAAAAAATTTCTTTTAGATACTGAAAAAGTCTTGTCGTAATTTAGTCAGGCTTCCCATATTAAAAATGACAAGACTTTTTAGACCCCCTTCAAAAACTTTTTTTCCAAAAAAACTGATACCGTACCCTGAAAAATTAAGATTACAACCGTGTGTGAAATTAGAAAAAAGAACAGTGAAAGCACGGTAGAGATTCGACAAAGATCGACCTTGTCATATCAAGCCGATTCCTGTTTTTTTTTGATTTTGGCCAATTTCGAACGGTAGAACCTAACAAAAAACGCCCGGAATTGGCTTAATTTCGTTGCGCGAAAAATTAAAACGACATAAAAGAACTGGAATTACTGTGGTATTCGGTTGAGTCATGAAGTGTACTTTTAGGCTTCGTGTTTGAGTCATAATGTGCAGTTTTAGGCTTAGAACTTGAGTCGTGATGTGCGCTTTTAGGCTTACAACTTGAGCTAAGACATGCACTTTTAGGCCTAAAGCTTGAGCAATAGCGTGCACTATTAGGCTTAGAACTTGATTCATGACGTGCCCTTTTAGGCTTAGAGTTTGAGTCATTACATGCACTTTTAGGCCTAAAACTTGAGCCATGACGTGCGCTTTTAGGCTTAGAAATTGTCATGAAATGCACTTTTAAGCCTAAAACTTGAGTCATGACAAGCACTCTGAGACTTAGAACTTGGGTCAGGGCGTGCACTTTTAGGCTTAGAAATTGAGTCATGACGTGCACTTTTAGGCCAAGAACTTGAGTCAGAACACGCGCTTTTAGGCTTAGAAACTGAGTAACGACTTTCATTTTTATAATTAAAACTGGCATCACAATCTTTTAAGCCTAAAAACGGTGTCAAAATTTAAGATTTTTGAAATTCAAAAAATTTTAATTTTTAAAATTTTGAAATTTAAAAGTTTTCAAAACTCACGTAAATCATCTGTCTTCGAAACATCATGCAGACTCAAGGGTGTTGTGGTTTGACCATTTTGCGACCCATTGCTGGTCAAATTCGCTGGCAATGACAGCTTTGGCGATAGTTCTTTCTCGTTCGTTGTTAGGTCATCTCCCTGTAACATTATGATTATTGTAATGTAAAATACGGCATTGTCACCACATTCTTAATTAAAAAACCTTTTTTTTTGTATTACTAATTTAAAATTTAAAACTCAATTTTAAGCCAAAAATTAAAATTTTCCTGATAATCAGGCTTTTCGTGGTGAAACCAAAAATCTGTAAATATTTTAAAACTACACTATACGAATTAGTTACAACTTTGTAGACTTCTTCTATTGTATAAAAAACATTATTTTAAAGCTTAAAACCAAAGTCTTCCTGATAATCAGAGTTTTCGTGGTGGAACCAAAAATTAAAAAAAAATTTAAAGAAATATAATTTTAAATGTCTCTAACAACAACTATTTGCTTAAAACGCTAAAAATTTATAAAAAAAATGTATTCCCAACGTTTCCGTTGTGAGACCAAGTAACATCTTCGTGAGCTACCTAGTTGGACCTCATGAGCTAAATAGATGAATCTCGTGAGCTATAATAAACTACGTAAACCTCACGGGCTGATAATTCTCATGAGCTATCTATGAACCTCATGAGCTATCTAGGTAAACCTCACGAGCTATATAAATAAACCTCATGAGCTATCTAAGTAAAAATCATGACCTATCTAAGTAAACCTCACAAGCTATCTAACACCTCAACCTTACCAATCCAATGCGATAGAGCCGGTTACTAATCTTGCGTATCATCGCTCGCGACTAGAACAACATAATCAGTAAAGTAAGCGCACATTCAACTGGCACAATCTCACGGGAATATTCGAAATCGACGCAATTTGTGTGGAAAAACGACAGGAAAAAACATTTCCAACGACCGCCGACTTGTTTTTTAATTACCACCACACATTGCACTTCGTATCTTGGGCCGTTAGTTCGTGGCGTTGAGTAAATAATGTCTTTTTTCTGTACATAACACAACCAAAAATCATTTTTTTTTTCGAAATTTACAATTTTGAAGCCAGAAAGTAAGGAAAATATAAAAAATGAAGTAAAACTCCTATATAACGAACCGTTTTTTATAAAAAATTCGAGTTTTCCCACCTTTTCAAAATTATATCATACACAATTTCATAAACAAATTACAGTACAACCCTTGAATGAATTTTTTAACCATTCACAATTTGTTCTTTTTAAAGGAGTTTCATTATACAGGAGTTTTAAATGAACGGTGTAGTGTTGGCTAAGAATTTAAAAGTTGTCTGTTATACAGAAATTTTGTTATAGAGGAATCTTTTACTTAGAAGTTTAAAGATAGGTAACTCAAAGGTAAAATACGACATCGGGCGTAGTAATCAAGACGTATTACAATAAAAACACAAAAATGAATTTTTTAAATAAGCCCTGTTTTCAAAAAAAATGTAGAAAAAAAAAAACACCCCACTTCTCAGAAAAATTATTTTAATTTCATGTATGTTTGGGGGGGGAGAGAGGAAGGAAAAAACATAGATAAAAAGATCAGGGTGTAAGAAGAGTTAAAGTGAAAAAAAAAACAGTAAAAAAAATTTAAAATTTTTAGGTCCCCCCCCCCTTAACCAAAATTAAAAAGACATATCTCAAAATTACCCTACCCAGTTCTTCCTATCTTCGAAAACACAAATTTTTTACCATCTCTCCTTTTCCCACCTCCTCCCACAACTTCAAAAATTCCCTACCCGCCGCTTCCTACCCTCCAAAACACAAAAATTCTTTTTATTTCGAAGATAATTCATAATAATGTTTGTCTAACCCAAAAATATTCCAATTCCTCAAATCCAAAGCCAGAAAAATGATGAGAAAAACAAAAATAAAAACAACCCGTCTCTCCCCCCTCCTCCAATTTATGAGAAAAAGCGAGGAGAACAGGTACGGCCCCAATAACAAGCACATCATCATCATCTATTTACAAAAAAAATATTGAAAATTGAGAAATGGCTTGCAGGCACACGCCTAATCTGGAATTACTGTTAGGATTTCAGCGTGCTCACAGCCGTCTCGCTTAAGTTCCACTGATAAATGCGGAATAAGGGCTTTAGAGAGGTGTTGTGGAAGGATAGTTTTCGTAAAATATGACTGGGATTTTGGAAATTTTCGTAGAAGGGTAGTTATAAGAAAGTAGGATGGAAAGATTATAAGATAGGGCAAGAAAGACAAAACTAAAAGGTATAAGATAGGCCTAGTGTAAAGCTAAGGCACAGCTAAGAAAAAACAGGGCAGTGCTAAAGTCAGGCTATGGACAAAGATAGAGCTAATCTAAAGTGAGACTAGAGCAGGAAACAATAAGGCAATATATGGTCAAAAAAGCCAGGTAGAGTAAGATATGATGAAGGTAGGGCTACAGCCAAGCTATGATAAGACAAAGATATAGCTCAAGTAAGACTAAAGCTAGGGTAAGAATGAAGTAGATCAATGAAGGATAAAAATGACTAAATTCGAGCTAAGACACATCTAGCTAAAGGCTATGGTAGAGCTAAAGTCAGGCCATGGTAAGACAAGAATAGGGTCCCAGCAGAACGAGGTTAGGGCTCGAGTAAAACTAAGGCCAAACGTAGAGTCAAGTACATCTAAGGAAAGGACATACCTTACCCTTACCGTTAGTCTAGAGCAGAGCTACTTTAGCTATTCTAAAACCAATTTCTGACTAACGTAAGAGTACAAAAACATTGACTAAAACTGAGATAATTTCCATGCGACGTTGTCCTTCTCGTGGAAAAACGTTAAACCAAAAAATAAATACAAAAAGTTCCATTAATAAACTCTTTAAGCCTACAAAACTTCCAAATTTTCCCTAAAATCCCATTTACACTATCATTTTAAACCCTTCCCTACCCTATTTCAACTAGAATTCTAAAGATTTCAACTTCTCCTAAACAAAAGTCAGAAGCAAGAAACCGCGGCACGTTCCACAGTATTAGTGGAACAGTGAGAACGTCACTTTCCGTTTTCGCGGCAATCAAAAGATTTCGGGACGGAAATTCGAGACTCTCGGCTTTAAATCGAATCAACGCCTCCGGGTGCGAAACAAATGCCCATAAAGTGCAAAAGATATATCGGGCATAATATAATGGTTGTTTACAGCTCCTCACCCCCAAGCCCCGCTACTCGTGTAGACACTTTGTATGAATTTGAACAGATATAGAGGACGGTTTGCAAGATACGTATTACAGTCAACAGTGTTTGCAAAAACAGTTTGGAAAATGAGGTGATAATAGAAAAAACAGTTAAGAAATAGCTAAAAATGGCAAAAAAAGTAAAAATGAACCAAAAAACCGCTAAAGAAATTTAAAGAAATTTCAAGTCAAGACAAAAAAATCCTTAAAAATTGTTTTCCTACCTTACCCTATCCAACACTACCCTACTCTACTCTACCCTACCTTATTCTACCCTACCCTATACTACGTTACCTTACCCCGCATTGCCTTACCCTACCCTCCAACATCTTTAAAAGAAAGATATTCAGCAATCTAATTCAAGTTAACAAGACCTGTTTTTATAGCCAAAACTTTAAATTCCAAAAAAAAATAAAAATTTAGGTCCCACCACGAAAGTTTGAAAATCTACAAAAAAACTTCAAAATTAAGCAACTTAAGTAATAGTTAAAACTAGTTTTGAAACGTGAACGCTAAACCAACCGTATTTTACAAAAAAGTTTGATAAAAGCGCCAAAAATTTAAAAAATTTTTGAATAAATTAAATCAATACTTTGAACAAAAACTACAATAATATATAACAGATTGATTAGTTAAAATAACGATACTTAGAAAGATTTTCAAATTTCAATTTCTCTAAAAAAACACAAAAAATAAGTATTTATCCCACCACGAAAACGTGATCAATAAAAAATCATAATGGTTATCTAATTCTTTAGCTTTTTCAACTCAATTACGCCCAATAAAACTCACCAGATTGACCTTTTCAGTAGGAGCTGAACTTGTTGCCGTTGCCGGCAACTTTTCCTTCAACCGATCGACAGTTGAAGGCGGGGCTTTGCCTGTTCGTAAGATTACTAATGCAAGTTCATCGCCTTCACAACATTCGCGGATCTTAATCGACGCACTTTGGTGAGATAGGCCAAAAAGGACTTTTCCGTTTATCTAAAATTTTTTTTTTATTTTAAAATTTTTTAAAAATCACAAACTTATTGCTACATAGTGCTTTTCCCTACCCTATGATAGCCTACCGTACTCTGCCCTACCATAACCCATTGTACCTTATTCAACCCTATCCTTCTATTCCCTACTCTACCCTATCCTACTCTACTAAACCTCACTTTACCCTACTCTACCCTACATCCACCCTGAGCTGCCCTACCCTTATCCGCCAAACCTTATCAAAAACTCTTAAAAATTCATATTTGAACGGCCAATATACAAAAAACGTATTTTACCTCCAAAAGTTCGTCGCCGACTTGAAGTGGCAGTGGTGAGGTGGACTTGATATCGACCACAAAAACTGATTGTTTTTCGTTTTCACTTCGACCAGCCAAAGACAAACCCAAGCCTTTCGGTGGTATTCCGACCAGTCGTAGGATTGTAGGTTCGCCTGGTAAATTACCGTACTTTCGCTTCACCTTTTCTAAAAAATTAATTTTACTATGTAATTTGATACCTAAAATCATATAATATAAAAAAAGTGGAAGATTTAATATTAATAATATTTTTTGCGTATTTTACAAAAAAAAATTGATAAAAAATACTACAGTAACCAAAAACTACAGTACCCACCTGTAGTGTATAAAAACCGGTCCTCTTCCTCCTTATCATCTGCCACTTTTGATAATGCAGCAGCACTGTCTTCTTCAATCTTTGGCTTGATAACCATATCGACCGGTCGATTTTCAGTCACTTCTTTTACTTCTACTTCTTTCTCTTCTACTTTATCTTCTTGTTTTTCTATTTTTACGTCTATTTCTTCTTCTTTTAATTCCTCTTTTTCTTGTTTTTGTTCTACTTTATCGTGCTTTTCATCTAGTTTCTCGTCTTTTTGAGGTTCTTTGTTTGGTTTCGCTGATTGAGGTATAGATTCTGGCTCGATTTTGTTGTGAATCAACTCGATCTTCTGTTGACGAGGCTCTTCCGACTTTTTGGCAAACTGAAAAAAAATATTTTTTTTATTTTAAAATTAAAATTTTTTTTGAAAAATTCGAAATTTAAAGCTTTTTACTGCTCTATCCTACCTTACTTTACGCTACCCTACCCCACCCTACCTTACCCTACTTTACTCTACCCTACCCTACATTACCCTGCTCTATTCTACCCTACCCTACCTTACTCTACTCTACCCTGCCCTACCCAACCCTACTCTACCTTACTTTACTCTGCTTTTCTATACTCAACTCTTACCTACCAGAACTTACCCTGCCTTGCCCTATTAAACCCTACTCTAACCTGCCCTATCCTACACCACCATATGTTATCTCTATTATTAACATATTATACCCCACCCTACGTCGAAAAGCGCACTTTTTTAAAGGTACCCTGTCATGCGCTTACCGTGCTCTATCAATTGTATCTCCCCGTAAAAACCCAAGCCTCTGCTTAACTTTTTTTAAAAATTTTTCTTTTCAAAACTTCAAAAAATGCAACAAACCCCCCCCTTCTAAATAAAAAAAAATCCACCCAAAATCTCAACTGTCAAAAATTTATTTGTTGTCGCATAAATTACATATCCCCCTCCCCTTACGGCCACGTCCACATCTGAAACCGATGTATAAGACGGGCCTTATGGATGAGGCCCTCGGGCGAAATGAAGCAGAAAAAAGCGAATTTGCTCTTCAAGTGTCTTCTACAAATACTTTTCATCTTCTTGAAAAGGTTATAGAAATTTTTTGAAAAAAAATTGTGAAAAGCCCTGAGGACATACTTTATCGGCCGAGAAACTTTGCAGCGATTGCACCACGAAATTTACGGGATTCTTGGCATTCTTGATGGCTTGAACGGCTTGCTCGTGGGTGGCACTGCGGAGATCAACGTCGTTTACCTGAAAATTAAAAAAAAAATAAAATTTAAAACTTTCTGCTCTACAAAAATATTATCCTTCGTATAACTTGTCACCCCATACTCATAAAAATTATAATGGCAATAACGTTCTTACGAAAATCAAAAATGGCAAGAACTTCCTTTACAAAACAAAAAATAACAAGAACTTTCTTTACAAACTATAAAATAGAAAGAACTTTCTTTACAAAACAAAAAATAGCAATAACTTTCTTTACAAAACAAAAAATGGCAATAACTTTCCTTGCAAAACAACAAAATAGCAAAAACCTTTTTACAAAATAAAAAATTGCAAGAACTTCCTTTACAAAGCAGAAAACAACAAAAACTTTCCATAAAAAAACTCAAAACTCAAAAATCTCCTAATTAAAACCATCCACCACCCCCTAATTATAACCAACTTACGCTGATGACCCGGTCGCCCATGAACATTCGGTTCGATCTTCCGGCCGGCGAATCGGGCAGAACGGACTTGATGAAAATGCCCGATACCGTGCTTCCTGTGCCGGGTAATCCGCCCTTTTGCGAGACCTCCACCCGACCACCCACTATGCTAATCCCGAATGTTTCGTTCGGCTCGCGAATCAGGCCCACGGAACGCTCCTCGCTCCAAAAGTTGGCACGTTTCTTGGGCTGAAAACATATTATTTATACAATTTTTAAGATTTTTAGAGTAATTTAATGTTGCAAAATATATTGTTGTTTTTTTAAGAAAGAAGTTATATACTGCTCTGATTGCATTCTATATAGAAAGCTCATGTAAATATACAATCTTCAAAAAAGTATTAAATCTTTCCAACCAAGGAAATCGACAAGTAAATTCACATTTAAATTTCCCGCCAAATTGGCATTATGTTTCACGTATTTTATATAGTAAGCTTTTAATCTGTAAAATACTAAAAAATAAAAAAAAGTAAATTACACTATCCCATTTATTGCTGTTTCCAAAAACGTTTATAACTCAACTAATTTTCTGTCAAAATTATTATTTGTATTTTCAAAATAAAGGTAATAGTCATCTGTACAATCACCCAAAAAACCAAAATGATCATGTAACATACGACAAAGTTACAAGCAAATTGATAAACTCAACCAACTCTCCAAACTTATTACAATAACTATACTCACCTGATCTTCCCTGCCCGAATGCCCTGAAGCTGAGCTAGCCAACGTATTAGTTGAAGCATCAGTTGTTAATGAATGTCGTGGCTCTCTTACTTCGACTTCAGCTTCGTGAACAATCTTTTTATTGTGGGTAACATCACCATTTACTCTGGTATTATCCAGTACCAATGGTAGAGTAGTTGGCGGCGGAGGGAGAGGCGGTGAGTTAGATCGTTCTTTGGTTGGATCATAATTTACCTCTACTTTGACTGTTTGTTTGTGCTCTGATAGTACGGTATTCGTACTGTAGTTTTCTTTTGTGTCTAGTACTTCTGAATCTTGGGCATCTGTAGTTGTTTTTGATAATTTTACTTCTGATTTTGTGTCTTTAAAAGGTTTAGAAGAATCTTCTGTAGCCCCAGTAGCGTTTACAATACCCTGGGTGGTAGTTACAGTACCTGCAGTATTATTTACACTGGCTTCAGAAGCAGTCACAGCACTTCCAGTAGCCTTCACAGTACCATCACTACTACTTCCATCCTTAACAGTACTCCCACTATCAGCAGCTTCAATTCTCACCCTTCCAAGTTCATCTACAGTAACCCTATCTACAGTTTCTTCAACATAATTCGCAGTATTCGAAGAGCTGGCTTCAGATACGCTTTCAGATATTGTAGGTAATAGTGGTGGAGGAGGTGGAAAGTCTTCCGAATCTTGTCGATAAGACTCTTGAGGGTGTGTTACAGTAATATCAACTGTAGATGTAGAAGGTTCAGATGTGTAGGCTCCTTGTTTCGTTAGAAACACAGGTTTTGGCGCTATGGGCGGGGGTTTTGAGGCCTAAAACAAGATGAACAGTAGGGTTTAACTGGTTGTAAAACGGTGTAACTACTAACTTTAAAAAGGGAAGGTCAAGTTTTAAATGTTTTATGAGTTGTCACATATAATTGTATTAAAACAATGCCTAAAAATGTACCTAAAAACAACAAAAATACTTAAACATTCAAAATTTAGTCAAAAGATGGCAAAAAATCGATTAAAAATTCATAAGTTTGCCATAAGCGTTCAGAGAGTAACACAATATTAACCTACTCTACCTTACGCAGCTTTGCATTAACAATTAAAAGTTGAAAAAAATATGCTTTGGAATGTAACTTACATTATCATCAATATCTTTTGATCTCCTTCCTGTTGAGCTATTCGACCATTCTGGTGTTCGAAAGATTGTCCTCAGTTCCGTCACAGTATCATCAAATACTGCCTGAACAAAAAAGTCATTTTGGTCAAAAAATTTTTTTAATTTAAAAATATTTGAAATTACAGTATATTTTAAATCACCAAACGTAAAAAAATTTTCAATTTATTTTTTTTTGCACTTTTTCATTAGATTTTTTTACACAGCCGTTAGATCTACGTTTTACGTCACCTCCATCCGCTTATACCCTACCCTATCGGTTCTCATCCCATCCGCGTATTTTACCCCACCCTTACCTTAATAAACTCATCGATGAGTTGTTCGACCCGTTTTCGATTGTCTGGACTAAACTGCTCCAAACTCATGACCTGAGCGTTCTGGCAAAAGTCAACCGAATCCTGTGACGACTGATTTGGCAGCCCTTTTCGACCCAGAAATGGCGAACGGTAGAATTTTGGATGGACCCTGGAAAAAGTAAAATAATAAGTAGTACAATATCACTTTTCAGGATCTGCAGCTAAAAAATCTAAATTATTGTTTTTGGCAAAGCCAAGCAGAGACTTATGGTCTGAGGGCGGGGGTCAAAAAAATCGGCACTGGTAGCGCCTGTGCCATTTTGTAAAAAATATTTTCCAAAAAATCACAGAAGAGGACCACGTTCAACATTTTTCAAAATTTTTTTTTCTAGAGGAAGATCCCCCCCCCCGTTATACAGAAACATTAAAAATAGAGTTCGTTATACAAAAGTTTCCATGTAATGTAAAATACGGTCAGCGAAAACAAATGTCTGCTTTTTTATACATTTTTCATTATTTTTTCAAATTACGGCCCTTCCATATTTTATCATTTCTTACTCTACCCTACCCAGTCCTACGTCGCTCCACCTACTTTATCGTATCTCGTTTCCCTTAAGTTGCCCTAACCTACTCTATTCTATCCTAACTTACTATACCCTACAATGCACAGACCCTTATTTTATATTTTTATCCTTAAAGCACATTAACCTCTCTTCCCAGCCCCCCTATGCATTTTTCCACCACCCTCAACCCACATTTCTTGCTCACCTTCTATCCACATCATTTTCCACCCCTCCCAGACGCATATTTCTCCCCCCCCCCTCACATTAATTCCCCACCTTCTCCACATCCTCCTCCTCCCAGACATTATTTTTTTCACCCTAACCCACATTTCTACCCAAAAACCTCGTACCGTTCCAGCACGCAAAGACAGTGTTTTAGCCACGTCCTTTGGCTTATTGAATGGAATTTCCGCCGCAAAAAAGCAAAAAACAAATATTTTTTGCCACCGAATCAAGGGCCGAAAAAGTTCGTCTAAAGATGGTCAAAATATAGGAAGAACACGGCCGAAGGGAGGGAAATGAATGATTGCTCTGTTGGGAGGTCGTTTGTTCCCACTTTTTGGCCAATATCAACTCAAGCTAATCGAGTGTCCGAAATTGGCTTTTGACGGGTTTTCCGATCGAATTTTAATTGAGGTTTCAAAAAATTTTAAATTTTAAAAATTTCAAAATGATAAAAAAACTTCAAAAAATTTTGAAATTTGACCGTTTAAAAAAAATAGGTAATAATTTTAATCAAATTTTACCTTAAACCATCCCAACTTCTCCTCCTCCTTTAATAACATGCTTTACTGCAATATGCTAATGCGCACCCAACCGCATAACCGGGCCCGTCCAATAAATACTCAGATTAGTAAAAATAAAAACTATAAAAAATTAAAATCATCTAGCTCAAAATGGCAGTGAAATTTCAAAAATTAAAATGAAAAACACAATGCCCTGCCTCAGCCCTTCCCCACCCTGCCCAATGCTCTGCCCACTTGCCCACTTAGACATAAGAAACGGGCCGAGCCTGAAAATCAAGGCCCGGCCCGAAAAGTGCGAGCCATTTGCACGTAAAAAAATTCTAGCCAAACCGGCCTAAGCAAGATTTAGATCGGGCCGAGTCTGAGTGTTCGGCCCGTCCCGTTTCTCATGTCTATGCCCAATGCCCTGCCCCATCTCCCTAAATCATGCTTTTTTCCATGTCTTGACCTATGCCCTGCCCCACGCTCTGCCCTATTCTCTGTCTCATGCTTTACCCCATGCCCTGCATCAAGCTCTCAAATTTAAAAATTTAAGAAAAAGATATAAAATACTCTAGCCTGTATGTAATTGACGTTTTTACAAAAAAATGTATTTTTAAAGATTTTTAAAGAAAAAAAGCAAAATTCAGTAAAAAAGCTTACGCAAGCATCAAAAATTTGTTTATACGTAAATAAAAATAAATCTAAAAGTAATGCCAAAGTTGATGTATAGCTTCCGAAATGTCTGTGTACGTGAAGAAAGGCCCAAAATAGAATTTATCGTTTTTATATGGCCAATAAAACTTAAATTGTTCTTCGAAAAAAAACTTTAAATCCGAAATTGTAGTTTATTTGTTTATACCCTAGGCTAGTTTACCGTGCCCAACTATAGTCTATTCAGCCTTACCATACCCCATCCTACGTTAAACTACCCTATCCTATTCTATCCTACCCTACTATACTCTATATTACCACATTCAATCATACCATCAGCCTACCCTCACCGTATTCCATTCTACCCTATAATAACCTATCCTGCCCTAACTTGCGTTGCTCTACTCTGCCCCACCCTGCCTTACCCGGCTATAACTTTATCCTACCCGCTCTTATGTCCAAAATGCTTAAAATTACATTAAAAAAATTTTAAACCAAAAAATCCGCCATCCTTATAACAAAAAAAAATAATTCCAAAAATCCACCCCCCCCCCTCCTCCCATTCAAAAAAGCATCCTAAAAAAACTCACTTGGGTGACAGCCGACTAACGCCCTGATCGTTGAGATTCTGCTCGCGGTGGAAGCGCTCCTTCCACAGTTTGGCATCGGCGGCCGTGATGTAAGTAATACTGAAAATGTGCGTAAATCCACTTTTAATAAAAATCTTTTTAAAGAAAGCGACGGAAAACGGAACGGAAGTCAATTTCCAGCGAAGAAAAGGTTTGGGGCCAGGATAGAAGGGCAACATTTGCAAGACCAAATATAATTGCATGTTATAAAAAAAAGCTGGTTTTGAATTAGTTTTTTGTATTTTTAAATTTATTACTGTAATTTTTTTGTTAAAGTGAAAAATGTAAAGCAGCCCAATATAGTAACATAAGGGACAGTATAACTAACGCAACAGTAGAACCATGATAAAAGCAAGGGCAAAGCTGAAAAAAGTATGACAACATAAAACAAGATAAAGCAGTGAAAAATAAGATAAGGTAAAGTAAAGTACGATACCGTAGATTAAGGTAAAGTAGTTTAGAGTAGCTTACAGCAAGGAAAAGTAAAGTAGGGTAAAGAAGAGTAAAATAGAGTAGTGTGTAGGGTAGAATAAGGTAATTTAGGATAGAGTAGAATAAGTTAAGATTATGCAGAGTATAGTAGAGTAAGGCAAGATAGAGAAAAGTACGATAGGATAAAAAAAAGTGAAGTAAGGAAAAGACAAGTAAGATAAGGTAGGATAATGTCCTGTTAGACAAGCTCAAAATGTATTTACAACAGGGTAAGATTACAAGCAAGATAAAGCACATTAAATGAGAACGTTAAGTAAAGCAATTTAAAATTACAGTCGAACTCCTGTATAACGAATTGCTCGGGGACTTGAAATTTTTTCGTTATAAAGGAGTTTCGTTATACAGGAGTTTTAAATGCACTGTGTAATGGTAGACGGGGATTCAAAAGTTGTTCGTTATATGGGATTTTCGTCATAGAGGAGTTCGTTATACAGGAGTTTTACTGTAATTAGATAATGTCAAGATATAGAAACGTCAAATTAAGCCTAGAATGAACTGATCTTCTGTAGCCAAAGCAAAAAGACCAAAGAATCGCTTCAATAAGACTACAATAATATAAAAATAAATTAAAAACAACTACTTCTATGGTAAAATACGTCCGACCACACAGAAAGATCACAAAATCTGTCATAAAATCCTTACTTGCATTGAGTACCAACCAAATTGGTCCTTTTTAGTATGGCACGTGCTTGAGAATTTGTGACATTTCGTAGGTTTTCGGTGTTCAATCGAATAATATAGTCACCAACCTAAAATTAAAGTTTTTTATTATATTAAAGTTCAAACACTCTACAGTATTCTAAAAACTACTGTAAGTTAGACAAAACTTTGTTAAAAGGCAAAATTCCACAGAGCTCTACATAAGCTACCAAATTAACAATATATAACTGTGATGCACGTATTTTACCACCGTTTCTTCTCCTAAAAACCCAATATTCAAATCAAAACAACTAACCTGGACTCGTCCATCTCGTCCGATAGCCTTCTTGCTACATATGTTCTTAACCACACACCCATTGATGGCTTTGTCCACGTCAGCATCAAGTACAATACCTAATGGCAACGCTCCTTTCATAACTTTGATCGACCTTTCCAAATGAGGTGGTAGAGTGATGACATCGTATGACCAACTTCCTTTCAATGACACTGGAGAACCGACCGGAGAAACCGACCGGGACGAGCAGGGCGTCCAGCTGAACATTGAGCAATGACTTCGTGGTGTTGTTGGTGTTGCACTGCCTGAGGAGGGAAAGTAGAGCTGAAAAGAGTTTTTATAACAAAGTAAAGTAGAGTAATATACAACAAAACAGAGCTTAAAATTACAAGTATGATAGACTAAAATAGTGTAGAATAGGGTTTAATAAAGCAAGGTAGAGTAAACAGTTTAAGGTAGGGCAAGTTATAGTATGTAAAAGTAGAGTAAAGTAAAGTATAGAAAAACAGATATAAGTAGAGTAGAGTAAGCTAAGACAATTTAAGATAGAGTAGAACAAGGTAAGGTAGGGTATAGTAAAGCACGATAAATCAGGGTAGAATAGGACACAGCAAGATAGAAGAGAGCAGAGTGAGATTAGATAAGATAGTACAAGATAGAGTAGTTTAGGGTAGAGTAGAGTAAGGTAGGGTAGAGTAGAATAGGGTAAGGTAGGGTAAGGTAGAGTAAGTTAGGGTAAGGTAGGGTAATATAGGATAAGGTAGGTTAAGGAAAGATAGAGTAGGGTAAGGTAAAGTAAGACGAAATAGAGTTGACTAGAGTAAAGTATTATAGAATAAAAAATTTTCAATTTTTTTTTTCAAAATTCGAAAATTTCAAAAATTTGCAAACTTTTCAAATACACAAACAAACAAAGCCTCGTGCTACGCGAACACTTAATCTCAGCAGTAAATGCCAAAAAACGTAAAGCCTTACTTGTGGATTAAGTCGTCGATAGAGGTCTGCCCCAATCCAAACTTCCTCCGAACTGGCGCTAACCTGCAAACATAATGTATAGACTTACATAATTATGGAGTCAACGTATTTTACCAAATTTTAAATATTGGGCAAGACAGATTAACACATTGGCTCAAGGGTAGGGTAAAAATTAAATCCACCCCTTACTTAAACCGCCTAAACATTTTTTTTAATTTTGCGTCAATCCACTCAAAAAACATTTCCATACCCACGCCCTAAGACCAAAATTATACGAGTTTTATAAAATTTGTTTCAAACATTAAGCTTACAGATGTATGAGAACCGAGAAACGACCCCAGCAATTGTTCCGAGTTGCCCAAATGCAAGCGACGTCGTCGTGATCGTGGCGATAAACCCTTGGCCAGTAATCGTTCGCTTCGGCTGATTATCGGAGAATGGGCACCGAGTTGGAGCTATAACAACAGTTACTTTACTTATAAATTTTTCAGTTTTTTTATTTTGCGTTTGAAAATTGTACTGTAGACTAAAAAAGGAGTCCACTAGGTCCCAAGCCAAGTCGCAGCAAATTATAAAGGAACGTGCCGGCAAATGTGAACCAAAGACCGGAATACAAACGAAGTCCCACCCGTGAGCCGGGCCGAAAAATTAAGCCAAGATGGTCCCTTTAGAGTACGGTGGAATAGAGTACAGTAAGGTAGAACGAGATAGGGTAGGATAAGATAAGTTCGGATTAGGCATGAGAAACAGGCCGGGCCCGGCTCATTTTTCAGGCCCGGCCCGATCGAAATTTCGCTCAGGCCCGGACCGTTTCTCTTGTCTAGGTCGGATAGAATAGGCTAAATAGTAAATCAAAAACTATAAAAAACAAACATCACTTCCCGTATCTATATTTTTTTAATTTTCACCAATCCCTCACCACGCCTTTCCCCTCCCCCAAATTCTCAACCTAACAACCCTGACCATATTTCAAACCCATTTGAACCCAAAACCCCTCGAACGCATTAACCTCGCACCCAAAACGGCGTAAAATCGACCATAAAAATTAGTCGCGAACATACGCAAATTTGGCCCAGACAAAAGTGAGGTGGTGGATCCTTGGATTTTTAGGCCGCGGCACTAAATTAAGAATTCGTTTAAAAAGCCGCTAAATGGCCAACAGCACTTCGTCTCGCGAAAGAAATGGCCATAGAATGTTTGCCAAGATTGGAAAAGAAGTCGGCCCGAATTACCGCAGCCCAAAACTGATTGAGGTAGACAGTTTCTTAGTTTTTTCTTAGGTTTGGAGGTGTAACTAGGGATGTTTTTGCTCGATTATAGTAAAAAACTTATTGTAGTACTAAAAGGTAGGTCGGTCAAATACTCAAAAAATCACTTTTCACCCTAATAAATTAAAAAGCCAACACCATAATCTTAAAAAATCACAAGTTATACACTCCTAAAAAAAATTTTAAATCACCCCTTCCTCTGTACTATACAAAAATTTTTTTTTCGAAGTATGTTAGCATAGTCCTCTATATGAATTCTTAGTGTAAAACAACTTTGTATCAAGCAAAACCCAAGGATATTCCCTCTCACATTTCAAGCCGTTAACTAGTAAAATTTTATGTGGTTTTAACACGCCTGTAAAACAAATGCGTCTTCAGGCTTTATAACACTTTGAAAAAGCCATTTTTTGTCTAAAATCTATAAGCTAAACTTCTGCCTTATAATACAAAAACTATTCGAAAAATTGAGCTTGGCCCCTGTGGATTTTTATAAAATTTTTTTTTAAAATTTGTACTGGTCCAATAATTTTTTTTTTTACTTTTGAAGAAGAAGACTAAATTATCAAGCCTAGTCCTATGTTGCAAAATACCAAAAAAAAAGTTTTTAAATTCTCTAGGCTAAAATCACCAGCTGCCCACGTTAGGCTTTTACATTGTTTACGCAACAAAAACAATTCGCTCAAGTTCAACAAGGATGTTGTACCAGACATACATCAGGTTTTAGAACAAGACCTATATACGATGTAAAAGCATAACAAGATACCAAGAAATTCATTTTCAAAAACTTCTACATGGTGCTGGCTACCGAGTTACAGTACGCTCAATGGTCTTACATGTTGAAAAGATACAGCTTTGAGTCGTTCTAAAACCCGAGGAATAGTTAGTGCAACTCTGTTGTTAAGATGAAAACAACACCTCGCTACTAACCAAGATTACAATTTTTCTCCAAAAAATGCTTGCTTAAACTTCCACCCAAGTTGAAACAAAGTTCCCTGTTTTTTAACCCTACGTTCCCTTCAAATATCATCAAAATACAAAAAAAACATATTGGAATAGTAAGAAACATCTAGACCCCTAAACTCGAAAAAAACTCGAAATTCCGGCACTCGATTCTTTAGAAAAAGCGAAAAAAGCAAAGAATGTTACACCTAAAAGATTCTCCTTGGCCCACGTATCTTCTTCTTTTTTTCAAGCAAACAAATTTACGCACGATTCATAGAAGACACTATGAATAATATGATAATTCATAAGCCAGTGTTCCACAAAAAAAACGACAAGTGAATGAATGCAAAGTAAAAAAAACAATCAGATCGAACGGTTTGTCTCGATTTCCCATATTTTCATATTGTCAATGGGGTTTATGTAAAAACGATTAAAGTTTAAATGTTTTTTTGGCTTTTATTAGGTTGTTCAAATAATTCTGTGCTCCTTTCAAAGAACATTTTCGGGGCTAGGTGGCAGAGAATTATTTGAACAACGTTATAGAAGAAAAGTGGTGGGTTTCACACAATAAAATATTAAATTGGTTTTTAAAATTTGATTTTTTGAAATGTTACCCAATAATTTTAAAAATTCTTTTTAATTTAAATTTTTTTTGAATGTGAATCAACATTTACAAAAAAAAGTTTTTAAAATTTATAAAATTTGCTTTTTGGAAATGTAAAACTAGGAAATGAGAAAGAAGTTATGTAGGCTCAGCCCGGCCTTGAGCTAAAGTTGAAACGTGCAGGACCTAAAATTTCCAAAATTTTTTTAATTTTTCGAAATCTTTTGTTTTCATATCATTTTTTGACCGGGTCTGGAATTTTTTTCACCAGACCGCGACATGAAAAAAAAAATAAAAACTGCCCGGCCCTTTTCACACTCCTACTACAAGACCAAGTTTGCACACAGAGCAGGGTGCACTGCCCTAGGTCAAGGTACAAAACTGCAATGCCCTGTACCGGGCAGGGTCTAGCAAAATACAAAAACTCATCAATGACCTGCCCTGTGACAAAGCCAGTTCAATACCCCTACAATCCCGTAAAACCACCCATATCCCTCCATTTTCGGTTTTTGGCCCTTCAAAAATGATTTTTATTTATCAATCCTATCACACAATGACTTTATTTATCAGTCCCATCAAAACCGGAAAAATTATTTTTTGATTGTTAGAACAAAACCAAAAAAAAACTTTAATCCTTCATGCTTTAACGGCCATTCGAGGTGAAGAAAAAAGAGAACGCAGCGTTTTATCCGGTCGAAAAACAATATCACACCTTGAAAGTTTTTCTTTCTTTACTCTCCAGAAAAATTTCCTAAGGAAATAAAATCCGACGGCACGCAATTTCTCACATAAAAAGCGAAATTTGTCCTCAAATTGGGAGGAAAACAGGAGGAATCATTGGATTGCACGATAAACAATATAAGTGTTTGGAGGGGGTGTAGATGTGGAAATTGAGGAAAGTAAGGACGTCACTACAGAAGAAATTTTTACTATGAATTTGTAATTTCTGAAAGGAATTAGACTAGAGGTGAATAATAATTGAAAAAAAAAAACTTTTTGGGTCCACAGGTACCTCCTGTGCACCCTCTTAATATTTTTTTAGAACCAGCTCTAGGGTAGGATAAACCCACCCCATTCAGACGGCATCTTTTCTCCTAGCTCCGTCCCTAAAGAAAAAAACATCACAAATTGAATGACAAGAACATTAAGCCAACTAAAAGTCCAAAAAATTTAAAACAAATTTTTTTTCAAAAAAATTTCCAATAATACTGCAATTGGTCCCCCTGTTGATTTCAAATTTCAGCAAAAAAATAAAAATACCTTTTTTTGTGTAAACAAAAAGATAAACAACAAGAAGATTGAAAAACAATACTTGATACTAATAAAAAAAGTCAAGAAAATAAATAAATCAATTTCAAATTGAAAAAAAACCTGCAGTCAAACCTCCTTAGTATAAGCTTCTTTTACAGTAAAAAAGTTATACAGTGGAACTCCTGCATAACAAACTCCTCTATAACGAAAATTCCGTATAATGAACAACGTCTACCACTACACAGTGCATTTAAAACTTCTCTATAACGAAACTCCTTTATAACGAACAAATTTCAAGTCCCCGAGCAATTCGTTATACAGGTGTTTCACTGTATATCATTAGAATTTATATTATTCAAGACTCTTCTGAACCTCACTTAAGACCCTTCGGAATCATTTTTCACCATATAAAGCTGATTTTTAAAGATTTTCCAAAATCTAAATAAGAAAACGATGTACAAAAAGACGACTTAAAGTCCTATCATAAGAAGATATAGCTTCAATAACGACTTTCATTGAATCTACTTTCCTTTCAAAACGACTTGACCTTTAGTATGGTCTCTAGGGTGAGTTTTAACTTGTGTGGTCCTAATGTAAAAAGCAGTAAGCAAATAACAGTTTTTAATTATAATATTTTAAGTTACGTATGGAAAAGCATAATATACGCCTATCCTGGTCCTTTAAATACTTTTTTTTAATTTTAAAAACCCAAAAATTTTTTAAATTCAAAAAAATTAAAAAAACAAAAAAAATCGAAAAATTCCTACCTCATTAACCGGAACTGGTTTAGCAATTCCAATTCGTACCAAACCCAACGGTGCTGTTTTTAAAACATCCACAGCGTGTTGTAGAGTACTTGATGACAAATCAACTCCATTCACAAACAACAACCTGTCTCCAGGTACAATTCTACCATCAGCTTGTGCTACTCCGCCCGGTACGAGCGATCGAATCACTATCACAGTTTCGTTGGTATGTTGAGGATCTTGGTAGTCGATTATGGAGAAGCCTAAACCTCGGGAATCTTTTTCTAGAGTTACGACTATTGGTACGCAGTTCCAGATGGCTAGGCTGCTGAGTTGTTCTAGGGAGCGGGAGCGTAGTTGGGCTGTCTGAAATGAAGAATAAATTTTTTAACTCTAAAAGATATGATAATTTAGAATATAAAAACATTTTAAAGATAGGACCATTCTCTTGGGGACCAGTACCGTTAAAAATAGTTCAAATAGTACCATAACCCCCCGAAACTTACATCATAGTACTCTCGCTGGCTCAAACTCAAGCTCCATTCAGACTTAGCCTTGACTAGTCGGTCATCATGAACCGAAGCCAGTAGAGGATAAGCCAAAGGTAGAGATTGTTCTGGACTAGGCATGTACAAGTTGACTTGTTGAATTTTTCGACACAAAAACAGTCGAATACTCTTGTCATTCTTGTTGGCAGCGCTGGCAGCCTTACCCAACTCTTGGCGTACAGTCACGTGACTTTCTCCATATAAGGCACATTCGTTTACCTAAACATTAAATATATTGCTTTAAAAGTGTAGTTTGATTTCAAAACAGCTTTTAATTCATTAAAAATTCAAATTTTAGCCGCTTGATTGTTCAAATAATTATGAGCCCCCTTTCAAAGCAAATTTTCAGAGTTTGATGGCTCAGAATTAGTTGAACAACCTCACAGATCGAAATTTTCAGTAATTTTATATTTTTAAAATTTTTATTTCACTATTACGATCCGTATTTTACCTGTAAAAGCTCGTCGCCAGCCTTCAAAACCCCAATCCTAGCAGCCGGCCCATCCTTCCTCAAGCTCTCGATATAATGATGTGGACACAAATGAGTACCATCCACAATATCCACAGTACCCTCCAAACTCAACCCCAAACCAGCATCCTCTTCAGTATGTCTATCTGGCCTCAAATCCACTACAACAATCTCGTAATCACTTCCCAGTCGATTGGCCCAGTAGCTTTTGTAGTCGATCAAATCCGACTGAACGTCCTCGATTTGTTGTGCCACTTCTTGTTCGTACAACATTTTTAAACAGATGGCTTGAGGCGAATCCGGCGTGAAGCGAATCATTCTTAGTTTGGCAGTTTGGCCGGATTTTACCAGGGTTCGTACTGAGTCAGCATGACGCTTTTTCTCGAGGTTTATGCCATTCACTTCAATGATAAGGTCGTGAACCTTGATTTGGTGGGATAAGTGAGCACTTGAGTTTGGAACTAGGGATTTTACAAACACTCCGGAGATTTCTTCTGAAAAAAATGGTTTTTAGGTATAGAGTTGATATGAAATGGCAAAAATATTTTAATGTAAAAAAATCAAAAAATTCAAAAATATTTTTAAAAACTGAATATTTTAAAAATGGCTTATCACTAAAATCTGATATTTTGCAGAAACATTGGTTTTATCAGTCTCTTTCAATATGCCAAATATGAGAAAGATTTAAAAAGTACTTTTAGAGTACTAACTTTATAAAGTACCCCTACTCTAACATTCAAAAATCATGGTTTCCAAAGCCAAAATGGGCTTAGAAAAGCTTTAAAACTAGCTTAGACTAGCCTAAAGCCAGTCTAGACTAAATGGAAAATCAGTGCAGACTATAAATGAACATAAACATCAATTAGACTTCATTACACCTTATTTTAGCCCCATTTTCAGCCATTTTACCCTCCTTCAGCCCAAAAATTAGCCCGATTTGGGGCTGAAAAGAATGCCAAAAGTTTATGCAAAACATCTTCAAATCTAAACAACAAAACTGCTCGCGGTTGGCCCCTCGACCTACTACTCCTTCCGGAGGTAGACTGATTCGATTTGCGGCTTTCGATGCCCTTCTACGGCGTCGAAAAGACGAAGGAGGGGGAAACGGGCCGCAGGGGCTTTTATGCGATTAATTTGGTCCAAAAACAAAAATTGATGAATTTGATGAAAATTGTGTGTAATTGCAAGAAAAGATACGGAACATACGACGAAATGAAGCCGAGTGGTTTTATTTTTAGGTAATGAAGTTTTTACGGCAAAAAAATTTTTAGGTAACAAAATTTTTAAAAATATTCTTTTTGGATAACTGAATTCATAAATATAATAAAGCATAAAAAGATTTACATAACCTCACATTTTCAAGTTTATACGTCATTGGTCCAAAAAATATGGCCAATTTGAAAAGTCGAAAATCAAAAAAGTTCGAATCCCCTTGGAAAAATTGCCATTTTTTGTGGTTTTTCGACAAAAAAAGATAAAAATTAACAAATAGATAATAAAAAATATAAAACTACCTTTCTTATGAACATAACCAGCCACAGTAATGCCTAATCCTAGCGCTGCATCTCGTTCTAACGTGACTTCAACCACTTCGTACTTCCCTGGGATCCAATTCTCGGCACAGAACGTTGTTAACGCCTAAAATCATATTTAAAGTTTCAAAATCTGAACAAATTTCGAATAATAGTGTAATTTAATACATTTTTCTTCCATTTTCAAAACATTTTAGGCCTAAAACAATACAAAAATATTAAAAAAAAACAATTTTTTAGCCTAAAACAATATAAAGTTCCAAAAAGTAAAGAATAGGTTTAAGAAAAACAAAGATTAGTTCGAAATATCTCATGCTTATTGGTTTACAAAGGGCTCCTTTATTTTTATCGACCAAAATAACAAAATTTTGTTTTTGGCGAAAATAGAGAGGCGTGCGCAGCCCGCAATGATGAAGCGCAGTTGTTTTTTGAAATAAAGGTTTTGTTCAAACTTGGTAGTTTTTGAGCAAAAAAAATTTTGGAGAAAAAAATTATGCCTAAAATACCTCTTTAAAAAATTTTTTAATTTTTCAAAATTAAAAAAAAATTTTTAATTTTTGAAAATTCCTTTTTCAGCACCAGAAGCAAAGATATTTATGCCTTTTGCTACCTAAAACAACAAAAAAAATCAAAACAGAGCAAAAACCCACCATTTCCTGCAGATTCTTCAAGCTCATGGGGCGATCCGTACTCGGTGACTTCGACGGCCTTATGCTGTTACTGCCACTGTGAGGTTGGATCGAATGTTTCGAGTCGAAGCTCAGGTTACTCTCTTTCTTGACTGTCATCATTTCATTAGAATCTTTTCGAGTTTCACCCATTACTTGATTCACAACATCGTTTGATATTCTCCTTGAGATTCGTCGAAGAGAGTCGGTGGATTCTAGTTTTTCTGGCATTTTATCTGGCCCAAACGAATGGCTTTGGTCGTTGGATGTTGAGGGTGAGAGGGTGCAATCGGTGTGGATTTGGATCTCTGATGGCTTGAAGGTTGGTTCTGAAAAGATAGAAGGCTAGTAGAAAGCTTCACAAATCATTAAAACATGGTTTAGAAAGATACAAAGGGCTTTAAGCTATATTATTTGAACAGCCCAATATAAAACAAAAAAAAATAAAAAAAAAATGTTACCTATTTTAGTACCAGACGTCTTTCTACCCTCTCCTGACGCCCCTGAAGCTTTGTGATTACTCTCCATACTCGAATGAACATTACTATTGCATAAACGTGGTATTTTGTTCGATTCCTGATTAGTTGTACTCGATGTGCTAGTTCTTTTAGCACTAATTAACCTCGACGTTCCTTCTTGATCTTCTCCATGACTTTTAGAATCCGTTCCAGAATCTTCACCTTGCTTTTCCGACCCTCCAGCTGAAGTTCTTGTCTCACTTTCCATATTCTCGGTTTCTCCAGAAGCGACCGGTCGTTCACCTGAGCCCGGACTAGCAGCACCACTTCCAGCAACAAACTCAAGTTGTGTCGAATCGGATGAGCCTCCCGGTTGATCTGAACTGGCATCGGCCGACTCTTCAACCAACGTTTCTGAAGCCGTTGTTGTGGATGCTACGCGGTTCCTAATCTGTTCCTCCAACAACGACGGTGTCAACGCTGCTCTGGTCGGCATTGTCCAGCAAGCTGAAAGTAAAAATTATAATAAAAGACCAAAAAAGCATCCCCCCCCCCTCGGCTTAAATCAAAAAACCGTATAACATAACTAAAAAAAAATTTACAAGGAAGAGTAATCATCACCACTCAAACTCTTGAATGATTATAAGCATTTTAATAATAAGAAAGCAAAAAACACGTGTCATAAGTCTTCACGGCCCGAGGCTGCAAAGGATTTTGGCCACAAAACCTCGTCATAAGCAGATCAAACCATTCACAAAACCAAACGACACCTGTTGCCAATCTTGTTCAAATTGAACTAGACGTTTTTGGGACTTAGGTTTGGCGAAGATAAATTAGGAGATAACAGAAAGGTAAAGTATATACCATATTACTACCCTTTTTAATTTAAATAGTCAATTTATTAGGTTCCGACATAAAAAACCCGCCACACTTTGCCTGTAATTTCCTGTAAAAAATGGCGGTTCTTTATGTCGGCATCAAATAATATTTTTTAAACCAAGTTTTAAATAGCCCTTATTTTCTGTAAACTACTATAATATAATTTATAATAAACTATAACATAATGTCATCAGCCCCCATCCACCTACAAGTATCTGCAAGGCTTTGCAAATAAAGAAACTCAGCTATTATTGTTTAAAAGTTTATTTGGCGTGAGTATGAGAAAATTAGAAAAATATAGTTTTTAATGTACTAAAACCTTGTACTAATTTGTCTCAGAACAGTTAAAGTTGTTTCATTGAACTGAAAATTATTTTCGTTCATTGTAGAAAATGATTGAATATGATAAATTGAGCCATATACCCTAACCTACCCTACACTAAATTACCCTACCTTTCTTACCCTACCCAGACAAATTTTGTCTAGGCAAGTAAAAGAAAAAAATTTTTTTTGGCTTACAGTTAGCTAGCAGTGAACCGATTGCGCAAAAATTTTTTCTAATTTTTCACGTACAGCAAAATTTTTTTTCGGATCGGCTCTAGAGGGAAGGGGTGAATCCTAAGGACTTCACTGACTCTACCCTATCACAATTTACCTTAACCTACTTTAACTTACTCTACCTTACCCTATCTTGCCCTACCCAAAAGCTCCCTGAAGCATACCCTACCCTGCTTTACTCTACCCGGTCCTACTCTACCATGCTCTGCTCTACTGTGCCCTACTCATCCTGTTCTACTTTATCCTACCATTTCATATGCTGTGAATGAAGATTATTATTGCATAACATATATATATCCTATACTACCCTATCCTCTTCTCTCCTACGCTACTCTTCCCTTAAACTTTTCCAAAATTTTCCCCACATTCCCCACCTAAAAATTTTTTATGTTTCTTGTTGCACCCTACTTTTCAATATCAGCCCTTGTTTTATAAATTTCAAAAACCATTTATTTCAAGTCCTGCAAAAACTTTCTCCCCCCTCACTTTACTCTTACAAACCAAAAAACAGGCCACAAGCAGTTACACATTCTCGCGGAATTTGCAGGACAAGATAAAAGTAATAATAAAAGCTTTGTTTCCTCGCCCATCATCAGGCCGTTTTCGGCGACGAAAAAAAAACATAATAAAAAACAGAGGACAGTCCCAAATCTCGAAGAAGCCGAAATCCCCCCCCGGATGCAGTAAATGTGTTAATTTCGTGGGGGAAAGTTGAAGTAAATGGCTGGAGGCAAATTTTGGAAGCCAAATTGCATTCGCTTTCTTTTTGAGCGTTCATCTGCCCCGGTCGGATTAAGGCCGTTTTAGGTATGGGGAGGGGGGATAAATTGATGAAACGTATGTTAATTGTTGAGTATGTCGTACTGAGTTTGGGCGTGCTATACTTGTTTTTGGCTAAGGAAAAGACTACTTTTTTAAATAAATAATAGTTTTTAAATACTACCTCACCCTAATCTCGTACCCTACCGTACCCTTCCTACCCTACCCTACCCTACCCTACCCTACCCTACCCTACCCTACCCTACCCTACCCTACCCTACCCTACACTACCCTACCCTACCCTACCCTACCCTACCCTACCCTACCCTACCCTACCCTACCCTACCCTACCCTACCCTATCCTACCCTACACTACCCTACCCTACCCTACCCTACCCTACCCTACCCTACCCTACCCTACTCTACCCTACCCTACTATTGCTTCCCTACGCTATACATGTCCCACCCGCCCCTACCTGCTAACCTGAACATAAAAATGTACTGTACCCATCTTTACCCTACCCCTTTATATAGATAGAAGAAACATGAACGTAAACCCTGAATCACCCCTACCTTTAAAAAATCTTTAAAATTCCCGTCCTTACCTGTAAAAATCTACCATGCCCTTCATTCCCCTACCCAATATTTTTAAAAAACATACATAAAATTTACCGCTGCCCCACGCTTATCTTAAAAATTTTTAAAAATGACCTCCCGTACCCAAAAATATAATCATTCACGCAGTTTGGCGCTATTTTAGCCGCCCCTAACTCTAATAATGTAACCTCGTCAAATCGAAAGTGTAACCCAGTTACAGCAAAAGATAACGCCCTCAAAAAAACGACGGCGGGGTGAGTAAAATCCTCCCCCAACATAATGCGACATGGATGTGTACTTCCCTAATCCTATGACACAGACGGGCGGGCAGAAGAATAAGTGTAAACGAAGAAACGTCGCTTCCATTTTCTTGAATTTTGTCAAAGGAATTGAGCACAAAACCTTAAGCACAAAATTCTCATGTTTTAAATTGTCATCAGAGGGGATTATGCTGTTAAACAGTGAACGATAAGGATGTATCGTTCAGAGAGTAAAACCACCAAATCTAATTTGAGATGACAGGTCTTTAAGCTTGAGTTTTAACGTTTATTTAGATGAAACAATCAGGGCATGAGCCTAGGAAAGGACACAAAGTTTTAATGTAACACTTTATTACAGAGCCGGAGAGATAACTATAATAGGTAGGGTAGAAAAATAAAGATAGGGCAGACAGAGTAGAAAAAAGCAAGACGAGTTTAAGCAAGCATAGCAAGGAGAGCAGGGTAAGGTAGAGTAAGGTAAGATACTAAGTTAGGCAGAACACGGCAGGGCAGGGCAAGGCAAGGCAAGGCAAGGCACGGAAAGGCACGGCAGGGCAGGGCAAGACAGGGCAGGGCAGGGCAGGGTAGGGCAGGGCAGAGCAGGGCAGAGCAGGGCAGGGCAGGGCAGGGCAGGGCAGGGCAGGGCAGGGCAGGGCAGGGCAGGGCAGGGCAGGGCAGGGCAGGGCAGGGCAGGGCAGGGCAGGGCAGGGCAGGGCAGGGCAGGGCAGGGCAGGGCAGGGCAGGGCAGGGCAGGGCAGGGCAGGGCAGGAGAAGTCCGAGCAAGGCAGGGCAAGGCAAAGCATGATAAGGCAAGGCAAGACAAGGTGGTGAATACTACCCTTGTGTTAGGGATCACATAATTATTTGAACAACATAGCACTACAATCTGTGTTAGCCGACTCTTCTTTTCTACCTTAATATTATAGTAAGAGAACCCAACCCTACTCTTAACTCCCCCCCCCCCCTCCCTCCCATAAAATAGCGATAATCCTCGTCTGCCCTTTAACCCCCATAATAGTACTAACCCTCCCCCTGTTCAAGTTTTAAAACTGTTTTAATAACAAAGAAGGGAAAAACACTCGAAAGTTCCCAAAAAACCCCCAGGCATTGTTTTAGTTTTCTTACTTTCAGTGTCCGGAGTTGGGCCATTAATTGGGACCGGCCTTCCTACGGTCAATTCAATGTAGGGTTCGTGTTGTCGGAGAAGAGCGGCCACTTGTTGACTGGTCATGCCTTGAACATTGATCCGACCGATTTGGAGAATCCGATCGCCCGCGTGCAGTCTAGCGTCCTGAAATCAAAAAATAAGTAAAATACACCTTTACCCTACCCTACCCTGCCCCCTACCCTACCCTACCCTACCCTACCCCCTACCCTACCCTACCCTACCCTACCCTACCCTACCCTACCCTACCCTACCCTACCCTACCCTACCCTACCCTACCCTACCCTACCCTACCCTACCCTACACTACCCTACCCTACCCTACCCTACCCTACCCTATCCTACCCTACACTACCCTACCCTACCCTACCCTACCCTACTCTACCCTGCTATACTCTATATTATTACATTCAACCCTACCATCAGCCTACCCTGTCCTGTCCTACATTGCCTTAACATACCGTACCTTAATATAATCTATCTTACCCCACAATGCTATAACTTAACCAACCTTAAAATACCCTGCTAGTCTCTATCTTATCTTTTTTCACCCTACTCTACCAAGCCTTACTCAAGTTTGACATGCCCTGCTTTAAATGTCACCCCTACATTTTACCTAACAAAACAATTAAATGGTAACCGTATTTTACAAAAAAAAATCTTACTTTGTCCGCCGCACTACCCGGTAGAATCGTTTTGACTACCACACCCGTCGACGCTCCACCAACGATACCAAAGCCGAGGCCGGCCGATTGATCATTCACCAAATGAATTATCTCCACTTGGGTCCAGTCGCCACTTAACTGAAAATAATAAGGGTCATTTAATTTTTTTTATTTTTTAGATAAAAAAACTTTTTATTTTTTAAACAGGATTTTTCGTCCTTATATTTGCTTTTTAGAAGATTTTTTTTATTTTGAAATTTATTTTAAAAAATTTCAAAATTAAATTTTTAAAATATCATTTTCCCAAAATTCCCATTTTCCCACAAAATCCATAAAAAAAGACCTTGACAACGTATTCGATGTACATTTTGGGGCAAAATGTAATGCCATCTTTCTTTTCCTTAATCGTTTCAAAAGCCGGTTTTGGTCGTTTCGAAGATACAGTACCACACTCCGACATCGCCTTCTTATTGCCAAGTTGAATTGTAGTTGGTGGACCTAGTTGAAACGACACTCTTGATGTTTTTCGCTTCGATTTTGGGCCGTTTTTGGATTTGAAAATGCTTGTAGCTGACGCTACTGAAGTCGCAGTTCTGACTGTTTGAGCAAATAGAGTTGAGGCTGATGGTGTATATGTGCCACTACTACATTCTTCCTCTTGCCGTTGAGCTTGAACTTGCTGGTAAAGGGCTTGAAGATCTTGGGCTTCGAGATTATGACCTTGTTGATACTGTGACTGGCTTTGATGTTGAGTTAGAGGCTGTTGGTTCAGGTTCTGAAGTGATTTTGGATGCAAAAAGTTCTTCTGAGAATTCGATGATTTTTGAGATGTTAATGACAATTTTCGTTGATATTGAAGTTGATTTTCATTTTTTTGATTCTGAAGCCGTTGAACAACGTTCAGTAGATTGTCCTTGTTAATTTGGTTTAACTGTAACGTCATGTTACCTGGCTGTTTTGAAGGTATGTCCATTTTGTTTTGATTAGCCTGACTCTCATTGATAGCCAAAGACTGTGGTCGTTTACTGGAGCTTCTCGAGGGTCTTGGAGTACCAAAAGTGTGGGCATTTTTCTTCGAAATTAGAGCTGGATTTGCTGGAGCTAGCAAGTTCAAGTTAGGAGAATTAGAAGGCTTTACATTTTGATTTACATGCCCGGTTGATTTTGATAAAAATCCAAAATTTCTGCCTTTAGTTTTCTGAGGAAGGCCTACTTGGCTAGCCGTATCAAAATTGCTAGACTTGCTCAAGATAACTTGGCCTGGTGTATCTAAATCGCCAAGCCTGGTTATTTTATTACTATCTAGATCATTGAGCCTAGTAATCTTGTTACTATCTAGGTCGTTAAGCCTAGTAATCTTGTTACTTTCAACATCGCCCAGCCTAGTAATCTTCTCACTATCGGCTAGCTGACCAGTAGAGTTGCAAAAATTGTTGTTTGTAGCATTCTCGATATTATTGTTGGTTGATATTTGAGAAGATATTATTGTAGTAGAATAAAAATTGGGTTGAGCTGGATCGGCCGGAGGCTCAGACTTGGCCTTCGCCTTCCTTCGCCATTTAAACAATTTCATGTTTACTACAATGAGAACAATGGTAAGTTGCAAGATTATATAGCTCCGTATACTCGTATAGCAATATGTTATTATAGGTAATATAGATTGGCAGAAATCGAAAAAAATGCTGAAAAAAATCCACAGGGGTGGAGGACCAAGCTGACTAAAACAAGATTTTAATTCCCGTCTGGCAATACCCAAACACCAAATTTTAAAAAATCTTCAAAAATAAAAAACATAGTCATATCTTCAAAAAGAATCCAAAAAAGCCAAAAAAGGATGTCATATTACACATTACAACATAAGCGTTCGTACCAAAACAGGTGATATAAAGTCAATATGTCTATACATATATATTATAAAAAATTATAACTGCCCGGTTTATTGCATTTTTTATTAAAAATTTCGAGAAACCATATTAAACTTTACAAAGAATGCTTCCGTAAAAGTGCTTGAATAGATAAGGAATTGTTTCCGTGGTGGGACCCAAAGTTATGACATAAAAATAAAGATTTTAGTATTCTGACCTAATTATGAATTTAAAAAATCGAAATCAAGTTTTCAACATCTCAAAACGTCTCTTCTCTCAACATATATATAAATCCTTTTAAAAAATCATGTTTTCGTGGTGAGACCCAAAAAATGAAAATTTTTTAAGACTAAATTTTTAGTACGTTTGTGAGCGTAAGCTGGCGACAATTAAAGCCATCGACAGCTAAGACTGAATTTTTTAAGCTGAGAACACTATATTTCAAAAAATCATGTTTTCGTGGTGAGTCCCACAAAATAATTTTTTAAAATTTTTACGACATTTTTAGCATTATATTCAATTTTATATTTTTCCCTACTCTATTTTCTTTATTTACAGCCCCTGCCATCTCGAAAACTACATTCCTATGCTCAAAAACTAATGTATCAATTGTTTTTGTCACTAGTCCTCAAATAAACGTTTTTTTGGAAAAAAACCGCGTAAATTATAGCATAAACAAAAAAGTAATAGTAAAAAGTCGCTGGAAACCTGGAACCAGTGTCGGCACTCTTAAAACGGGGGAGAACTTTTCCAAAATATTCCCACAATTACACGTTGAGAGGGTTTCGAAACAAAAGACTATAGTGCAACTCTCGGAGGAGACTAGGCCATATACGTTCATTAAGGTTCGGTTATGAAGTCCGTACGAAAGAATTAGAAGATTTTAAGGGGTTTATGTTAAAGATCATTTTTCGTCATTTTGAGGCGGGGGGGGCGGGGCGTGGGCTTAAGGGGGGGGAGGGTGGGGGAAGGAGGTTAAAAATTTTTTTTTGGTAAAAAAAATCATTTTATCACCATAAGTTGTTTTTCTTTATACATTGCAACTCCTGTATAATAGGTTTTAAACTGAAAAAAAACCCACTAAGCCCGGAAGAGAGACGGGCTTGGACTTGCCGAAGAAAATTTGATTTTAAAGGGCCGGGACAACACATGTACCCCCAAGGGTTGGGCCCAAATCGATGTCACAGGCACCCAGTTTAGGTCTCGCAACGAATGATTTGCAAAAAGGTGTAAAATTCCTTGATAAAGGAGTTCGTTATACAAGAGTTCCAATGTATTATAATCAAAAAAACCTTATATTTTTTAACTTTTGTAAAAAATAGTAGACACAACACCCCTGCACCTAATCTAGGTGAATATAAAAGGAAAAAACACCTAATACTCTTGCTTTCTTCACTTTTAAAAAAAAGTAATAACATTAAGCTTCTTATAATACTTTTGTTGCCTCAGACATAGTAACTATAAGTCTATGAAGCAACAAAAATATCAACAAAGGATCAAAAATGCCGATTTGTATTAAAAAATAACAGTAAAGTCTAGAGGAACTAAGCCGTACGGCAGATTTTTCTAAGTGAATATTATACTTATACAAAATATTTACCACGCCAAAAAAATTCTTGAAATTCGCTAGGTAAGGGGGGGGGGAATAAATGGAGGTGAATCCACCGCATCCCAAAGCCGACCCCATAGGCAATCTACTGGTATAATCAAAAAATTTTTTACCCCCCCCCCCAAAAAAACCCTATTTTTCATTCTTTTTCCTCTCCTCAACTTCCTTGTCTCTCAAAAAAAATAATAAGCCTCGTACTAACAATTGTACGTACAAAAAGCAATCTTTAAAAATTTTTATTTCTTGCTATTTTACCACATCCCCTCCCTTAATTTTCCAATTTCCTCCAAAAATTCTTATTCCTACGCTAATTCAAAAAACACCCAACAACATTCCCCTTGCACATCTGCAAATACGCATCAGCAACATCACTAAACCGTCAAATTCGGAAGGTTTTACAAGCCCACTGCCATGCGAACTGAAACAACGTCAAAAACTGACGAACGAGCAGGTAATTAATGCCGCAGGGCTTGATTGCGTGACAAAGAATCCTCGGGGAATTGGGCCTTCTCGAACACCCTCCTTAAGGCCGTCAGGAGTAGTAAACCGCAGCCGGGACGGGCTTAAACCAAGTCAAATATTGTGGATGGAAAAGTGATGTTGTGGGCAAGGTCTTGAGGTAAAGAAAATCTAAAACTGCAGTTTTTACATTCAAAAAGGTCAACTTTATACCATAATCCATTGACTATAACGTCACTTTTCTAATCACAAAAATTGTCATCTTCAAAGCACCCTACAAGACCGTTAAAGCAATTCATTGTAACTGTTTAGGCCTCATCCAAGTGATTCTGTTTCTCAAGCTACCGAGTCGTGAAGACACATTACATTATACCTTAAGATAGCCCACCAGACCCGGTCTGCACTAGGTCCGTCCTGAGCCAAGCCAAGTCAAGCCAAATTTAAGAAACAGGCCGTAAAATTAAGACCGGCCTGGTCCTTCTAGAATTCTACCCTACACCCCTCCAAAAGCCAAACACTAGCCAAAAAGCCAGACTAAAACGACAAAAACTATACTAGAAAAAACGAGGATATCCCCATAAACAAAACAGTTAAACCGCATTTTTCGGAAAGGTTAAACAGCCTAAGGCTATATCCGATTACCCGAAGCGAATATTACCTGTGAAGCTTATTAAAACGATGGGATTAGGTTTCAATCAGTGCCACAAGGGAGTTGGAAATAGAAGAGAGAAGTGAGAGAGACGTTGGAAAAGATAGTGAAAGAGAGAGAGTGGTACTAAATATAGTGATGTAGGTGTAAGTAAATAGGTAATAAAATAACATCATTTGCTATTATATGTAGGTTCAAATAAATTTTTTATTCTGTAAAAAAGTTATTGCCATTTTATGTTTTGTAAAGAAAGTTCTTGCCATTTTATGTCTTATAAAGAAAGTTATTGCCATTTTACGATTTGTAAAGAAAGTGTTTGCCATTTTTTGCTTTGTAAAGAAAGTTCTTGCCATTTTATGTCTTGTAAAGAAAGTTATTGCCATTTTATAGTCTAAAGAAGCTTCTGACAATATAATTAAAAAATCATTATTAAGCCCCCTCCCCTATAACACATTATAACCTATACATAGATAATAATTAATAAAAACAAGTCCACCTAACATAATATCTCGAAAGAGTATGATGAACTCCTTCGCCCCACACGTAAAACGAAGTAAATGCAGTAACATAAACTCCTCTACATTATAATTCAAAAAGAGCATAAATTATTTTGCATGTGAAACAGAACACATTCCAATATTATACTAGAGCAAAACTTTAGTTAGCGTGAGTATAATATTGAAAAAAAAATTTTTTTTGCAAAGTTTGGGCGGTGTTAAATTCGAAAGTGTTAGGCGGTGTAAGGTAGCAGTAAAAGCCGCTTTTTGTCTATTTTAGGTTATAATAATGAAAAATTTTAAATTTTATGCCATTTCTAATGTTTTGTTACCTAAAAATTTTAAAAAAGGTCGTCTAAAACACAAAGAAAAGCAGAATAATTACCTAAAGACAACTTTTATTTTAATTTTATACCTTTTTAAATCGGAAATTCAAACTAAAGGCATCAATTTGTTACTTAAGAATATAAAAATCGTATCTAAAACAACATCAAAACTAGAAAAAAACACCCAAAGCAACCAATTTTCGCCCATTTTTTACCAGTTTGATACCTAAAAAATAAAAAAGTGCCATAAAAACTGGATAGTAGGTTATTCAAATAATTCTGTGCTCCTTAACCCCAAAACATCCCTTTGAAATGGGCACAGAATTATTTAAACAAACTAATAAAATACCGAAAAAATCATTTTTCGCCCATTTTTATCAATTTGTTACCTAAAAATTTTTAAAAATTTTTAGTTTTGATGTCTATAACAACATAAAACTAGAGAAATACCCAAAAAATCCACATTTTACCCATTTTTGTCAATTTGTTACCTAAAAATTTAAGAATCGTGCCTAGGGCACCATAAAAACTGGTAAAAATCCAATAAAAAAACCACATTTCGCCCATGATCATCCCAACTTTTACCCAAAAATCAAAAATCCATACCCAAAACAACCCGAAAAACAAACGAAAACCCACCGCCATGAAGTCGACAACGTCACGAAGCACTCCGAACACGACAACCGTACTACTGAATGAGCGGGCCAACGAGCGCAGCCGAAACTGCACGTTCTGCAGCGATTGTTGGGCACGCGTCGGCGGAGTGGACGATAAGGAGGAAGCACGACGATCCTGCTGCGAACAGCTGGGGACATTTGGAGGCGAACGAAGCCAGTCCGCGATCAGGTCCTCGTTCACCGACACCACGTGGTCGGCTATCCGCAGAACGCCGTTCGTTCTGAAAGGGTAGGTGTTACAAGTTGTTTTTCGGTATGAAAAATGCACGTGTTAGCATGTTCAAATAATCCTGTGCCCCTTAAATGTTGCTTTGAGAGGGAGCTCAGAATTATTTGAACAACCTGATACATTGAAGATATTGATTGTGTTTAATACCTAAAGTTACAAAAAAGGCTTTGTAAAGAAAATTCATGCCATTTTATGTTATGTAAAGAAAGTTCACGCACTTTTATGTTCTGTAAAGAAAGCGCTCTTGGCAATTTTCGTATTTTACCAAATCAAAATTTTTTTCGAAAAATTTCAAAAAAATATAATTTTTTTCCAAATATCCTTGAAAAATCGAAAAAACAGCCCAAAATCTATGATTTCCCGGCCAAGAATCCTAATTTCAACACGTTGGGTCGCGAAATATACGTCAAAAACGCCAAAAGTAAACATAAATAGAAGTTGAGCACGCCACACATTCGAAATTAATGTAAATTTGCAAAAAGTGTAGACGGACCTACTCAACATTATTCTATTTTTCGAAGTTCGGCCAAGATTTACTTCAAAAAATGTTGTTTTAGGTAAAATACGGTAGCCTGTCTTGAATTTTTTTTCAAAAACTTGTTTTTTCCATAAATATAACTACTATTTTTACAAGAAATATAAAGAACGACATCTTTACTACAATATAAAACTTTAAAAATTTACAAAAAGTATGTCAGAACTACTATCAATCGTTAAACATCACAGAGTTCAGATGTCCCTAACGATATCTCTTCATTCACACTCGCGACTCGAACCGCCTTTCGAGCGTCAAAAGCAAGCGCGTTACCAGTTGCGCTACGTAAACTAGGCAGGGTTTTCTCTTGTTTTCGTTCTGATCGCAATGCTTTTCCTGTGAGAAGAGGAATGTAGGTTTACAACGTGAATTTATGAAAAATAAATTTAATTTTTAATAAAAAATTTAATTTTTAAAAATATTTTAAATTTAAAAAATTTTTTTTAACATTTTTTTTTAGAATTTTTTTTTAATTTAAAAGTTTCTTTTTACCTTACCCTAGACCTAAAAAATAGAAAAATATATCAGTACTATCGAGGCTCCACAGCACTGTCAAAGCCCAGGCTCTCCATGTCAAAAAAATTTTTTAAAAAAATTTTAAAGCTACGCCATGCCCTTTACTGTTCTAGCTTACCCCACGTTCTTTCTCAAAAAAACCCTAGCCAAACGAAGTCAAACCCTAAAAACTCCCAAGACTCAATAGTAAAATGAAAATTTAGGTCATAATCCCCCTCCCCCTTCAAAATTAGACGGCATTTTTATGGAAACACATAAAACGAAGCGTTAATCAAGGACCGAACCCTTTTTGGGCCTTAATCCAGTCTAGGTTTTTGGGGAAAGGGAAAAAAATTGTTTCGTCGTAAAAAATTTCAAAAAATAAAAAAAAAACTGTCATGAAGTAAAATTTTTAAAGAAGGAAAAAAACACAAGAAAATTTGACGAAAAAATGCCACAGGGTTTGATTTTTTTGAGCAGTCTAAAACGCTTTTTTCTCTTTATAAATGTGGTAAAAAGTTTGGCAGTACACAGAAAATTGAGTTAAGACGTTTTGGCTGGTGGAAATTGGGCTAAATATGGGTCTGGAAGCTTAAATTTAAGAAAAAAAAGATTTTTAAAAAGAAAAAACAAAATTTTAAATCTATCCTTAGGTCTTATTAAATCACCTCTGCGTCAAAAATTCATTTTTAAAATCTACCCCGATTCTTTATTAAATTACCCCTAAATAAAATTTTCTTTTTAAATTCCACGCTTATGATAATATTTATAATATCCACCCTTATGCCTTATTAAATCACCACTGCATCAAAATAAAATTTTCTTTTTTAAATTCCACGCCTATGACAATATCGAAAAAGTCCACCCCTATGCCTTATTAAATTACTTTTACATCAAAAATCTCTTTATAAAATCCACCCCATTACCCAGAAAACGCCCAGCCTACAGTGCCCCAAATCCTTGGAGAAAACTTTTGAACCAATGTTTTTGAAAAACGTCTTCTAATTCGTCGGGCGAATACAAAATAAAAATAAATATAAATGAATAAAAGAGTCCATTAGCGATCCGAAAACATCTCGTGTTATATTAAGCATCAGTAAACAAGACATTTACATGATACAAACAAAGGTTGTCGTTTGGGTTTTGGCTATGTACGTCAATTGTACTTTACTTTGCGGTTTTGATTTTTAACAAATTTTAAATTTTAAAAAATTGAAAATTTGAAAATTTTTAAGAATTCAAAAAATTTAAATTTCAAAAAATAAAAAAAAATTTAAAATTAAAAAAAATTTTAAAATCAAAATTTGAAACCTTTAAAACCATAACAATCAAAGAAAAAACCTTCTCCTCTCCCCTCCCCACCCCTCTTCCCTTATACGTATTAAGTATGTGCCCAAAAACGTGTCAATAAAGAGATTAGGTATCTGTTGAAAACATGCATTCACTTCTTCTCAGGTATCAAATATTCCCAAAAGCCAGGTAGAGAAGAAGCACCAATTGTTTTTTCCGCTTCTTCATAATGCGGCAAAAATTTTGAGTGATAGAAATGAGTCGAAAATGAAAAAAAAAACTATTTCAAAGTGCAAAGAGCAGATTATCAAAAATCATTTTTTGAAACAAAACAAATTTTAAAAATGATGCCATACAAAACTTTTTATAGACAAACATACTGTAATACACACGATGATGCTCTACTCCAACATAGCCCTACCCTACCCTACCCTACCCTACCCTACATTGGGCCTGCCCTATTATATTTAATTTTTTTTTGAATCAGTAAGCCCCAAGAAATAAAAATAATTTTTGAAAATTTTTACCAACGCCAAGAGAAATTTGATCTTCCTGTTAGTTTTTCAAAACAAAAATCTACCCAGCCCATGCACAATCAACTTTTTTAGAGTGGATCAATCCCCATTCACCCTCTCCCTGTTTGACCCATACCCAAAACCAAAATTTTAACGATCCCATTCCTTAAACCAAAACCCCTCCCGAGAACCCAGTTTATCTAAAATTTTTCATTTTTAAAACTTTTTAATTGAAAAAAAATTTTCAATCTTGTCCCGCCAACCCAAACCACGTTGTTTCCAGGCAAAAAACAGAAAAACCTCGGTCGAAGACAACGTTAATAAAACTTTTTTCGTTGGGTCACTCGGAGCGGCCAAACTAATAAGACGAAGAGCGCCCAACTCATTTCCGTTCCAAAAACCACCAAATTTGGGTGAAAAAACGTTGGACGTAATTTGGCAGTGCGAGGGAGGGGTATGTAACTGGGTTGCAAATGTTATGTTATGTTTGGGTTGACATAAAAGCATGTAGCAAATTGTTTTTTGGAGAGAAAAGCTAACATTAGGCAACATTTATTGAAAAAAATTGGTTTTTGGACATTAATTATTAAAAATGGTGTTTTTAGTGTTTTAGGTAACAAAAGTTAATTTAAAATTTCAAGTACAGGCAAGAAAAACAAAGTTCGCATTTTGTCGCCTCGTCCTGTGCCCTAGCCCAAACCTAGTTCCAACCCTGGCCCAGAGTCCTAGTCCAGAATCCCAGACTAGATCCTCTAGCCCGGAGCTCTAGTCCTAGCCCTAACCCGATTTTGTTTAGTTTAGGTAACAAAAACGCTATTTTAAAGGCTTTTTGATATTTTAGGCCACAAATTTTTTTTCAGCGAACCCTTTTAACCTGCCCGCCCTCCCGTAGCTCCAAATCAACCGCTCACACTGATTAACAGATCTAACTTTAAAAAACCCAGGCTTACACATCAAACATTTTAAAAATTCATAACCCGCTAAAGCGACCATACCCCCTCTAAACTTTTTTGATCATTGCTACAGAAAAAAGTGCAAAAGGCAAATGTAAAAACATGAAAAGCGCATCTTCATGGAATATTCGATGAGCTGAATTTCCAAAAACAAAACTTGTAAATAAATAAACTTGTAAAGAATGAACGTTCCTAAGGCTTATTGCAAATCGTCTTCAATTGTAATTTTAAAAAGCTTTAGAAAAGGTAAAAGGTCATTGTCCCAAAAGAATGGCTAATTAGCATGGATGGGTACTGAATTCTATATTTATTTGCGGAGACCGTAGGCAACATTCAAAGGTTTTAAAAACGTAAGGTTTAAAAACTTTAAACTCAGGGCCGGGCGGACGGGGGAAAGGACGTACCTCCTCACCAGAAAACAAAATTTTCGACAAAAATTGAACTTATAAAATATTATAGCATAAAATACTTGTATTAGCTTTAAATTTACTCGTTATACAGAATTTTTTGCTGTACAGAAGTTTTTCGTACCTTTAAAAACACAATGCCAAATTTGCCAAATTGGCGGAAAACTCTAATATTTCAAATTTAAAACTCAAAACCGCAAGCTATAATTTTTTATGGGTACTATTAGTGACATAAAGAATTCATATAAAAAATGTTGAACTGATTCTGAGCGGACCAGGTGCTGATTCTAAGTGGGGCAGGTAGAGTACTTTCTCTGTTAGTGTTTCCAACCCGTTTTGCAACAAAACCTTTTTTAGTTGGAAAATGACCTTTTTTCGAAAAAATAGGGCAAAAAAGTTTCATATACGTCATTGCAAAAACAAACAAAGACGGTGCTAAGAATGACAAGATTGACCACCTTATCGCCTATTATTTCATTCTTTTTAAAACATATCAAAAAAATTACCATCTCCTCCATTTGTTACCTATTCTCTAGCTCTTTCCCACTACTTACCCCTACTCTGCTTGCTTTTCAGCAAGGTTTTCTTATCACTCAAATATTTGAAACTTATCTCGTAATTTTAAAGTGACAAATCTATCCTTACCTTTATCTCTATCACTTCTTCTCACCCTCCCCGTCTTCTCTACCTTTCAACTTCCCTTCCTTCCTTACCCCATTTCTCCTTCCCTTCCCACCCCTTCCTCATTCTCTCCCCATACCCTCCTCATCCCCCACCGTAAAAAAACACGCCTTATCCCTGCTAATATTGTTTACACAACCCCCGACAATCATTAATCATGGGCTTGAGAGAAACAATTTTGGCGCCAAACAGATCCCGCAAAACCAAAAGTCCCCGCAGGCCGAAACGGGTTCGTGGCCCCCCTCTTGGGCCGCCGTGGCCACGAATATTTTTTCGAAAAAAAGGGAAAACGCGCACAAGTTCATCTCTTTTCCCAAAAAAGCCTCCCCCTTCAGGGCAGTCGACGCGTTTTGCGGCCGCGGTTTCCGGCCGTACACCTTTTCTTTTAGCCGCTGATTACTCGACCTCGAGCGTCTTCCGGTCCAGTCCCGCGATTGCTCCGCCGACTGTTTTGTTTTTTTCGCAAATTTGGGAGGGGTGGAGTATAGAAAAGAGACCAAAATTGTATTGTTTTTGTAAAAAGCGCCAAAAAACACTTGTTAGGAAGACTTTAAAGGGCATTTTTTGTTTAAAAGATTATTTTTAAGTCTAAAGCTTGAGCTAAAATCAAAGCTGAGGCTGAAATTAAGGCTTAAGTTAAGGCTGAGGTTAAGGCTTAAGCTAAGGCTGAAGCTAAAACTAGGTGTAAGACTAAAGCAAAGCCTACGACTAACATTAGAACAAAAACCCTGCTAAGGCTTTGGCACAGGCTAAAGGTCATGTTCATGCTCCTACCCAGGCACGGCTCAAGTTCACCTTCAGGCTCAGACTCAGACTCAGACTATGGTTTAGGCTCAGGCTCAGGCTAAAGCTCATGCTCGCTAATGCTCATGCCCATGCTCATGCTGTCACTCATACTCATGGCGTTACTCATACTCATGCTCACGCTAATTTTTATGCTCAAGCTCATGCTCAACTTAGGCTAGCTCAGACCAAGTCTCATTTAAGGCTATGGCTGAGAAACATGGTAGAGACTAGGACCAAATCTATGGCTATAAAAACTCAAAGCTAGAAAAAGTTAGTCAAAAACAGTTTTTAAACCTATTGCTACATATATTATAATAGTACGCACTACGCAAAGGTTATTTTAAGCAGCTCACGTTTCTCTTATTATTAAAATTCAATTACTACTCAACTTATTTGTCTCTTTTTCGGTAATTTTTAATTCGCTTTGTCTACATTTACTTTCAAAGGGTCACTTTTGACTCTTTTATGTGGCCAAATGGCCATTATTTAACGCTTTGCCTTGTAGACCAAGCCTTTTTTAGCCAAAAACTTGCAGTTTATAGTTAAAAACTTGTAGTTTATAAATAAAAAAAACCTTTTTAAATTCACATTTTGATTGTTCGTCCTAGCCTCTTTGTCTTTTTTATTTATGTTCTAAGCTACTTGTGGCATTATTCATTGTTCTACCAAGGAAAACCTTTATTTTTTGGTGGTAAATTCAATAAACTTATTGGTTTAGGGCTGGAAAGGGTGACAAAACGCAAAATAGTGTTGAGAAAGTGGGAACATTGGATGATAAATGGCTTAAACCATGTACATTTAAAAAAATTAAAATTTCAAAAAAAATGAATTCAAAAAATTTTTAAAAAAATTTTTTTATCTTCTGAGTCCCTGCCCTGCCTTAGGTTGCTTTACCCTACTCTAAAAATGGTATAAGATGCCTATACTTTGGAAAATTAAAATTCCAAGCAAATTTCAAATTTTAAAAATTAAAAAAAAATTTTCAACCTACTTCTTCTTCAAATTCCTAGGCCCAACCACAGCAATAGCTGAACCATCTTCAGAAGAATATAGCTCTGGAAAGTTCAATGACAAATCGACCGTTCCAAACAACAATTTCTGTCGTTCTCCAACTCTCTCTCTTAATAACGGCTCTACAATCTTCCGACACTTTCCACACGGCGTTGAAGCCGTGGACTCATTTTGGAGTGGATTCGAATCTGAAAAATGGATAACATTAAAAAATGGTAGAAACAAGAAAAGCTTCTTATTCGTATTTTACAAAACGTTCAAACTTAATATCAACACACACTGTCTCGATACTACAAAAAAATTTTAAATTTCATAATTTAAAAAAAAATTAAATAAGCTTTAGCGTAATAGACAAAAGCTTCACCTGATCAACAAGTTCCTGCACAAGTGGGTCATTTGATCGTATCATTCGCTCCAGTCGAGCCAAGTCCATATCCAAGTTCACATTGCGAGTACGAAGCTCTCGTAGCACGGTACGAATCTGGTCTTCTTCTAAAGATATTTTAGCTTAGATTTTGTAAAATACTAAGTCTAGATGGTCACATATATATTTTAATTATTAAAATGGAAAAAACACTTTTAATTGTTAGGCCTTCTTAAAACAAAAAACTTAGTTTTACTCTAACTTAGTGTTAGGTTTTCATATGCTTCTTCTCCTCCGCCTAATCTGAGGTTTTCATGTCCACCTCTTTTCTGCTTATTCTCAAGTTTTATCTTCCCCTTCATGTCTTACTATCAAACTTTCAAATCTTCCCCTGCCCTTCTTACCCTCAGATTTTCAAATTCATCCTCTTTCCTCCTAACCACAATTTTTCTAAATCTATTATTTTCCCCATCTCTCACAAGTAACCATACCCCAATGTAAGAACTTACCCAACGGTCGTACAGGTGAATTGTTGTCGGAGCTGGGCGTGGGAGAACAGATTCGCTTAATAGACCGTCTCATTTTTCTCGCCTTCGCTTTGAACTCATAATATTGAAGCAAGTCTTAATTAAATTTGTTTTACATAATATTAGTAAAGCACCTGTCACATTGAACGATTAAAAATGTTAAAATTCGAAAAAATTTACTTTTTAGTATTTCCATTACTTTCTCCTAGCCTTCTAACCACTCACCTCCCTCTCTTACAATGTATATTCAATACTATTAGCCAATTGAATCAATAGAACGCTTGTTATAAACAGAAAAAGTGGTGAAGTAGGGTAACTCTACCCAAACCAACTTTTTTAAAAATCCTCCAAAAAATCTCTTTTTCAAAAAAAAAAATAAAGATGAGCCCCCAAAACCGGTCTGATGACATTCCTTGGCCGAAATAAAAAGAGAAAACTCTGAGATTGGCGGATTCCCACTGGAATTGCTCTGCTCGACGATGGACTGAATTTTGTTTTTCCACCGATTTGAGGACCTAAAACGGATGGTCAATCGCAATTTGTCAAAAAATGTTTTACAATGCCTCGGGGAACGAGGGTTTCTCAAATTTCGATGCAGTATGGACATTGGTCAAAAAGTGGCATTTTTGAAATGAAAATTTTGCTGGGCTGGTTTTGGGGGTTTTGAATTTCAAAAAAAGTGTTTTGTGGGCTGTATCATTTTGAAAAAGTCATTTTTAAACCAAAAAAATTAAAAAATATTGTTTTTGAAATTTGAAATTTCAAAAAATTTTATTTTTTAATTTTTTCATTTTGAAAATTAAAAATTTTTAAAACAGGCTGCAAAACAAAATATATACAAAACCAGTACAGTATCCTAAACTATAGTATCAATAACAACGATAAAAGTACAAATAATATCAAAAAATCCGTCAAAACCATCAAAAAATTCAAATTCGGCTCGAAGCAAGCGATCGTTTTGTGATAAAATATCGAAATTCGGACCTGAGTGACAAGATTCCGACAATGTTCTGACATTCTTCTCGACACGAGTTTTGACGCTATAATAAACAAAAAATGTTTAGAACAAGGAAATGTAATATTCTTTGCAAGCGAGTGAACATTTTCTGGAAGAAAAAAAAACAGCTTGCAACACAGTACTAATGAGGTATGCTTGTAAGAAACACACTACCCTACCCTATCCTACCCTACCCTACCCTACCCTACCCTACCCTACCCTACCCTACCCTACCCTACCCTACCCTACCCTACCCTACCCTACCCTACCCTACTTTACCCTACCCTTTGAGCTGCTCGGTCCTGCCTTACGTTGCCCTACTTTATCCTACTTTATTCGCAGTTGCCCTACTCTACAGTATCCGGTATTACAATAGTTTGTCTTACCTTAGGCATGGTTGCTCTGTTCTTCTTAGAATTGTTTTTTTAACCCTACCAAGTATGCAAAGCATGCTATTATTTCTACTTCTTTACCTTATACTGCGCAGTCTTTTATTACTTAAGCATGCCCTATTTTCATTTCTTTGCCTATATGTTGTGTTGCTTATAACAACCCCCACAATATTTACAAAAACCATAAAAACTTCGAAAAATTCGAAATTTCGAAAAACAAGTGTAAAAAACAATTTGCGTAGCGATCGTGTAGAATTAATATCTCTACCAGCGAGTAAACATTGGCACCGTGTACGCGGATTGTAAATAAATAAATATCGCGGCTAGAAGGCCAAGTTGTTCTTCAGCACGAATTGAGTGGAAATTGAGTGGCCAAGAAGTCCCGGCGGAGCCTGGCCTCGCGAGATTCTCAATGAATCGCCCCACAAAACGGTTTAATCGAGTTCTTTTTTTGTTCTGTCCGCATAAACTTGTTGGGGACAAACATAATGGGAAGTGATTAGAAATGAACTTGAGATCAGATAGTAGGGTAGGGTAGGGTAAGGTAGGGCAGGGTAAGATAGGGTAGGGTACGGCAGGGTAGGATAGGGTAGGGTAGGGTAGGGTAAGGATTTTGAGACAAAAAACAAACAATATTACGTAAAAAAAAGTTGCGCAACAAAGTTTTTTGCAATTTCTGTAAGGCTATTTAGAGCCTGGCCCGTTTCATTGTGCCGAGCCTAGACGGCCCGTTTCTCACCCCTAGGTAGAAATAAGGTAGAGGCTAGACTAAAGCTTAGAGCCAAAAGAACTGTTAGAAGCAAAAATTTAACAAAAAAGCCACGAACATCGTATGTTCTAGATATTTTCTAATCTAATTGAAGTCTTAAATCTCTATTTTCTAAAACTTTTTGTTAAAACCACACTGCCAAAGCATATAACATTAACACATCCATCGCCAAAACAAATATTTAAAATTTTTCTGGATTAGATTTGTAATATTTATTTTCAAGCAAATCAATGTGCAATAGTAAGGAAAACAATAAAAAATAGATTTTTGTACATTTTTTTGTAAAGAGACCATTTTTTGATGAGATAGAGAGGCTCGAGCTCCTTCGCTATTTCTTTCCTCCACAACAACAACAGCATGGACAACAGCAACAACAACACGGGCAACAACAACAGCAGCAACAACATCTTCTCCTTCTGGCTTCCACTTCTGTTACTGCGACCAAACTGATGATTAGGAGGACTAGGCTGAAAAGTTTTGGCTTAAAGTTGAAATTTCGAAAAATTTTTGAATTTTTTTTTTAAATTTAAAAAATTAAAAAAAAATTGAAACTTTCTTAAATTAAAAAAAAGCAGTACCATACTGAACAACATTTAATACAATACTCTACTGATGCTTGTAACCAATTTCTACCGTAATAATCACATTTCAAAACAAAAAAGCTACATTAACCAATGTTACAGTACCCAAAACTTACAGAAACCGTAGCGACAGGAACTTCATGATAGGAGATCTCTGAACCCCAACACTGACCTCATTGTACTCACGTTGCGATTTTATACTCGAACCGTTCACGTTCATTATTTGCGTTCATCTCTAACCGTACATGGACAAATATTGAAACAATGCGCGAGGTTAATGACCGGTAACATGAATAGTCGAGAAAGTAAACACAAAATGCACAATAATATCGTGGCTATTTTGGAAACATTATCAGATAAAGGGATTGACATTGTTTTTAGGTTTTTTGACTAATTTTGTAGGTAAGACAACAGTTGACTCAAAGGTTGGCGCGTCAAGACTTGCTTTTTTTATTATTTTTGTTTTTTGATGGAAAAAATTGAGAAACTTGAAGATAAAGTAAGTTATCGTATGTTTTTTGTTAGTATAATGATTACCATAGCTTTTTTAGTGCTTTACACTCTTTTCACCAATAATTTACATGTCAAATAACTCATTTTTAACTTTATGTGGAGCGATATTCCTTTACCCTTCAGAATTCCTGATATAACATCGATGGTAAGCAGAAATTACACTTATACCACGAAAAGGATGTTGAGCTTTATTAAGGTATAGATTTTTAGGTTTTCTGAAGATTTTTTTTCAGTTGTTTGAGGTCTTCCATCTGGTCAATATCACTTGAAGTCGACTAGGTTAATATCAATTGGCTTTTGGTGCTAGAACTAGTGAATTTGGCATTGCTGTTAACAGAAAAGCAGATATGCGTTGTTATTTAGAAACTATGAGAAATGAAGTTGCGCGAATAATAACGGCATGAAAGGGCAGGAATATAAAGGTAGGTGTTATTGGAATGGATTAAAAATTTTTTGTTGTAACCTTTGAGGTTCTAAATAGAGGTTTGCGAAATTTTTAGCATAAGTTAGTTTTACTTTGTTCTGGCTATAGTTAAAAAATATAGTTGTTTTGCATTTTAGTTTTGAGCATATGTGGCAGTTGGGTTTGGTAGGTCATGGATAATATATTTTTTCTTATAACGTCTTCTATCCTATATGAAAGTTTTTCAAACTTTAACAATAAAATAATAGGAGCTTCTTCTTGCTTTCGCTGCTTAGAAAATATATTAAGGCATGATATTTTAAAAATAATAGTTTATTGATTCACACATTTGCGCATAAGATTTGCTTGAAATAAACATTACATAATATTTACATTTTCAATTTTGGCACTTTAAAATTATCTTTTTTTATCTACAGTTTTCCAAAAATGGACTGGAAGGTGCCTTTTGGATGCGTAGTGCTTTCAGTTTTTGGTGCTTCAGTCGTAGCATCTCTTCGCACGAACGATTTGTGTGGTGCCATACATCCTCCAAAACCGCCTTTTCCGAAATGATCTTGCATTCTCATGGCACCACATGAACAACTGCCAAATGCCATTTTATTGCCACCTTTCTGGGCTGATGGATTTGGACAACCGCCGGCTGGACAGCCTCTGGCTAGGCAGCCTGGACCGGTACAACCGGTTATGGTTGTATTCGTGGCTTCGAGAGATAGTATCAGTAGTGATGAGGCTAGTAGGGCACTGAAATAATGTTTATGGTTAAAATTTTTTTAAAATAGTTGTTCAGCGTGAATTTGTGAAAAGGTCCGGTTTGAAATAATAGTTTTATTCGGCCTTATTTTAAAAATTTTGTCGAAAAGAAAGGTTGAATAAGATTTTTTTCTCGCTAGTGTTAACAACAAAGACAATTTCACAAAAAAAACTTACATAACAATTGTTTTTGACATTTTTCACAATTTACAGTTAGGGGACAGTAGTAACACCAAAAACTCACAAAATGCACGTTGTTCTACCTTCTACAGGCTACTTTTATATTCGCAGTAAGTAAACATCCATTGGTCTTTAATTGTTTCTTCCTTGACCTAATCAAGAAGAAACAATAAGAGACGTTCATTGTTGGTCCATGGGACTGTAACAATGACATGGACAGGGAAAATACACATTTTTGATCAAGAATGTCACGTATATTGCTGATAATGATAAAAAGCTGATTGATAAAAAAGGTCAGTAAGACACAAAAATTAAAAAAAAAATTATTTTTAAAACTTTCAAAGTGAAGATTTAAGTTTAAAATTAAAGTTCTTAGTCTGTTTACAAACTTAAGGCAGTTTTTTATTTTTTAAAGTTTAAAAAACACAAAAGTACTTGTAATATTCATACAGCTTTGTTCGCAAGATCAATAGATCAATATCTTTAAAAGCTTTGAGTTTGTTCTCGTTTGTCACAATCTGAAGTTGATATTTTTAGTGCTAACTAGGTAATTGAACAAGACTCCTTTGACTTTTGTAAGTGATTTATATATGATAAAAGAGCATAAAAGGTTACTGGGAAAACTATTTTCAAAAATAAAGCTAAATGGTCTTGGCTAGCGAGTTACAGTTCAGCATTCTTTTATTTTTAAAAGGTATAGCTTTAAACTTTGAAAACTAATATTTTTTGATAAAACTTTTTTTTGAAAGTAACTAAAAACAAGATATTTTTTAACTAAGCTATTGTTTGGCTAGCCAAAACGTCTTGTCACATTGGCAAAATGCCAAATTAAAAAGTCTTAATTTCTCGGCCACATTGGATTGATATCTCAATTCAATCTTTTTGTTCAAGGCGATAAAAAAAGCCAAAGTGAGTTTTCTATGGATTTAAATTTTTCGGCCGCTAATATCTCACTAGTCGCGATCATTTACAAGTTTTTGAAAATGGTTTTTCCGGTAATTTTTTAGGCGCTTTCATTCTGGATAAGTTTTATTTTAAAAACCGAAGAATATTAGTTGTAACTTTCTTTTTTAAAATTAAAAGTACACGTTTTTAGCCTAACAGAATCTCAAAAAGTATATTTTGTTTATAAATCTGTTGATCTTAACCTTGTTTTTAAAAATCAGAAGGGAAGAGTACGTTTAATTTTTTCAAAAAATTTTTTAGCTTGGTCATAACTTCTTTAACTTAGTGTTCTTAGCATTAGAATAGGCATGGTTTTACCCGCAAGCGTGTAAAAAACAAAGAAATTGACCAAAGAAGACAAATATTAATATTTTATGCTTGAAAAGGCTGATATTGATCTGAAGCGGCGAGAGGAGAGGGCTTACCTCCAGTTGTTTCTCTTACTTTCAGGTAAAAGTGAAATAAACAACTAGTGAGTTATTTTTGAACAATATAACTGTTTTTGTATGTTTAGTGAGGTTTACAATCATAGTTTAGGTTTTATTGGTTTTTGAGCAAATTTTGGTTTTTTGCAGCATTTGGTCCTTAATGGTACTGAGATTTTAGTTTTTTATTATACTGTAGGGCTAGAGTATTTTAGAATAGGGTAGAGTAGAGTAGTATAGAGTAAAGTAGGTTAAAGTAAGGTGAGGTTGGGTAGGGTAGAATAAAGTAGGGTAGTGTATGGTAGAGCAGGGCAGAGTATGAGTATAAAAATTTTATTACATTAGTTAAGCAACAGTTTCAACATTCTTACTTTTCAAATATTGATGTCATTATCAAGGTCGCTGAACTCTTAAAAGTTATTAATTGGAGCGCATAATCATTTATCATTATGCGTGGGTGTCGGCTATTAACAACCGTAAAAGAAACATATATTGTTGTTTAGAAACATGACTACAACTGCGGAATGTCGCGAGCAACTTGAGCGACATTTGCAAAAGTTTCGGGAAATTGCTGATGAACGGGTTCAGGATAAGGTGGGTAGCACTTGCTGGGTACCAGCGGTATAGTGTGGTATAATAAAACCGTTAGCTTTTATTTTCATGGGGAACTACTAGATAGCTTTTGCTTACTAAGTTTATATAATTTCTGTAAAATCAAAAAAACTGCATCAAATTAATTTCCAGATAGCTAGATGGGGAGTATATTTACCAGCCATTTTATCAGCTACTATAATATTATGCCAGACAGCCAATACTTATATTTTTGGGTCTTTTGCCTACAATTTTGGTCAATTATACCTTTTGATAGATGATTATATGAGAAGTACAGCATCGATGAATGTGACATTGTTCAATTCAAGTGATTTGTACAAATATAAAGGACAAAACTTTGAAAGAATCAATGAAATTGACTTGGTAAGGGAGATAAAGTTATGGATGGAAGAGGGGGGAAGTTAGAGAGGGAAAGGGCAAGGATGAGTTAGGGTAGGGTTTAGCTAGTTATTGGAAGGGTGGATAAAGCTATGAGTAGAAGAAGGGGAAGGCAAGAGAAGTTAACAATAAATAGCTCAAGGGATGAGTTAGGGTTTGCTAGGATTAGATTAGAGAAAGGCTTGGCTATAATTATTTTATGGTTGAGCTATTATAACGCACACTTAAGAGAGGGTAGATCAAAAATAACATAAAGATAAGAACAAGGTAGAGTAAAAAATGGTATGGTAGGGTAAGGTAAGGTAAGTTAGAGTACGATTAGGAATGTATGGTTAAGATAAGGCGGGGTAGAACAAAATGAAACATGGTTATGTTATACTAGAGTAGGGCACTGTAAAATAATTTATTTTTGGTTTTCAGTACCACGACCAACTATGGACGCTATTTGTAGCAGAAGTCATTGAACTGGTATTTCCATTTATTAATATTATTATGTTTGCATGGATAATTCAAGACAAAAAACGACATAAATTGAAGTCACAACTTCAAGTTATTTACTTGGTAAGGCGACGTATCAAAATTTCAAAGAATTTAAAAAAATTTTTTTTTTATTTTTAACTTAAAAATCTTTAAAATTTATTTTTAGCTAGCCCCAGTCTTAGCTTTAGTACTAAGCATTACACAAGCATTCACAATTCACGTTACTTTGTTTGACTCGATGTATACGATCAGGTTTTTACTATCAAAGTTACTGGCGCAGTTATTGGAAATCAACGCTTCTGGCAGGTACCCAATTGAACAATACTTTGGGTGTGAGTTCATCAACGATGATGATATTGTTGTAAGTTTATTGCTTGAGTAGATTAGTTTATTGTTAAGGTAGAGCTTACTGGATAGTTTATTGTTAGGGTTAAGTAAGCTGTTTTTTGTTAGGGTATGTATGTAAGGGTACTTTATTGTTAGGGCAGTTATTTTTCTTTATTTTCGAAATTTAAAACTTTTCCAGAAGCCTCCGTGTGCCGGCACCATCCACGACCAAGTCGTGTCGAATACAACGATGAATGTAGTGATAGGAGTTCATTTTATTCCGATTGTTATTGGGATTTACTTGTTTTTGCAGAATTTACAATCCTCACAGACCGATCATTTGTTTTTATACATCGAAAGCGTTGATCCGGTCATAATGGAGAAGATTGCTCATGAGTAAGTTATACGTAACTCTTTAGACTTTTACTCTTTTTGCGGTATAGAGTATGTTTTAAGGAGTAGGAAAGAATAAGGTAGAGTACCGTAGGGTAGGGTTAACAAGTATAATATAGGATGGAATATCGTAGGTTAGAACAAAATAGGGTAGAGTTGGGTAAAATAGGGTAGAATAAAGTAGGGCAGGGCAATTTATTTACTCTTTTTGTGGTTTACTTGCTTTTTGCCTCTCCTTTTGTCTAGAATACTTTTGTCTTACTCTTGACCTACCCTTGCTCTAACATGGCCTCGTTTTACCCTTGCTTTTCTATTGTTCTTATTAATCTACTTTATATTATACTTGCACTATGTCTAAAAAACTTTTTTTCTATATTGACATACTAATACTTAAATTTCAGCCAATTAAATGGAGATGAACAAAAAAGAAGGACATTGAAAGATACTGTGAAAGAAATGCTCATGGAATGGAATGTTAGGTTCATCCCTAAACGGTAAGAACTTATTTTGATATTTTGTGTTATTGTTTTAGGTTAAGCTCAGTTTATAATAGATCAAGTAAACCTACGCCTTTCGTTAGGTTGTTCAAATGGTTATGTGCCCCTATCCTTAAAATTTGCTTTGGGTTGGGCTTAGAAATACATGAACAATATAGTAGTTATATTCGTTTTAAATTTTGAGTTCGAAACACTTGATAAAACATGCAAAAATTTAAAAATTATAGGATATTTGACCTACAAATGGGTGTGGAGCGTCGTCATCGTAGAAGCTCTGTATCTTCTGCTCATGAACTGGGGCATACAGTGTTATAGTGTAATATAAATAATATGAATTCGAACTGGTATTGTGATTTACTAGAGTAGAAAAGGTTTTACTGGCTGCATATTTTAGTATAATAAATAATAAAAATCGTTGGTTTGAAAAAGGTTTTTACACTGTAAAGCATAGTTTTTTCTTGGAATAACTCGGCCTTTTTTTGGTATGGTAAGGTACAATAGGACAGGGTAGTGTAGGGTACGATGAGGTAAGGTAAAGTACGGTAGGGTATGGTAGAGTAAGGTAAGATAGATACGGCCCGGTATGGCTTTTTGTAGTAGGTAGTCACCTTCCCGAAACTAACTAAAATTTATTCCTCAGTAATAACAGTTTTAAGAAACAACAATATAGCGATTAAAGCAGTAAAACCCAGTAGAGTAAGTAAAATCAGAATCCAATGTGCTGTCCATTGTTGCCAATTTTTTGTTTTTCTATACAAATTTGACGGTCTTCTGGATTCAACAACATAATCTTCGGATTCTTCTAGGGGTATGCGATCTTCATTTAGGTTTTTTAGTTCAAATATTAAGCTGAAACAATAGAGTTTAGCCTATATTAAGGCGATATAAAATGGATTAAGGCGTTTTTATTTATGTTTTTTGAAGTTTCTTGCCTTTTTTAAACTTAGATTGCCTTAAAGTAATGTTAAACAGCATTAAAGTCACTGAGAAACGAAACTTTAAAATTTATTTTAAGTAATGGTATTTGTTAAAAATAGAGATAACAGCTCAAAGACGTGTTAAAAATTACAAAAACCAAAGTAAAACTTACTCTTTTGAGGCCGTAGGCATTACAAGACCCGTTTTCTCTTTATAAACCCTTTGACTTTACATGGTGAAAAGCAGAAAAAGAACAAAAAAGAGAAAATTATTTGATCGACTGCACACGCAAATAAACAGATTATTATGCACGAGGATCATAATGTCTTATGATAAGTATAATAGGCCAGAGTTTTGAAGCATTTGAAAGTTTTTACTCTACTCTACCCTATTCTTATTCTCTACCTACTCTATTTTACCCTATTATACCCTACCTTGTATTACCCTATTTTACTTTACCCTACCTTACCCTACCTTACGCTACCTTACCCGACCCTACCCTACCTTACCCTGCCCTGCCCTGCCCTACTCTAAATTAACCTACTCTGCCTTACCCTATTCTACTCTAATCTACCTTGCTTTAACCTACTCTACCTTACCCTACTCTACTGTGAACTTTTATTCTTCTTTGTCCTGCCATATTTTGATCTTCTTTACCCTGCCATACGATTGTTCTTTGCTTTTTTTGCCAAAAAACGACGCGCAATGTAACAATCGCAAATCCCGATTTCTTGTACACGCATGTGGCATAACCTCACTTAATTTCCCTAGCGATTTACTTTGTCTTTCTATTCATTTTGAGTCGTATTTTATTGAAATATGATTGAAGAACTTATTAATCGATGTAGGATGATCAGAAACAAGATTTTTGAATATTTTGTAGACAAATTCGGATGGCTTAACGACTTTATGTAGGTTTACCGTACTTTTATCTGTGTTTGTTAACTATAACTTAAGTCTCATAATAATTTTATATTGAATATATCAGACGCCGACATAAAGAATCCGCCATCTTTTTCCTGTATATAATTTCTTGTAAAAAGTGGCGGGTTCTTTATGTTGGCAGCTAATAAAGTGGAACTCCTGTATAACGAATTTTTCTATAACGAAAATCCTGGATAAGGAACAAATTTTAAATCCCGTCTACTACTACACTGTGAATTAAAAACTCCTGTATAACGAAACTCTTTTATAACAACAAATTTCAAGTCCCCGAGCGATTCGTTATACAGCAGTTCCACTGTATATTCGGATTTTTTTAGTTTTTTATTATTATTTTTTTAACTTTAATGACAGATACTTCGTGATACCTGAAGTCCCAGTATTTCAAAAAAATATCGTCCAAATGTTTGATTTTTATGAAGGCGATAATCCGTTTGGAAGAAGAGTTTATGGAGATGATATGAACTTTATAGAAGGTATGGATGCTTTTGAGAACAACGAAGATGGCATAGAGTTACCGAACTCAACTACAGTGACAATCAGACCGTCAATAACATTTATGGCGTATGCTTTTGAAGTTTTGGTAGTTTTTATTATTATTTTCGTTAGCTTTCTTATACGTTGATTTAAATATAGTTAGTAAATTTGTTACCTTTTATCTTGTAATATTTTGATATACACTATAGGGTAGAGTAGAGCAAGGAAAGGTGAAATCGAATAGGATAGTATGGAATACGTTAGCAGTTTTTATTTTTTATATACTTTATTATTATATGTTAATATAATATATAATTTATAAATTTCTAATCATTCCGTTCTGGACATCGTGCCATGCACTCTTGATTGCATTCTGCGTAGCATTGTAGAGCATTTGTGTCCTGTTTTATACATGCTCGCTTACAAACCCGCATACAATCAGGTGAACATTCGGCCATTGAACTCTGAAAGTATAATATGTTAGAAAATTGTAGGGTAAGATATGATACGATGTTAACCTAAGTCGATAGGGTAAGGTAGGGCTGGAAAACGTAGGGTAGGATAGGTTAAGATAACATAGAGCGAGGTAGAGTAAAATAGGATAAGTTAGAGTAGAGTTAGCGCAATACTATTCATTAAACGTAAATAGTATAATTTACCTTCGGCGCATCCCTAAAAGGCTCAAATATCTTGCTGACATCAGGTTCGGCCGCTTTTGGATCAGTTAACATGATTCGATTCCGATTCACTTGATTCCCACCAATTTTTGAAAATCGTTTGTTAAAGAAGGTCCTAGCCTCAGTCACTGCGAATCCTTGGCCAATCTTCTCGATGCACTGTATTGTGCATTCAGGCCGACAACCTGGTGCACAACCTTTAGCTGGTGCTGGGAATTGAATGTTCAAAGCTAACGTTGGTCCGTAATTAGGATCATTGTAGAGCTGTTGGTACACTTTTGGCTCATACTTTGTCTTGTTGTATTCCAAGGTTAAGGGGATGATATCAGTACGATGAATTGATGTTAAAGCACGACGGAATGGTGCCGGATTGGCGTTGGAAAAGCTTGTTAATGATGGGTTTGTACGTTGTTGGTGGCTAAACGGGTATCTTGGCATTACAGCAAGAGCTGTGATTTGTTGATCAGGCCCGTTAGACTTTGTCATTTCCACACTGTCGTATTGTAGGTTGCTACGCTGATATTGGTTGTGATTTCTTCTTGAGTTCTTGTTGTTTCCATACTCATATTGAGTGTCTTGTTGATTGTAAAACATATTTTGACTTTCAGGCTTTAACGTCGACTGTGATCTTTGTTGAAGTTGATTTATGCTTGATATAATAGTTGGGTTGTTTTGTTCTCTATGACTTTGCTTGTTTTTATTGTTTTCTTGATACAGATTTTGGGCCTGTTGTTGAGCATACTGAGCCTTTGGTTGGTTGTATTGTGGTTTAAACTGAACTTGATGAAAAAGTGGAGTTTCGACTGATCCTTGATCCATTAATGGATTCAGAAAGCTAGCTAACTGGTCTTGAGTGCTTGATTTAACATTATCGGCTGAACTTTGAGATGCTGAACTTGATTTTCTTTGCTGGCTGTTTTGTGTGGGAAGTGTTGGGTTGACAATGTCATATGTTGTAGTTGGTATGCTGTAACTATCTTTGTTGTTATAGTTATTGTTATAGCTAGCTTTGCTGTATTCATCGTTATAATTATCTTTGTTGTTATCGCTATTGTACTGTGAAGATGATACTTGTGGTAAAGAAGATATAGTAGAAACTGGATTTTGATTGTTACGGCTATTGGTACTCCAAGCGCTTCCGAATGTGCTGCTAGCACTAACTGGTGTTGTACTATGAAGTGGAGGTCTTCTTCTGACTTCAAAACTGTCGATGCTGCTACTGTCACTGTTATCATTGACATCTTCTTTGTTCTCTCTATTAACTACGTTGTTATTGTAGCGCAAACCATTTTCTTTATCTCTGTACCTCCGTTCCTGACCGTTCCCCTCATTCTGAAAATTCTCATTGTTCTTTCTCCATCGTGGTGGATTCAATGGTATTGGGTCGTTATATCTCTTCATATACCTGTTAATACAACCGTTTTCACAAGATGGCATACAAGTTGGAGCACATAATGGCGCAGCATCGGCCAGAAGAGGTCTAGAAAGTAGTGGACCAGCTTGTTCTAGGGTGGCAAATATCGGCTCTGATTTTAATATTAGCTGGGAATTTGGGATTGGTTGAGGATTTAATCGTTGTTGAAGATTTGGCATCAGTTGAGGATTTGAAATAGGTTCGACCGGTCTTGGGGGTTGAATTTGGACTAATGGTAATGGTTCGATACGTTGAATTGGATGTTGAACGTTCAAAGTTGGTGGGTTTTCAGCTAGTTTGTGGTTGTTTAGGGCGTTGTTTAGCTGTGGAACTGAAGTTATAGGTCTCATTGGCTGTGTAGGTAAGGAAGAAGAAACTATCGGAACTCCAGTAGGCCTAATAGGACCATTTTGGACCGTCTGAATTGGCATAAAAGGCATAAAAGGCTCTTTCTTCAAGTTAAAGGTAGGTAAGGTAACATCATTTTGTAAATATTGACTGTTTTGTGGTTGTAATGGTACTGTTGGAGTTATAAAACTTTGTTGGTTTGAAATTGTTGACCCTATAGGCTGTACTGGGACTGTTGGTGTAGCTTGTGGAACCGGTGGTAGGGCTTGTGAAGGTGTAGGAATACGTTGAGGGCCATTACCCAGGTCATTTCTGCCTTGTATAACATCATGATTGGCCTGGAAATCTCTAGCCAGCTTTTCGATAGCATTAAAATCAACGTCGCTTCTCTGTAGCCCGCTGAACTCATCATTGCGCAGCATATTATTGTACGCAGTGAGTTGACAATTGGCTTGACACATCCCAACGCACGCGTCCTGACATGCCACACCATTTGGTGCACTTTCTTGGGGCTTCACACAGGCTTTGCGACATGACGGTAGACACTTTCCAGAACATTCAGAGTACATTGCCGGAGGCAGAATGTTACTATCAATACCGTGATGTTTGGCACATGAACTTTCGCATGAATTCGAGCACGTTTGAGAACATTGCGAATTGGTTGGTGAGCAGTTTTGGACGCATTGTTCGGTACAATGCGGTACGCAATTGCACTGGCAATGGGGTTGGTCTGGTGCACAATGGCAAGTTGGTGGGGTGGATAGTAGAATTGGCTGGGGTAGGGGCATTGGTGGTACAGGATAGTGTGGTCCTTGAGGGGCTGATGGTACTGGGTAATGAGGTGATGCCGATCCAGGTGGTATTGGGTAGTTCGGTCCAGATGGATAATTTGGACCAGACGGGGGTGGATAATTAGATGAAGATGGTCCAGGATATCCAGCTGAAGATGGGTAATTTGGTTCAGGAGGACCAGAAAAACTCGACGCAACTGGAGCAGGCGGTACTGAATAGACCACCGACGAACTATAGCCGCTAGAAGAAGCTGGTGCCATTTGTTGGCAAGCATGACCACAAGTCGATTGACAGGTCGATTGACAGGCATCTAGAGGTTGTTGCTGAGCCAAGCAAGCTTGTACACATTGCTGTTGACATACAGGCGAACACATTGTTGATGCTGATGGTGCACAACTGCATTGTGGGGCTAGTTGTGCTTTTTCGCATCTAAAATTAGGTAACTGATGGTGATATCGGGTCAGTAGGAACATGTTTATAAAATTTAAGTTATGGGAATGGCTCAAAACCTACCGACAAAGCAAATCTGTAGTATTGCCACCTTGATGGCATCTACAATTTACTGGAGTATATTGTGATACACAAGCACATGAACGTTTGTGTCGTTCTAGTTCCGGTTCTGTATAGTTTTGGTCCTGGAAATAAAGTATTGTGGTGTTATATGTTATTTAGTACTCTTTCTCTCCTAAATTCGGGTAATATCTATGAAAAAATGGCAAAAACTTTAAGATTTTTTTATTTTAGGTAACAAAATCAATTTTTGTTTTAAAAAAATAAAAAAAACACCTGACGTCACTCAACACCCCTCACTTACATGGCCATGCACCGTCACAGAAAGCAACACTAACACAACAAACAACAACATAACCGAACTGACCGGAAACCCAACGCCTTCCGCCCGGTTTATATACCGCGCAATAGTCGAAACCCAAAACTTGTCAAGTGGCTATTCACCGAAATCCGAATCCAATTCAAAACCCATTCCCGACGTTTGTGCAAAAAACATCAAGCTGGATACATCCGGGGGATTGATTTTGTCAATGGCCAATGGGTGGATGGTTTTGTCGGGATGAATAGATTGTTGCAGTTTTTTTGGGTTATTCAACAAATTATAGACCAAAATGGAAAAAAAAGTTTAAAAAAGGTAAAGTAGTTTAGTTCAAAGCGAATATTAAATGGTTTTTTTAGTTGGTATGGAGGGTAGACATAAAAAATGACCCATCAGCTCCGGCCCGCGCTAGTTTGTTGATTACTTATATGAATATATATACAAAGGACCGGCCTGAAGGAAATTTGAAAAAGGCTAGACCGAAAAATTGAGTCCGACCTGATTTATTTTATAAATCTAGCGAAAAGAAGATTTTTTTTAAATTTGAAAGTGAGGGCTACTCTACAATACACAACTTACTATGCGAAGTACCTTACTCTACCCCACGCTATACTACCTTACCCTTACTTACACCACCCTACCTTACAGAGACAATATCTACTCTCGATCGATAGTAACTTTATCATTATCACGTATGTACAAAAATACAATTTTTACGAACAACACCAATAGCTAACACGTTATATCATTCCTGAATTTTTCGTTTTGCTGGCCGTTTTGAGGTACTTGGTTGATCTACATCTATTTTTCGCTCCAATTTCTTTATCAAATACTCAAAGTAGTGTTCGTTTTTTCTCATCATTTTGTCAATCACAATAAATAAAGGTCGGTCTGAAAATTGCTTTCAAATAATTTTTAAAAACTTTTTTTTTAATTTTCAACCACTATTTGTATCGGCAATCGAGTTGGTCTGATCATAAACTAGTTGCTAATCTTAGGCCCGGACGATCCGGGCTGAACTAGCTGCTTATTTTAAGTCCGAACGGAACAAACCGTCACCCTAAGCTCTCAAATCGTATTATCTAACCAATTTTAGATAAAAAATAATTTTACTCTAACAATAAGTAAGCCCTTCTATAACTCACCCCTATGCCAAGTGAGCACTTTCAAACCCTTAGGGCTTTTCCATTTTTCCTTGTAAATTCCAAAATTTCTAGCATTGGAATCTTCATGTTCGTTAAAGCTTCTAGTGTATGGTCCATCCCAAAACTTTTTGAATTTTTGTGGATATTCATTCCAAGACTTTGCTTCTTTATCGTAGTATAGCACCTGAAAAACATTATTAAATAGACAAATGTAAATACAAGCCTACTCTACCCATAAGTAGAGTAATTTTTTAAAATATAAAACTCTTGCATAACGAAACTTTTTTATAACCAACAATTTTTACATGTTAAATCCCTGCGCAATACGTTATACAGAATTTTTACTGTGTTTCACTATTATAATTTAACTTTAAAAACTCACTTTCCCTGTAGAATAGTTGGCAACACTGTAATCACTCAACATGACCCATATTGAGTATGGTTCTTTCATTTTTATCACTGAATACTCTTCGTTTTTGGCGTTGTAAATTGTCATTGTAGATTTGACTTCTGAAAAACATAAAAAGATAATAGGTTATAACATAATGACTATTATATAGAATTGAAAAGGACCCACTAAGCCTGGGCCAGCTGCCATTTCTAGAGCCTGAGCTAGGACTAAAGCTGGCGCTAATTCCAGGGCTATAGGCTAGGGTTACTGCTGGGGTTGGGACTGAGGCCAGTAAGGCTCTGGGCTACGGCTCTGGGATAGGGTTCTGGGTTAAGACTTGGACTAAGACATGTGTAAAGGGCCGACCCAGCATATGAGAACAAAGTAAAAGATTGAGTCTGGCAGAACCTCATTACAAGTATACACCCTTACATCAAAACCGGCCCATATCAAGAGTTTACTGTACCTTGGTATTTCATACGTATTATACTATATACAACACTTACCACTAATATTGAACATGAATCCACTGTTCGGTATGATAAAAAAGTTAGTACTATTATAAAATCCAATCCTCTCAATTCTCTCATAAACAATCTCATTCAAACAATTTACAACAGTAACTCCTTTAGCATGAAACAGCACAAAATACTGTAAATTTTCAGCCGTTGAGTAATAACAATTGAAAGAATCAACATTTTCTCGGTAAATTTGGTACTCTTTTTGATCGTACGCGTTAAAAATAATACCGTTTTGGTGATTATAACCTGAACCATTGGATACTGTAGTTTTTCCTTTAAAAGCGGATTTGTGTAGAAGATTGGTGCTTTCTACATCATATATGTATACGGTGCTTATGCGGCGTTGTTGATGCTGAAAGTTGTGTTAAATGTAAGTATAAGGATAGGTACTATACAGTAAAAATTAAATTTATGTATATTATATGTTCCAAAATAAAAAAAAATTAAATCTTTTATTTTAAAATTAATTAAAAAGCTAAAAATTCAATTTTTGTTACCTAAAATATCAAGTTTCTTACCCAAATACTAATAATAGTCCCATTTTTAATTAACGCCATATGACCGACATCAAACTCAATTTTGATGTATCGATAGTAATCTAACCCAACATCCAAGCTCGATACAACAACATAATTTTTAAAATGAAGGGCAAACTTGTCCGTATCCAAGCAGAATACCAACTGCTTACTAATCACTAGTCCTATATTGTATACTCGGCGTGGTGCACTGAAAAAAATATTAACATAGGTTTTAAAGACAGTTTTCAAAATCTAGCATCGGCTATAGGTACCTACCCTACCCTATCCTGCCCTACCTTACCTTATCTTACCTTACCGTACCTTACCTAACTCTACCCTACCCTACTATACCTTACTTTACCCTACCCTTTCCCTACACTTCAGTACCCCACTCTACTTCACCTTACCCTATCGTATCCTATATATAACGGAATTTTTTATCCTATATTTACTATAGTACTTTCCCTAGCTACCCTTGCCTCTATTTGGCTCAACTCTGACCACTCTCCTCAACCGACCAACCCTGACTACTTTAATAGTGCTAAAACTTACTCATAAAAAGCATGTGCCCAATATTCATTCGGTAGTTTATAAATCTTGTTTTTTATACACAAATCTTTGTAGAAAGGATCCAAAAGTTCAGCGAAGTATTTACTGGCAAACACTAATGACTCCAAGGTCTTTGGATTGTCGTAAAGGAGAAGATCTATAATTTGATTCCATACCTGTAAACATTGTTTTAATAAGTTAAGTTTTAATAGTTAAAGTTCGAAAACAATATTGTTTTTGACTACGTTCTAGTTAATCGTCAAGCCTTACAAAGGCTATTTCACAAAATTATCTACGGCTATATTACCAAATTTTCAAAAATCAAAACTTAAAATTTAAAAAAACTCAAACTTACATCTCTTCCTACTAATTTAAAGCTTTCAGAAACCATTTATATTATTTACATATTATAATTTAAAAAATTCTTTTAAAGCAAGTAAACAAAAAGAAATTATAAGCTATGTAAGCTCACGAGCCATTTCATTCTTCTTTTTTCCTCAAAAAATAAGAATATTTTTTAGCGCGCTTTGTAACTATTCACTGCTATTGATTGTTTCGAACGTCTTTTAAAGTATGATTGACTTCGTTAAACAAGATGACACGCTACTAAAGTGACTATAGAAAGTAACATTTATAAGTTTATTCACAAGTATTTTTAAGTATAAGAGTTTAAAGTAATCTACACAAAGTAAAAAACTAGGTAAGTATAATATATGATATAAAAATGGCAAGATATGAAAAAGTACATAAAAGCTTGGCAATAAAAAAGTAAGATATACCAAGTTAAATGGTTCTAGACAGGTACATGTGTACAAAAATCAATGTCAATACCTACTTTAGAATGAAAAAGTTTCAATATTTACTATAACTTTAAAAAAATTTTAATACCTACTATAACATACAAAACACAAAACCAGTATCAATCATGACTACAGCAATACAAAAAAGTATCAATACTTGTAATGTAACACACCCATACAATACCAGTAGTAGTCTCAATTCAGTACCATTATCTTACCAACAACCATTACCTATATCAACATCCCCCTACTCAGTCTTTTCCCTCTTCGACGGACCGAAGATCAAGTTTTTGACGAAAAGACCAACAAAAAGTAAAACAACAATCAGAATGTTGAGCAAGACTAGAGCCACAAAGAAGACGTCAATGTTGTAGTACTGGATGATGTTCATGTGGCGTCCAGCCAGCTCGAGATGCTCGTGAACGTCATATTGAGCTGCAAATTCGGCCGTTTTGATAATTCTCTCTTCCGGTGAGTATGGCTTGTTCTTGATGATTTTGCTCAGTTCTTGAGCTTTTTGCTTGTAGCTGAAAAATTAAATTTTAAAATTTCAAATTTTTTTTAAATTTTAAATTTTTTTGCGGTTAAAGCCCTATCACTCGAGCCCACATGTGCAAGTCCGGTCCAGGGAAAGACCTAATGGGCCTATCAGGTCTAGCCATATCGCCTCTTTTCAAACAATCATTGCCCTTTACTACCTCTTATCCTCCATGAACTCCCTCAACGTCTTGACGATAGAATCCTTCTTCAGAAGATCATCCCTTTCCAAAATCAAAGCTGACCCTTTAGACTTGATCATTCCAGCATTCCTATTCTGATCTCCAAACAATGGAATGCAGATCATTGGGATTCCAGCATAAGTGGCTTCAGTAATCGAGTTCATACCTCCATGAGTAATGAAGACCAAGGCCTTTTCGTGTGAGATGATCTCTCTTTGTGGCAGCCATTTGCCGGTGTGAACGTTCGAGTACTTGGCAGCAATGTTCTCGGTCTCATTTTCGTATTTCCAGATGAACTGAAACAAGGTAATATAAGTGTAGGTTAAAACTGTAATTGTTTTACACTTTTTGCAAGTAATATCTTTCGTTGTAAGACCTAAGCTGAGCCCCATGAGGCCTTCGTTTGACTCTATCCCCCATTTAGGCCTACAACATAAAAATCCTGTACATCAAGAAAAAAATCTATTTTCGTATTTTATTTATCATACAGCCTATCGTATCTATCATACCTTCGCTCTTATCACTCCAAACTCAACAACAAATTTTAAAATATTATAATATGTTCACATGCCTATTCTTATCACTTCATCTGTGATGAATGAAGTTAATCACGTTTCCTGATAGCAATTCGCAAACATTTTTTTGAGAAAAACATCTGCCTTATCTTATTTTACGTTTCATTGATTTTTGACTAATTTTGGAAGTTTTTGAGTAAATGTGATTAGGTAGGGTTGTTGTTGAAAGTTTATTTTTAAATTATGTTTTTTACACAAGAACTTTAAAATTCATTTAAAAAACAAAAAAATTTTTTAAATTGTAAAATCCACCCCAAAAAATCTTAAAAAATACCCCGCGCAAATACCCTAAAAATCAAACTCCATGCCACTCTTCAACTAAAAAACTCAAAATCCGCCCCTTCATAAAAAATACCCTGCGCAAAAAAGCAAAAATCAACGTCCATGCCGTTTCCAACTAAAAATTCGAAATCTACCCCTCATAAAAAATACATCGCCAAAAAAAACTAAAAATCAAACTCCAAGCCCCTCCTCAACTAAAAAACTCAAAATTCCTACCTGAACATCAGGGAACTCGTTGAAAGCCTCCAAAATGTTATTTTTCATCTCCCGAGGCATCCAAGCACTCTGAGCCACAGATCCAAATGACATGTAAACCACACCTTTCTTTGCTTTTTGGAAAATCTGCTGATATTTGGGCTCCAAAGCATTGATCTTGGACAAAGCCTTCTTCATTCCGAAGCCTCCAATGTTAACATATTTGTGAGAGATTGGGCGTGGGAAGTCCACGTACTCATCGGTGTTGACCCAGATGAAGGAGCTGTTGGCGATTAGGTCCTAGAATGAGGTCAGATGAGCTTACAATTAGGGGTAAAAATAGAGGTTAAATTAAATTTCTTGAATTTCAAAAAAGTTTAATTTTGAAAAAAATGTTTTTTAAATTTAGTCTTTCTTATCCATGTTATAGTAGCCTTACAGTTATTTTGACTCGAACATAGCTTTTAAAAACAATTTTTTTACCTATATTTTCTTACATTATATCAAAGCCCATCTTTAGACTTCTCTTTCACGCCAGTTTTTAAAAAATAGTCCAAATAACGACTCTAAAAGCCAACGCCAGCCCTTCCAATGCCAAGATCAGCCTTATAGTCCAGATAAACTACATTTTTTATCATTATTTTCCTTTTCTTCCTTCAAAAATCAACCTTATAATTATATAAAGCAACTTTTTATCCCTCCTACAAAGCCCCAAAAACCATCATAATATCCCCATAGTCCAGTGAAACTAGCCACTATAGTCCAATCAAATTACTTTGTAGTCCAAATTCTCCGCAAAAACCTTGTAAGCTTCAGCGGTCGTGCCCAAGAAACTTGGGAAGACGACTTTGTCGCCCATAACAAATCCAAAAATGTCCTTCGCACGACTAACAATGCCATGCCCCATGCTCGGCATAAACAGTCCAGGCACGAAACTGACGGCCGGTGGAACGCCCAAAACCGACATGAATTGAAGTGGAACGGCCGATCCGAACGCTGTGATCCATTTCTCGATTCCAACGTATTTAAAAAGTCCTAGGCCACAAACATCAAACCATTCGCCGATTCCAACATCAAAATGTTCGCCTTTCAACTCATGGATAACATCCTTGTTGTTGTAAAGCTCTAAGCAAGCGTCGCGGAACATTCGACCCATCATTCCCATGTCCTAAATGAGTAAAAGCGTCAGATTGTTACCTAAAGGTGAAAGACAACAAAAATAGCAAAATGTTACCTAAAACTTGTCAAAAAAAGAACAAAGGTAGTTAATAATAATCAAAACTTCATGAAAATCAAAGAAATTCGATCAAAATCAAGACAAAACTAGCTAAAACTAAACCAAAAACAACGAAACAATCAAATATCAAGCCTATATCAAGCTAGACACAAGGTAATTCCACAATCTAAACCATCTTACACCAGTTTGTTCCGACGTCCACATATCCTTCATCTTGCTGCCCACAGCAGCGATGGAAGTTTTTACTGGGACTTCAATAAGCCGAACTTTTTTGTTCGTATGTCCAGCAAAAGTAATGTTTCCATCAATAATTGTTTGAACAACTACCTAAACAACAACAAAATTTATTAAAATACAGAACTTTAGATAAGGAATGGCTTGAAACAAGTTTTTTACTAATTTTAGGTAAAATCCAAGATAAAACAGTTTTTCATAAATCAAAAGTTAACAATAGGTAATAAAATAGAAAACAAATACCTAAAATATTAAAAATACAAAGAAAAACATCAAAAATACCTAAAACAACATAAGACTTCAACTTACAACATCATGACCAGCTCCAGCGATCTCATCAGCCAGTTTCCCCATGAACAAAGTGTGGCTACCTCCAAATTTGGGATTGTAGACCAGAAACTTCAGCGCTGATCCATTTGAAACAACAAAAGTGAATAAAAATAGCAATAACAAGTTCATTTTTAGTCGAATGAACTGATTTTCAGTAAAATAAAGGCAATATAAACTTAGATTAAGGTAAAACAAAGCCTTTTTAGATTTTTTGAGTCAGTATGAAGTTAGAATAAATATTACTATAGGTTTGAAAAGCTGTAGAAGAATATACAAGCCTTTATCTGGCTATAGCAATGATAATATAGACCTCTCTTGCTTTTTCTTCAGGAAATTCAGAGTTTTAGAGTTGTTACTTCAATTTACTTTTTGAAAAAAGTTTTTTGAGAAGAAACTCCGCCTCGTTTGGTCAACAAAAAATCTCCAGGCAATGAGATAAAGAAAGATGACCTCTAATGGGAAAGAAATATCGAACTCTAATGGAAAAGAACGATCACTTTTATAGGAAGGCCGAGAAAATGTGTGTTGTGATTGGTTTCTGCTTTATGTTCAAGTTCGTAAACTGTGCTCACAACTTTTCAGACACCTTTTTGAAAATTTCTATTTCGAAAAGCGCAAGCCCAAAAAAAAAAAGTGTTTGTAACAACAAGTTAAATTAGTTGTAACAACAAGTTATAAAGTAGGTTCGAAAAATATGTTTTAACATTGTTAAACAAGGTGGAAAATGGTTAGAAACGCTGTTTTACAAAAAAAGTACAGCAGAAAAGTTCTTGCGATCGTGTTTTGTAAACAATGTTCTTGCCATTTTTTGCACTGATCAATAAATGAAAGAACTCCGGATACGAAAAATCGCTACAACAAACGATTTTCCAATCCCTTTGCGATTCGTTATATTGGGAGTTCACTGTACGTAGTTCCAAATCCTAATCAGACAAAGACTATATTTGTCAAAAAAAAGTAAGCTGTTATCTTCTTAAAGTTTTACAGTTATTTGTACGCCTCAAAGAAGTCATCGTTAATATATGGTACGTGCAGTTTTAAACTTATTATATTTTTTTTAATTTTAAGGGTTTAGCAAGGAACGCCATTTTAAGCAATACGAGCCCTTGCAGTGGCATTGTATGTCTTTATTTTTTTTGAAATTTTTAATTTTTCTGTTTTCAATTTGTGGTTTGAAAATTTTTGAAATCTTGAAATCGTTAAAATTTCATTTTTTGTGTAGTTGCCCTAAAAATCGCCTCCAAAACATACTTTATAATCCAAATTGTCATCGAAAACCTTGTAGGCTTCTGCAATTTTTCCCCAGAATTTTGGGTAGAATAATCTTTCTTCGAAAACATATCCAAATTGGTCTTTGGCTCTGGCAAAGAAAGATCTGTCCTCAACTCCACCAAATACTCCAGGGACAAAACTGACTGATGGTGGTACACCCATGTGGGACATGAACGGTGGTGGTACTGATGTGCCATACGCTGTGATGTATTTTTGTAGCCCAATGTACTTGAATAGGCCTACTCCACAAATATCGAACCAGCCACTAATACCTAAGTCAAAATGCTCGCCTTTTAGCTCGTTGATGACATCTTTGTTATTGTAGAGCTCTACACACGCATCGTGGAAGATTTGTCCCATTACGCCGATTTGCTAAAAGTTAGAGTTGATTTTAGATCCAGAAGCTTATGATCTACAAAATACATTATAGCATCGTGTCTTGCAAGATTTACTAGATTATACACTATAATAGTAGAAATTCAAATTACAATTTCAAAAGCCTTACCTTAAAATTATCCTCAATCCAAGTGTTTTTCATGATGCTCGCAAGTTCATCCATGGAAGCCTTGACCATGACTTCAATCAGTCGAACCTTCGTGTTCTTGTGAACAGAAAAGGATACATTTTTTGCTATTATTGGTTGAACAACAACCTAAAACCATTTAAAAATCATCACGTGTATCCCAAAAACGCTACAGAAGCATGTATGATTCTTTCAGCTTCTTTAATGTATCAAAATCAACCAAAAAATGAAAAAATAATAGGCAAATTGCGCTAAAAAACAAAATCTTACCACTTCATGTCCAGCTCCAGCAATTTCATTGGCTATTTTGCCCATAAACAGGGTGTGGCTACCTCCAAATTGCGGATTGAACACTAGAAATTTTAGCGAATATCCATAGTTAATGGTAGAACAAAATAAAAGTAACAAGAATAAGTTCATTTTAGTAGAACAGTTTATTTAAAAGACTTCAGTAGTGTCCTGGTTTGAGTAAATTTAGTAGAAACAGTCCTTTAAATCTCAGTCCAGTCTTTTTTAGTCCAAATACGTCTCAAAATAAGCCAATATCTTGACCTTGACCAAAACAATAGGTATATCTACTATACCAATTTAGTTAACAATAGGTACAGCTATCAGTTGTTAACAATGAAGTTGTGCTTGTTCACAATAAAATAACCTTATCAACCTTGTTTACAAACACAGTTTATCTCTCCTATTTGAGTTGTCCTTATATAGTTATCTATATAGAAGCGTGGTTTATATTTCATAGGGGGTTTGGCTACAAACATCAATATACAAAACAGTCAATTGCATTATGAAAAAGGAAGTCTTGCTTGTTTTCCCTATCATTGATCACATATCACGCACTACCCACGAACCAAATACAAAAAAAATACAAAGTGACCATATTAAGTTTTCATAATTTAAATTCGTATTTTAGAAACGATCGAAATTGTAACTAACGTATTTTGTAGCAATAGTAAAATTACAGTAAAATTAAAATTTTTTATTGCAATTTTTTATCGAATCACTTGGCCCTATCCTTTCCTTGAACAATTGTAACTTACCCTAAAACTCCAGCTTCCTCCAAAAACTTGATAAGCTTCGGCCGGCTTGTCCTGCAGAGAAGGGATTACAACCCAATCTACCATCAAATATCCAAAAATATCCTTCGCACGACCCCAGAACGACCTTTCAGCTTGTCCACTCAAAATTCCAGGCACAAAACTGATAGCTGATGGTACTCCCAACGTTCCCATCAGTTCAGCTGGCAATGTTGGTCCAGAAGCTGAGATATATCTTTCGATTCCTAAATGCTTGAAGAAGCCGTAGCCACAAGAGTCGATCCATTCTGTTAGGCCTAGGTCAAAGTTTTTTGATTTCAAAGTTGTCATCAGGGTTTTGTTGTTGTAGAGGTCTACGCAAGCGGCGTGGAATACTCTTCCAGTACGGGCAAAGTCCTGAAAATTTGAAAATTGATGCTGAATTTGATTAGAAAGTGTTTTTCTCTGAATGCTCGTTTACCCTATATAGGTGTTGTTCTAACACCAGAGGAATAGTTAAAGGATCATCTCCCTTGATAAAAATCCAAACTAAAAAATAAGAAACCTACCGTAGAATCCTTCTTTTTGGTCCAAACATCGCCAATGTTGTGTTTTATTGCCGACATCATAGAAACCGACACTTCAGCTTTGACAATTTCAATATTCTTATGTGATATCGGGGCATCAGGGTTTTCATCGAGTAGGGATTGTATCATCACCTTTAAAAATTAAATTCCTTACTTTCTTAATATCTCAAATAAAGCGCTATGGTCAGTGCTTGAAGGGCTGTTTTTGACTAAAAAGAGAGAGAAGAGTGAGGGAGCAAAACTAAGAAAGAGGAGGTGGGGAGGGGGGGGGGACACATTTTTGATCCAAAAATCAACAGAGAATTAGTACCCACAACTTTTTTTCTAGAACAGGGTAAGGTAGGGTAGGATAAAGTAGGGGCAAGCCCATTGCCATGATTATAGCCTAAAACCTACAATGTTATGCCCTTGATCAGCTAAAATCAATGCCAACTTGTTCATGAACAACGAATGACTTCCTCCAAATTGTGGATTGTTAACAAGAATATTGAATCCAAATCCATGGCCAACAAAACAGAAAAACAATAAAATCAAAAAATTGTAGTTCATGGTTGTTTTTAACTAAGAAGCTTGTTGTTAAAAACTTCGCTAAATTTTCGTTGTTAACAACAAAAACAAGGTTAACTTTTAGTTTTCCCCTGTAAAAATCGATTTTCAATTTAAAAACCAATGTTACAGTCAAAATGTGAAGAAAAATACAAAATTTAGGCCGAAATCAAAGACACGTTAGTCTGTTGAACCTTACAAGTTGACACGCACAAATTTACAAAAAAATTTAATGAAGAAGCATTGCATTTTCTTCAAACTATAAACTATACGCGACAAAACCAGCAAATCGCGATTGATAACAGACTTATAAAGCAATGTACCTTGCTTTTCGTATTTAAAACTATTTTTTAGCTTATAACATCAATAACGATTGAAGCTTTCTACAACATACAACTTCATTTCGTTTCTTTTTAACTATTTTTAAGTAAAAAATACTCAAAACAATATTACAATAAAAGTACGGTAACCTTGAAAGTAAAAAATAAAATTTAAAATGTTTTTCTAGCTACCAAAATATCTACTCTATAGCGATCCAAAATTTCAACTATTTTTTTAAAAAAATTATGATAAAAAACAATAGATCACGTTCAACTCCCCTAAATATACTACAACATCACAAAAACCCACCTTATACCCCAACTTTTCATCAAAAATCCTATATGCTTCTGAAGTCGTTCCTGCCAACCCTTTATACACAACATGTTCATCATACAAGAAGTTGGCAGCTCTTTTAAGCCTAGAACTGAGTAATCTTCCAGTGTCGCCTTCGAATAAGCCTGGAATAAAACTCGAAGCCGGCAAGCCAAAAGTTGACAGAAATTGAGGGTTTATGGCTGTCCCAAACACCGTTATCCATTTCAGTATTCCAATATATTTAAACAATCCTAGACCACACACATTAATCCATTCGGCAATCGCTAGGTCAAACTTTTGATTCTTTAGGTCATGGATAACATCATCGTTGTTGTACAAGTCTTTGCAAGAATCTCGGAATACTTTTCCTACTTTTGAGAGATGCTAAAATGATAAATATGTTCAACAAGAGTTTTAAAACGCCATTACTTTGACCACTCCTTTACTTGTAATGAAAAAATGTCATAACAAAGCCACTTTTACATATTATACTAGGCTCAAAACCAAAATTTTACCTCAAAAAAGGTGATAGAAGACAAAAATAACAACTCACATCAGATGAATAAACCTTTGTCCAAACACTGTTCATATTGTTATAAAACTGTACCATTGTTGGAGTCACTGGAACTTCAATAAGCTTCACATTACTGTTCGAATGGCCGGAAAAAGTAATGTTTTCGTTAAGAATTAACTGTACTACTACCTGAAACAACATTGTAATACAGTCAAAAAAATAAAGTGAATTCGCATTCACATAATTTTTATCTAAATTAACTCAAAATGTCCCTAAAATCGACAAAACAGATTTGGCACCAGCAATGATACAATAATATCGCAAGAAATTCAAACATAACTTTTATAATAGAAAAAGTATAAAAACGACACATTCCATGCATAATGCATATAGTCGTAGCCCAATGCCTGCAAAATTTCAGCTAAACCCATCTGTCAGAAATCAAGTCACAGCCTTTTTCCTTACACCACCACTAACGTCTACTATAAGATAAGTAAATCTCTGAAAAACAAAGAAAATAAAAGAAAACGCCAAAACAACATATACAATCTAAACTTACAACTTCATGGCCTTTTTCAGCAAGTTCATCAGCTATTTTACCCATCAGTAACACATGACTACCTCCAATTTTCGGATTGAACATCAGAAATCGTAGTGAATATCCACTGTCAACGCAAAACGCTAATATAATTAATAAAAGTAAATTCATTTTCCCTTTGATTTTATAAAATATAGTTAAAGATTGAATTCAAGTGCTATAATTCCAACTTTGGTGTTACTTTAAGCCGAATTTTCTAGACAAGAGATCGCTGATAAGAAGAAAAAAGTAAAATATTTTGAACAATTGGAACTAAAAACTAAAAGATTATCAAAATCTTAAAACTAATAAATTTTAAAGTATATTTCTCTAATATTAGTATACGATTGAATTTACCTGAAAAATAAAATAAATAAAAATAGGAACACATGACACAAAAAGTCGTTTTGCACTTTTGACAGAAAAACTTCTAGAAATTGTGTCATTTTAGAAGTATTATACGTTGTTGTGGATAGTTCATTCTTAAAATCTGTCTATCATTTAATGCTTCTCTTTTAATATTTTTATTGTTTATATTAAAATGTCATGTCCTCATTAATATATTATTACTTATTGTATAAATACTTGAAATGTGAAATTAATAAGTAAAGTTATTTGGTGCAACAAAAGATGAAGACATTCCATTGCAATTGGAAGACGGTGGAACGAAGGGTTGAGAAGACAGGTTCGAATTGTAAAGGAAGTTTTGAGATAGACAACTGTGAACATAATTCATATTTTGCAATTATATTGGTTTTGAGCACAATAAACAGCATTGTGAATTGGCATAGAAACATTTAGGGTCTGATTGTACAAAAAATTGCCACTTGGAGCCCACGCAGTCGCGTTAGCACTAGTGGGAACATAGAAAGAAGTACAATTTTGTGGTTGACAATTGACAGTATTCATATTAGTAGTAGTAATCATGTTAGAGTTGTTGATGCCATAAGATCCGTTGTTGTAGTAATTGTAGTTCGATGCATTTGCAGTGTTCGTTACAACGTTCAATCCGAAGTTTGGATTCTGGAACTGAGTATTCATAGGAGTCTGACACCATTGTTGGGCCACTTCTGTAGAGCAGCGATTGCTGTAGTCGACTGAGTTGTCGGAATGATAACATGAATCAAAAGAGCGTCTGTCATCTTTCGTGGTTCGTTAGTCGACGTTATCTAATTATTAAATTTTCCAACATTCTGTTACTAAACATTATTTATCACAATGGACTGTAGCAAACTGCATATAAGTACTAACTTTAAACTACTGTAAGTTTCTTTCTAAACCACTGTAAATGTTTACCTTTGCAGCCATTCTCTTTCTAGTCTTGACTGCTTTTTCTTCCGGAGCCTTCGTCTTTTTGCAAATTTCGTCGAATTTAGCCTTGAATCCTGGTGTTTTTACATCGATGTCCGCCGCTATCGTGTAGCTGCTTCGACGAAGGTAGTCGGTGTGATTCGGATCAGATCCGTACTCCAGCAGTACCGCGGCTACATTCAGAAATTTGTTCTCTACTTCTGTCTGTAGCGCAATTTGATGCTAAAATTAAAAATTTACTTACATTTCAACATTTAACACAAAACCGCGTGAAAACCATGACCTAGTTCCAATATAGTATATTTAAAAGTTAGCTTTTAAGATCGAAATTTTGTACAAGTAATGTTATAAGAAACTATCATAGAAGACGTTCAAATCCTTACCATATAATCGCATCTCGCTGGCAACAACACGTTTTTCTTAAGAATTTTTATGCTTTTCGCCGTGTCCAGAATCCTCTTCACACAATCGACATTTCCTCCAGCAGCAGCCCAGTGAAGAGCAGTCCAACCAGCTCTCTCCATTTCTCTGTTGGCAATTCCACCAACATTAAACCCGTTCTTGTGAGCCAATCTCATCAAGCTCTCCACCAGATCTGACATGCCCCAGCAGGCAGCCAAAGTCATTGCACTTTGGGGATAAGGGGCTGGTGTGGCAATGTGGAACAAGGCTAATGCATCCACTCGGGTAAGGATGTGATTGGCCAAGGTTGTGTTGTTGGCCTCGATACATTCATGAAGAACGGTGAAGCCTTTTTTAGCCTGATGTGCCGTGACTTTAGCTCCTTGTGGCAGTAGACAGCTTATGGCAATTTTATTGCGATGGCATGCTGCGGCCAAGTCAAGTGGAGTTTTACCTAAAATTGTTTAAGGTTTAAAAGGGCATACAAAATGTTTTGAAAGTTAAAATTGTTAACAAGTTTTTTTACATTGCAACTAAATTTCCCCAAAAATGATTAACACTTACCCATTTTGTTGACATGGTTAACGTCAATGCCAAGTTGAATCAAACAGTTGATGGCCTTAATGCAAGATTCTTCTGAATAGTTTGAGAAGTGGCATAACGCGTGAATAGCATTTTCATTATGAAGAGTAGAGTAGCCTTTTAAAAACTCGTTGGCACTTGGGTCCAGCGTGAAGTTGTTGCACAACTGATGTACATATGACTCAAATACTCGTTTTTCATTTGTTGCGATTTTTACTGTTCCACTTTCCAATGCAACCTGAAAAATGTCGAATCAAAAAAAGTAAACAATTAGATTTTTTTAAAAAATCAGTAAATATATTTCAATTTAAAAAGTATTGATTTTTAAAACTTTTGAAAATCAGGTACAAAATATTAATAAAACTTCAAGACTAACCTGGACATTCTCCATGTTGTTCTTTCTCTTGATAGTGCCATATTTATATATTGCGCCTTGACTTGCATACAGTAATCCACCAAACAAGGCAGGCAAAACAGCTCCACAAAATAAGGCAATTATGATATAGCTAACATAACCTTCTTTAGGCTTCAGTACTGCTTTCAACTCTTGGGGCTCAAAGTGACTTGGGAAGACAGGATCAATCATCATAGCAATTACATCGTTCAGGGTCAAACTGTAGTCGTTTCCATTCACTGTAGCTACCAACATGGCTTCCCATTCAGTAGTAACGTCATCTAAAGTCAATTACAATATATAGTTTGACACCAAATCACAATAATTTTAGTAAAAATAAAAAAAAATATTGATTAAAACCACAAACTGTTACCTTTTGTTCTATTTGTGCCGTGAGTAACATCGTAGAACAGTTCAGTGCCATCAGGCAACGTTGCCACTTTTAACTGCACCTCAGTGTGCTCCTGAATCTCATTAATCAATTCTCCAAGATGCACTTTTAAAGCTTTCAATGTGACAAGTTTATTTACTGTTACTGTGCCAATCAGTTTGTACTCTTCCGACACGTTAGTTATATCGCTAATAGGGTCTTCTAGCTTCAGAATTCCCCAGTTTGGTAACGCTCTTTCATCAAGAATCTCGCATCGTCTGCCGTACGTTCCTTTCGGACATTCGCATGCAATACCGTTTAGGGTATCATGGCATTTACCATTGTTTTGGCATGGCACTTGACGTTGGGAGCAAGATGGAGCTTTCTTTATTTCGCACAATCGACCGGTAAAGCCATGTTGACAGTGGCATGTGAAGTTTCTAAAAGTTCAAGTTGCAATGGTTATACGGTTTTTTAGTTTCCTGTGGTGGCACAATATAAGTTATATGTTTTTAGATATAAATGTTACTAATGGTATCATCATAGAAAAGTAAAAAGTTTTGTCGCTAACTTATATTGGTTTTTATAATAAAAAGCGACAGAACTTTTTTTATCTGCTTAGTGGAGATGTAGTACAATACTTTATGCATAAGTAAAGTGAGCTTGCTTAATCAAAATTACATTAATTAAAAATTACTTGAAATCCTCCGAAGGCTCACAGATTCCCATACCACACAAGAACTTATTGATCTTACAAGGATTGAAGCCTTGATTATAAGTTCGACTCGCATATCCAGCGCCAACTAAAGTCAATAAAACAATAACTGTTTTGAAGTCCATCATTGGTTTATAACAGGTTAGTTGACAAACGAAAGAATGAATTAATCGGCAAAAGAGCCCTCATTTATAGAACTTGGGATTTGTGCGCATTAGCTATTGTCTGCATGTTACACTCGGAAATTTGTGGAATTTAGTGCGCGTTCAAAGTTTATCAATTGAGGATTTAAATTTTATCATGGATGCAATCAAAGGTAACCTAACGTATGTTTTTTAAAATTTCTTTTTCTAAAATTAATAAGGAGGTGCAGTACCGGTGATTTTGGGAAGAAACGGTAACAGTAAAGTGACCTTCATTAATGTTTTCTTAACTTATTAGTAATACAACGTTACATTTGTTTTTTTATGATATCTGTTCATGTTCACGTCGGGATCACAGTTAGAAATATTACAGATGTTAGGAAGATAGCAGTAATCTGAAAATTAAAGTTCTAAATTTCTTTTTTATTTTTTTTGTAACTTCATAACAACTTTGGCCATGACCTTCAATTTAAAATAAAAAATGACCCTCCCCCCCCACCCCTTTTACACCACAAAAAAAAAATTCTACAGAACCCATTCATCATCAGAACCAAAAAACCGACTATAAATTCATTTTTAGCACCATAAAACAAATACAATTTTATTTTCAGTACCGTACCCATAAACTTTAAAACCTACTTTACATCACTATTAGTACTCCTCATGCCGCCCAAGTGTACCACCCTGTCGTTTCGTCTCAAGAACTTGGTACTGTTATAATCATCATTTGTCTCCGGAATCAGTTGAGATTTGGACCGTTTCATTCGCTCCGAACTCTTGATTCGATTGTAGATAAACACCCCCATAACCGATATTAACATGCCCAGAAAGTTCATCGGAGTAACCGGGTTTCGAAGATATACCAGTGATCTTATGATAACTGCAATTCGTTTGGCAGCATTCGAAATGGCATAGGATAGAGTCGTGAGTTGATGGATTAGGGTGAAGGCACATGGGTTTTGGATGAACGACAACACACCTGACATGAAGAGGTAGCCGATGAAGTGGGATAGGGGCTCTGTGACCTTCTGTAAGTAATGTAAGTTACAGTTAACTTTGAAGATACTATCACTTACCGAGTTGACAGGATCAGTAAAAGTCGACCATAATGCCAATCCATCTTTGTAGAACCAAAAAGGAATGAGCATGAAGCCAGCCAACTGACTGTTCAGCGACAGTAAGTTCACTGGGTGCATTCTGGTCTCTTCAAATACCTGGAATTTAATTTTGAAAAATTTGTTCAGTCTTTAACTTAGCCCTTTTAACTTGGAAAACCGAATCAATAATATAAAACAACAAAGAGTTATCTACAATATAAAGTATGTCAAACCTTTTTTAAACTAAAAAACGTTTAACATACCTTTTTAAAATGACATTCTTTTTTACAAAAAAATTACCTTTTTAGCCAAGACATTCAGACCAGCAAAAACAAAAGTGGAAAACAGTGATGAACATAGACCAGCCAGATTAAATTATAGTTCTGTTATTGATGCAATAAACACTCCAATAATGATTGGCAGTAATGACATGTATATTCGTAGAGTCTGCCTTTCGCCCAGAATGTAACGTGAGATTATCACCGTGAACACTGGCATCGTGGCTTTTACTGAAGTAACAAAAAGTTATTATAGACAAGATATAGTGGGTAAGATAAGGTAAGATAAAGTAAATAAAGATAGGGTAGAATAGGATAGAGTAAGATAGAATAGGGTAGGGTTGGATAGTATATATAGAACAATGTAGGGTAGTGTAGACGAAAGCGAGATAAAGTAAGATAAGGCTGAAGTAAATCAACGTTACAGCAAGGCTAAGGTAATAAAAGCCCCACCACCTTATCCTTACCTGTTTGAGCATAAAAAACAGGCACTTTGAGTAATCCAAAGTAAGCAAACCCCACTGCCAGTGCTCGCCCAGCCGATATAGGAAAGATGGTCTTGAGAATATATGAACGTTTTGGTGTTATAGCTTCTATGTGTAGGTATGCCATCAATGGTATACTGTAGATGACATTGTTTACCAAACTTGACAATGCTATCGTTAAGGGAAATGGAAATTTCTAAAAGATATAAATATTAATGCCATAAAATTGACGACGTGCCAAGCTTCGTTTTGAAGCTTGGCACGTCGTTGAGCTGATTGGCGCCTTGTCTTTGTACTTATAATAACACTATCCCCCTTCTTTTTTGGCCTTTCTGAATCTAGAGTCCCGCTCTTCTTTCACCACCTTCTTCACCTTTTCTACAGCTTTGTCTGCTGGTGTCCTCCTAGTGTTCCTTCGTGTCTCTATCATATCTTCTTTACTTTCGGTGTCAGAATTATCGTCAATATCCATTTTCTCCTCCTCTTCTTCCTTAACAGCAACTTCTGTTTGTTTTTCTTTCTTTTCTGGCTTCTTTGTCGTTTTCGGTTCAGCTACACGACGTACTGCAGTTTCTTCTGTTCGTTTTAAAGCGACCTTCTTCTTGGGTTCTTGATATCCATTATCCGTCTTTGAATTTTGTGACAAATTCCTTGTAGAAACAGAAGACAAAGCACCTTCTTTTCGCTTCTTCTTGTTGACTTTAGCATCTTCCACTTTCTTGACTTTATTCACTGGAACGTACGGAGTGTTATCTAAAATTAAAAACGTTTATTTTTAAACTAAAGAAAAATAACACGGCGTTGCTTCAAAAAAATTCTTAAAATTGATGTATACGTTTAGCCAAAATCTAATTTTTTTCGATTATTATCTAAAATTCAAAAAAAAAATAAAAATTGTTACCTGAAATTTCAACTTCTTCATTCTCCTCTTCCTCAATTGGAATATCCTCATCAGCGTCCAGCACTTCTAGTGGTGCAAATTTGGCCAATTCTAAAGCATGATACCTCAGCACAGAAAGATGTGCGCCATTCAGGTCAATCCAATTAACTATCGAGACTTCCATACTTTCATACATTCGAAATAAACTTTCTGGACTCAAATCTCTATCAGATTGAAACCTCCTGACCAGTTCATCCATTTCAGAATAAACTCTTCCCTCGTTCATACAAAAATCGCATCTTTTTCTAATACTGTTTTGGCCGTGCTCAATATCTTCTTATATTTGAGTAATTCGCACGGTAAATCTGGGATCTTGACTATATCTTCCCCTCCGCCTAAACTTTCGTCTTCTGAACTTTCCAAAGTGTTCTGAAGCATAAATAAATTTAAAATGTATAAGACGAAGAACAAGTTTATAACGTTTTCTATAACAATTATTCTTTTCAACTGCCTAAAGTCGAAATAAAAACAAAAAAACTTACAAAAAACGTGAGATTACTTTTATTACTTGCTGAAGGTGTATCCATGAGTTAAACAGGTCAAAATTATTATTATTTACTTAACTGCCACAAGGTTAAAACCGAGAATTCTTTTTTCTTTCAACATTATAATGGGATCCCATAAATTAGCTGACAAGCGAGTCCAAAACAGATTTTTGTCCAAAATGGTCCCTTAAAATCGAGCGTATAAACAATATTTCGCAGTTCGAAAAAAATTGGGCGCGACTCGAAAACGCTAAAAATTTTAGCTTTTGTTTTATTTTCTAACAAGGCCTTAAAGATAAGTCACTTACAAGTATTTATAAGGATTTAAAGCAGTATTTTTTAATTAATTTGTAAGCTAGAACGTGTATCTACATTATAGTTGAGTTTTTATTATGACACGTAAGTTATTTTTGTTATTTTTATTGGTTTTTAGGTAAGATATTGAAGAAAAATGGAAGTATATGGGCTTTAATGATTTTTATCGAATTAGTAAGGGTTTCCTTGTGGTGAAAATATTGGAATTTTGATTAAACTTTTTATGGAGAAGCACATACAACTGATTATTTTGTTATAGATCGTTCTGATCGTCGTCTCGACGGGTATTCTCGCGAGACAACTGGTGTTGTTCTCGATCATGCCTCTTCAAACCCTCGTGATCCTTTTGTGCATTGTGTAATGTGTACAGAACGCAAATTGTACCACATGCCGTACTCGGTTTACGATAACTACATTCAAACCATGAACAAGAACAAAAAGAATGACATATTGAGAATGTACGAGGAGGCACTCGAGTTCGGCCACAATATAAAGTTTATGTATGAAGTCAAGGACAATATACGAGTGATTCAGAGCTTCGAGAAAGGCGGTGAGATTTTTATCGCGGATTGTAAGGACAAGATCAACTATTTTTCGTCGTTATCAGTTTTCAGTCCGCATTTGGACATGGTTTACAGCGAACGGTTCGGCAACGTTCCGATTACTGATTTGGTAGGTTTTTCTGATATGGATAACTTGAAAAGCTTCGTATTTAAATACTCAAAGCATTAAAACTCTCTGTTATTTAATAAAATATATTATACTCATTATTCCAGCGAAAGTTGGAAATTTTACCATCGCCAAACGTCGAGATTTTGTGTTCGTATAGGTTTAAATTGGTGGAAAAGAACGGACAGTTGGATGATACGGAAGATGTTGAGTTTGAATTGGCCGAAATTGCGGATAATCAAGAGGATATTGATCTGGGGCATTTGGCTTTGAATGCGGTAAGTGTTTTTGTTTTTATTTGGTTTTTAGGTAACAATTTATTGATAGAAAGTAGAAATACTTATGTTTTTGAAAGAATTGTTTAAAGGGTTTTCTTGGTAAAATACTTAAGCTTTGTTATTTAGGTAACACTTTTAAAAAATCCATTTTCAGGACTGGAACAAAGACAAAATGTTATCAAACGCACCAAAACTAAACTACGGGTATGGTGATGATTCCACGGACGAAGAGCCAGAATATGAGAATAAACACGATGAAACTTACAAGAAGATAAACGACTGTGTAGGCATAGTAACTGGATTGAACACAATTTATATTCCAGCACTGCCTTGTGATCCAGTTTTGTTCACAACATATAAACGGTTTCCAAACACTTACATTGGATGTAGGGTAACATGTAATGTAGTATGGTCGGATGTGTGCCATGCCTACTTTGCTGTGCGGCCGAAGATTAGTACTGGCACAATGTTTGATACCGTGATTTATCAGCGGCCAATAATTGGTTGTTTTAGTTATGTAAGTGGTAGGTTGATTAAGAGAAAACGTACTAGTGGTAAGGTGAGTTGTTGAAAAAGTGTCATTTGTTTTGGTAAAATAATTTTAAAACTTTTTTTGAGGTTATATTGTAGTAGGTCTTTTGAAGCTTTATGGGAGAATAATAAATGTTTGGAAAAAAAATTTTTTTTTCAGTTTGAAACCTTTGTCCGAACCGGCGAAGAGCTCAAAAACGGTTTCTATGATCATCCCTTCTTTGGCCTCATCTATGATCCACAAAACATCCTAGACCTGCATGCTCAAAAATACCAACCATCTCGAGGCCGTCTCGTCTACAAAGTGATTATCAACGACTTTTTTGGACTGGAAAACGAAATGCGGAGTGCAAGATCAATGGGAAGGATCACTAGATTTGATATTGTCAAGTTTGTCGGGGATGATCAAGTTTCGGACGAGATTCAGAAGACTAAAAAGTTGTCACCGAAGTATAAGGTAGGGATTATGTAGTCAGGACTAAGAACGTTTTTAATAATGTCTTTTAGAGTTTTAAAAGGATTTTGATTTTTTAAAACTGAAATATCAAAAAGTTGTTTTACTATACAGAGGAGTTTCAGAAGTTCTTCGGAACACTGATAAATGAAAAGACAGGCCGATTTTATTCGAATTTGCATCCAACATGTGCCTTTCATGTACTCAATACACATGGACATGCGTAAGCTGAAAAACTTTTTTTTGTCTTTTTATACTTTTGTGTCGGGGAGGGTAAAGCAGCAAGGTGGGGGAGGGGGAGAGGTAGGTGAAATACACATGAAGGCAGGGACGTCGTTTGGGGGCGGCAGGGGGGGCGGGCCGCCCCCCCCCCTCCAGAGCCGATCCGAAAAAAATTCCACAGGTAGGTACCTGTACGCGGAAAAACAAAAAAAAAGTTTTTTTGAAAAAATCGGTCCACAGGTAGCTGCTATCTGTGGACCAAAAAAAATTTTTCGACCTCCCCCCCCCCAGAGAAAAACCGTAGCGGCGTCCCTGCATGAAGGGATGCCCACTAGGCCCGGCCTAGGCCGAAGCGTATTTGAAAGGGACGGGTTCAATTGTATTGGTAAGGGGATAGACCTAAGTGGTCCCACTAGGCCCATCTTGAGCCGTCACGTTTGTGCTCACCAAGGCCCCAACGAGACACAACTTAGGTGAATTAATGATTTGACTCACAGTGGGGCCGACGCAAATTTGAAAGGGTTCAAGTTGGCAAACCTTGGCCTAAAGGTCGGTGTCTAAACTAAGATTTCGGACGTGTGCTGAGTCGAGAAATTGGGTCCGAACTTTTTACAGGTCTAGGGTAAACTGTCCTTCTGTTTTCTCTGTCCTTTTCTCTTTTAGTGGCCTTTATTATATGGTAATAAAAAATCAAATTTCAGGACAGGGTCGTACTTGGAAATAGAAGTTACGCAGCGAACGAAGCAAGATGTCATAATTAAACCCTACTTTGAAATCCATCCCGAGGATTACAAATATCATGGACTGAACCAAGATGTTACCTATCGACAGGATGAGAAGAAGTTTGTTTTCAAGGCCATGTATGTGAAACGGCATCGGTGCTTCAAAAGCGACTTCTTTGGATATGTTCCAATCACACATGGCACGCGGTAAGGGAGTGGTTTTTAATTTTTTTTTGGGGGGGGGGGGCTTCTTTTTGGGTAAAAAAATTTTTTTTCAAAATTATTAAATCTATTTTTCTTTCTTCAGCGACTTCAACTTCGATGATCTGCATACCTACACAATTAAAGCGGAAGAAAATACAAATGCCAATGCTCAAACTGTTCTGTGCAACGCTGAGGTGCTCAACCTTGATGATTATTAATCAAGGTGGTCAAAAAAGATGGGAATTGATTATTTATGTCAATTTTAATAGGTAAAATAGGCCAGTTTTTACTAAAAAAGTTTGTTTTTGTTAGAACAATTGAATTATGATGACATTTTTGGTAATAAGAAGACTAAATGAAGGAAAAGGGATTTAAAGGTCAGTGTAAGGACTGTAAAGGTCAGTATAAGGACTGTAAAGGTCAGTGCAATGACTGTAAAGGCCTGTACATTTTTCCGTCTTTTTTATAGTAATAACGCCTTTTTACTTTGAAATTTGTTTATATGTTATACTAATGCATCTTTTACTATATCACTGCATCTTTTACTATGTTAAATATTTGAAATTGTAAAATTTGTTTTGGTCTTTTATTAGAAATTTTGATAACTTTATGTTGAATATTTTTATTTTCTAAACGGGTACCCTTGTGAACTCATTGTTGAATTTTGAATAAACGTCGTGCTGTATAGAAAAATTGGGTTTTATTTGTAAAATTTTTTTTTGAAATTTGTTGGTGAAATTTTTTTTTATTTTGTTGGCGTATAATTTTTTCCTGAGTTTTTCTTGATGGAGAAGGACTTTTTTTGCTAGTTCTATTGATGAAAAAGAAATTTTTTTAATTCTTGTTGTTGGAAATGATTTTTTTATTTTTGTTAATGAAAAGTAACTGTTTTTGAGTTATTGTTGCTGAAAATCATCCTTTTTCAAATTTTTGTTGATAAATAATTTTTTTAAATTTTGTAGTGCAAAGGACCTTTTTTCAAACTGTTGTTGATAAAAATGGGGGTTTTTTTAAATTTTTATTTATAAAAACAATTCTTTGTTGCTAATTTTATTGGTGGAAAGTAACTTTTTTTTGTGTTTTCGTTAATGCAAAAAGGTTCTTTTAAGTTTGAATGATGGAAAAGGGCTTTTTTTGCTAATTTTATTGATAAAAGTAACTTTTTTGCTGATTTATTTCTTTTATTTTCATTTTTTATTCATTTTTTATAAAATTGATTTTTAAAAACGTTATTAGATAGTTCTTTAAAAGATATGAAATGACCAATAATCATGTTAAAACATTAACAACCACTCGAAACAGTAACAAAAACATTTTTTTCAAACACTAATTAAAACCCCATCCATTTTAAAGATATTGAGACCATTTGACTGTTTAAATTTGTTCGAAACAGAACGCTCAAAAAGTGTATTATCCGGTCACTCGCGTTCGTTTGAACTCCTACACCTGATCATGAAGGGGTCCGTTCTGAAGTCGGTTGATCAAACAAACCAGCTTGGGCTCAAAGTCAAGACCAGCACCGCCTCGCTTCACTGGCTACTAATAAGCTAAAGCCGTCTAGTATATAAAGGAAAAGTGAGTTGGTTAAGGTCATCAGTTGAAGGGGAAAGTCAAGTTAGGGTCACCAGTTAAAGGGGAAGTCTTCAGCTGGGGTTATCAGCTGGGGCTGAGGGTGTTAGCTGGGGGTAGAGTGATCAATTAAGTGAAAGTTAAGGGTTATAAGATTTTTTACCGTTTCATAATGATACAATGCCATTTTATGATGATATTTTATCATTTTTAATCATGCGCTATCATTTTATACTTAAATTTAAAAAATTTCAAAAAATTTTAAAATCCGTTCAACTTTTTCAGAATGAAAGCCATTCTAGCAGTATCCGCTCTGGCCTGTGCCATGGCCTTTCCCCAGCCACACCCACCACCAATGCCCCTTCCCGGCCCAAATGGTGGACCAGCTGGTGGCCCATTTTGGATTATCTACAAAGATCTGAACGAAACTCAACAAAAAGATCTGAATGAGATTCTGGAGAAGAACAAGGATTCTTCGAAGAAAGTTTTCAAGGAAGAATTGAACAAATTCAAGGCTACACTAAGCGACGATCTTCAGAATACATTGAAGGTTGAGAAAGAAAAGTTTGAAGGTTTTAAGAAGGAGATTGACTCCAAGGCTGATAAGATGAGCACTGATGCCAAGGCTTTGTTTGATCAGCTCAAGAAGATTGTTGAAGATGATTCGTTGAGCTTCAAGTGAGTTAATGTTAATGTAAAGGGAAGGAAAGGGAGTTGATATTAAGGCGTAGTAGAGCAAAGTTGGACTTGTTGTTAGCAGAGCAAGGGTGGGGTAATAACTAGGACAAGGGGGAGGTAAAAGGCAAAAAAAATTTTTTACCTGTCATTAATAGATCTAAAGGGGCTCACTCAACCGGGCTGGGCCAAAACTAATCTGAAAAAAGGTTGGGCTGAAACATTAGGACAGGCTTGACCTTTTTACACCAAATAATTTTAAACCCACTCTGATCTACAACAATATACTTCAAACCTTCAATAATGCCATTCTTTTCCAGAGAAGAATACGAAAAAGCCAAGGAACTAGTAAAGAAAGCTGACAAATCAGTTCTTGACGAGTTCCGCAAGAACCGTGTGCCTCTTCCCGGTACCCCACCACCACCACATTTACCACGAGGTGGACCATTGGGACACGTCTATGACAAGTTGACCAAAGAACAACAAACTCAAGTTGATCAACTCATGAAGGAAGGTCGTACTCAACCTAAAAAGGAAGCTAGAGCCAACATGGACAAGTTTATTGACAGTTTGAGTGAAGACTTGAAGAAGATTGTCAAGGAGGGTAAGGAGAGGCGCCAAGGCTTCAAGAAGAACATTGATGAGAAGGTGGCCAAGTTGAGTGAGGAGGCTCGGAAGGTGCACAAGGAAATGAGGGTGAGTATTTCAAAACTTATTTTAGGTATGGAAAAGTCGCTTTGAATTAAGATATTATGACAATATTGGGGTAAAAAAAGTCTTGTCGTTTTTTACTGTGAAATTCAATGCAAATTGACGACAAGACTTTTTTATCGCTGATTTTAATGTCTTTTTGTCATTTTTTTGGCTTTTTCTTGTTTAATTTGAAAAAATGGAATTAAAAATTTTTTTTTTAAATTTTAAAAACAATTTTTATAGGAAATCATGGAGAATGACACGATCACTTTCGAAGAAGATCACGAAAAGATGAAGGCTTTGGTCGATCGTACCGATAAGAAGATCCTGGACGAATTCAGAGAAGCCAGAATCCCAATTCCAGGCATGTTCCCACCCCCTGGAATGCTGCCCCCACCAGGAAAGTTGGGTCTGCCAGAAGTTATGCCGTCCCCAGCTCCACAAAACTGAATTCACAATGATTTAACTTATTAACTCTTGAACTTATCAAGTACTATACTATCATTATACTACTGTAATTGTCTGTACATTTGTGTTTTAACTAGGGTTGGTTAACTTAATTTATATTATTGAAGTAATAAAGTGATTTTGATACAATATTTTGGCTAGCCCTAGCCCAGAGCCCTACTCCAGAGCCCTACCCCAGAGCCCTAGCCCAGAGCCCTAGCCTAGAACCCTAGCCCAGAGCCCTAGCCCAGAGTCTTATTCCAGAGCTTTAGTTTAAAGTTCTAGCCCAGAGCTTTAGCCCAGAACCCTAAGACCAGTGTTGGGCCGGGTCCGGATTTTCAAAAATTGCAAAATTAAAAACGACTTTTAAGCTTATGATTTGAACTTTTAAAAAATAAATAACTTTTGTGAAGGTCCGTTTCGTACAAGTTCCTCGCTAAACATTTGGACCGGCCGGACCGAATCGGTCTTGCCGGTCCGGGCGATTCATTCCGGTAATAACTTGATAGCCAAAGACGGACCTTCACAAAAGTTATTTATTTTTTAAAAGTTCAAATCATAAGCTAAAAAGTTATTTTCAATTTTGCAAATTTTGAAAATCTGGACCGGACCGAACCCGGTCCGGCAAAACACTGCCTAAGACAAAGCCCCAGCCCAGAGCCATATCCCGGAAAAACAATTTTAAAAACCCTTCTTTATCAGTTTCTACCTATTACAACAATATGTACAATCAAAATTCAACTTTAAACACTATTGACTCTACTCCGTGTGTCTTCCGGCTCGTCCTCTTCCTTTATTACGAGATATGATTGTGTATTGTCGGCTGATTGGTACTGCAAAGCTCTTTTTTCTTTTATCATTTCCATATAAAACCGGTCGATAAGATAGTTTTTAGCATAGTAAACGATCTGCCAGAAATGACATTCTATCAATATGATTGTTAATGTAGGTAACAATACGAAAGAATTGGCCGACTTTTCATCCAGTACTTGTTTTAATGTCGTGATTCGAGTATAGTCTTCCATTATTTGTATTTTAGTCATTACTTCTGCTGTGGTTAATATCAAGTATGTTGAACATAGTACTCTGGTTAGTAGTACTATTACCTAAAATGTTATTTTGAGCAAAAAAAGGCAAAAATTTTAATTGATAAGTACTTTAATGCATCGTATGTTAATAAAAAAGTAGTACTTACTTTCCAGTAAAGCCACAATTTATAAAAATCCGGTCGATTTGTCTTATTTCCTACTACCAAAAGTAACGCGATAAAAAAGTTAAATGCAAATTCAGCATAGAACAAGTAGGTTCGGCCAATAATTATCATAAACAATAGATAAAATGAGTACCAAATGTCGAGAACACCAATGATTAGTGCTGCTTGCTGAAATTAAAAAGCTGTTTTTAAAATTTTTAAGTCAGTAGATGGCTAGAAAAGTGAAGACATAGTTAACTAATATAAGATACATTAGGATAAAACTATAAATAAGCTAAAATGATACGATAATAAGACTAATCTGTTGCTAGAGTAGATTTAGATTAAGATAGAGAAAGGCTAGAGCAGCGTTAGAACAAGAGTAGAATGGGGCTTAGATAAGACCAGAGTAGAAAAATGGTAGGGCTGAGGTAAGGCTAGAGTATAGATAAGAGAAGACTATAGCAAGGCTAGAGGTTAGAATTGTTAATAAAGGGCTAGAATAGAGCTAGAGTGCGGCTAAGAGACGATTGGAGTAAGATTAACAAAAAGCTACAGCAGAACTAACAAGAAAAGGTCCCCACATTGTAAGAAAGGACATGAGTAAGAAAGGTTGTAATGCTAAGAGAAGAATGGAGTAAGGCTAGCTTACGAGTAGTGTAAGGATAAGAGAAGACTTAATGGATGTTATGCCTAACGTACAACAAGTCTAGAACAAATAGTTAAAAAATAACTTACATGAACATGAAGAGGATTTGTGATGCATCCAAAAAAGCATGTGAACCACATGAGATCATTAAGTTCATCATTATCTTCTACATCCGAGAATAACCGTGGATGAAACATTTTACAAAAGTTTTAAAAAAATTTTTTAAAATATATTTAAAAGTGTATTATAGTAAAAATAAAAGTAAAAATATATTTAAAAATGTACAACGAAAAAGAAAGAGTAAGCAATGACACTGCAATAATAATTTAGTACACCGCTTCGAACGTCTAAAACACAAGTTATTAGATTGGGTATACCACCTGTTCGAAAACCGAAAAAAAGTTTCAAATTGTGATTTAAGTCAAGCAATTTAACTTGTTTTTCAAAGCTAAAAAACTTTATTAGCCACAAAAAATTACTTTTGCCAATTTTTTTTAAATAAAAAATGAAAATCTTAAAGTATATAAGGTTTAAAAGTAGCACGTTACACAAAAAATTCGTTATAAAAGAGTTTTACTATGAAGAAAAAACTTGTTGTTTCAAACAACTTTTTAATTGTTTGGTTATGTCTAGGTTCTTTGTCTTCTTCAAGACAACTGCAATTAATTAAAGCTCTTTAAAAACAAACAGAAACTTCTTTAAATTAAAAAAATAATTAAAATTTTCAATAAGTTTTTTTAAAAAAAGCTTTTTCTCGATTAAGATTTGCCCTACCTTGCAAAGTTTAAGTTCTACCCTATTCAAGCTCTATCTTTGCTTTAGTCAAGCCTTATTTCAGCATCTTAGCCCTACTCATACCTTACCTTTGTTAGCCTTGCTTAACAACTTTGTAAGTAAGCCGTATCTCAGCTCTACCCATGGCTTAATTTAATCCTACCGAATCCCTACCTTATTCCAATCTAAGCCTTATCTTTGCTCTACGTAAGCCCTACCTTGACCTTACTTAAACCCTATTTTAACTTCATCCAAGCCTTAGTTTAGTCTTATCAAAGCCCTTTCAGCTTTATGCAAGCTTTATTTGAGCAATACCCTCGTCAAATTTTCAGTATCTACTCTACATAAGACCAAAACGACCAACTTGCCGTCGACTTTAATTGTCTAGAAAATCTATTTTCGATACATTTTCAAAAAACATCAGTATTCACAATTTTATTGAGCAAATAGTCTTAAGGCCAATTAAATATACAAATTATATTACATTTCTCAATAAGGTAATGCCTCTTTTAAATAACGATAACCTTTGTACACCACGAATGAGAAGAAAACGTAGAAGAATGTGACCACGAAGAATGCGGTGCCAATCACAACTCTTTGGCCCGTAAAGAACTTGGCCGTATCTTTGAATCCAACATGGTAGTCCAGCCAATACCACGGACGGAACACGTTCAACGCACACCCAACAATGTAAATGAAATAGGCAAAGTTGATGGCTATCAGAACGGCCTGAAGAATTAAAATTTAAACTTAGAAAATTTTAGTTATAATAGAAGTTAACGTAGTAGAGAGAGAGGAAGGGGTAAAAGGGAGGGGATTAAGCACATCTTTTAAAAATAAATTTAAAAATTCGTAAGTCTATACGCTAGCCCAGCCCTAAATATTGCTTTTGGCACACTTTGGCTCAATCCTACCTACGCTAATCTTAACCTAAACTTAACTTTGCTACAGCCTAGCCATATTTTTTAACTTTTTTTGGATCAACCATGCCCTGATTCAAACCCACACTTATCCTAAGCCCTTAGCACTGTCTTACTTAAGCCTACATTTCCAAAATTAAAAAATCAAAAACTGAACAGTTGAATTCTGTTTCCTTTTTCTCTGAACTTATATTTTTGTGCAAGAAACGCTTATGGAAAAGGTCATATCTACTTATTGATAAATGACCAGTGAATATGAAAAGTGTACTCTTCAAATACACATTTATTAAATATAAAAGATCATAAAGTTGGATATTAAAAACTAAAAAATTTAAAATTAATAGTAAAATACGAGGTCTGTGCTTCGGTGATAAAAAGCAATTTAATTTTCTTCTTCACAAAATATTTTCTTTAAAAAAGCTTAGTATTGGTTAGATTTAGACCTGTAAAGCAACTAGACCCAATTTTTGACACGGTTTTTTCAAATGAGCTCAATCAGGACCATATAAATGATATAAATTCACTTCAATAATAAATGGGATGTGTCATATTGCTTTTGTGCCCTATACAACCAATAATTTAACAACTAAATTTTAAGTCCCAGGTTTGGTCTCGGCCCTCAGAACTACACGTGTCGGCCCGGTCAAGCCTAATGGGTTCTTTTTCAGGTCAACCCAAACACCCCGGCATTGCCAGTCAAAAGTTGTATCTAACCTTATAAGAAGATGACAATAAAAGTAAACTAAAAAGTCAACTTAATTTTAAAAAACTTACAGTCCAAACGAGGTAAGGCCAATATAATCCAGCTTTTTTCTTCATATTTCCGTATAACAGCAATAAGTTTACCACCAGCGACACTAATGGGAAGAATAATATCACAAATTTGCCATTGTAGAGCATTATCACCGAGTTGAGCAAAGTGAAAGCAATAGCTATCACGGCAATCAGGAATACGGCTTTCTAAAAGAGTCTATGTTAATAAAAAATTAGAAATTAATAATTTTTTGCCTTACCTTAGCATAGTCTACCTTACCCTATCCTACTCTACTCCACTTTACCCAACCCTATACTTAATATCAATTTTTTGAAACCTGAGCTCATAAACCTACATGAACATGGATTCTCAAGCCACAGATCTCCAAGTAACTCGTCTCACCCATGTTTTCCCGTGTCAATCTGAAACATTGATTTTATTGCTGAACACGCAACACACGCGGTTGATTCAACTATTTCTCACGAAAAAAACTCTTAATTAAGTTTGTTTAAAGTCTTATTTTAGTCAATTTGTACTACAAACTTTATGTATAACACAGGAAAAGGTAGGAGTTCAAGGTATCAGTAAAATTTCAGAAAAAGATTAGAAAAGCAAAGAACAATTGTAAATATATGTAGCCTTAGCCTTAGCTTTAGCTTTAGCCTTAGCCTTAGCCTTAGCCTTAGCCTTAGCCTTAGCCTTAGCCTTAGCCTTAGCCTTAGCCTTAGCCTTAGCCTTAGCCTTAGCCTTAGCCTCAGCCTTAGCCTTAACCTTAGCCTTAGCCTTAGCCTTAGCTTTAGCCTTAGCCTTAGCCTTAGCCTTAGCCTTAGCCTTAGCCTTAGCCTTAGCCTTAGTCTTAGCCTTAGCCTTAGCCTTAGATTTGTTTTAACTGTTGTCTTAGCTTTAACTTTCGTATTAGACCTAGTCAAAAACATTAAAAAATACCTACCCACCCGCCTTAAATTAAAAAAATTGAAAGATTAAATGTAGCAAACCCACACTGCAGACAAAAATTGATGCACTAGAATGGAAAAATTAGAACGAACATTACAACTAGAAACCTGAATCAGTAACATTTCCGTTTTGTTAGTTATTACTACAACTCGAAATCAGTGTAAAGTCTTATAAAAAGGTTTGGAAAGGAACAATGCGGTCATTTTCGGTAGCTTTTACAATTCAAAAAACTAATTTTTTACGTTTGATTAAAAACGGTCATCAACATAGGTGGTGCCAAAACTAGTGACTTTAGTCTGATTGATACAACGACGTAGAGAAAACCTATCCTATCCTTATGCAAGCTCCATTTTAACTCAAGTTTCGTCCTACTCTAGTTCTATCATATACATTTCGCCCTATCTTATACTACCATAGCTCTAACCTTGTCCTCTTCTTGTTTCTATAGCCTTATTCTAGCAAGAACAATAAGAAACATATCAGAGTTGACTTCGTCAAGAAAAAGTCCAGTTAGCAGGCCAAGAATAAGAGGATATAAAGAGTTTCGGAAGCCGATTGGAACAAATTAAGAAGAATTATTTGACCTAATCGTCTTCTTGAACTCACCATACCCTCAAATCCATTAGTATGGCAAACCCAAGAAGCGAACCTACATCAGTGGCTAAAATACTCTCAAATAGTGTGACTTTATTAAAAAAAAGGTTAACAGACTGTAAACTGTAACCTTAAAATCATCAAAAAAAGTTCAAAACATTAGGCGACAATAAGTTCACACATCGTATGACGTTCGTTTACTGACCGTCGTATTGCTTTTAAACGCCGGAAATTTCTCAAATTATTTGTAAATCAAAAGTACATTCACGCGTTAAATCGCTTCATTGTAACGTCGCTGAACTGATTGTATTTTATAAGCTTTAGGTATATATTATGGTAAGCGCGTATATATGTTTCACTCCTCCCAGGCTAGATTTAAAAAAAGGTGATTAGAACGGGTCAAAGTAGAGCAAATTTGAAAAGGGCCTGGCCGGGAACACGTAAGCCCAAGAGCTAGGACCCAAACTTACAATCAGTCCAAAGTAGCAAGAAAATTAGGCTTTTATACTCTATTACAGCCATTTTAGTGAATTTTTCTTAAAGCGGTTAATAAAAAAATCGTCATAAGCCTGTGTCTGGCTACTAATCTTTCCCCATCTACCCAACCCCTTCTCTTACCCTTTTAACCTGCCTATAGCAAGAGCTTTCATTTTTGCCCGATTTCAAAACCCCTGCCAAGTAAAACATCAAATTTCATGCCACAAACCATGATCAATATAAACTACAGCCTATAAATAAACAGAAAAACATCATGTTGTGTACGACCTTGGAGTAGGTGGTAAAATACCGATGGAATGACGTCAAAGTCGTTAAATTTTAACTATTACCGAGTAATTAACTCTCATGTTAAACGTGGCGTACAAAAATAAATTAAAATAACTGTGAAATCGGGAGTTTAAACTCAATAATGTTTTAAAAAATAGAGTAAACAGTAAAATATTACAGTGAAATGTCTTAGTTTTATAAGAGAAAGAAAAGCTAAAATTAAAAAAATGAAAGCTAGACAAAGGGTAAGTTGAGGCAAGGCATGGTAAGATAAGGAATAACAATTTAAGGTAAGGTAAAGAAGATAGAGTAAGATAAAGTAATCGGGCAGAGAAAAGTAAGGTAGAGTCAGTAGGATAAGGTGAGTAGGGTAGGGTACAGTAGGGTAGGATAGGGTAGAGTAGGGTAGGGTAGGGTAGGGTAGGGTAGAGTAGGGTAGGGTAGGGTAGAATAGGGTAGGGTAGGGTAGGGAGGGTAGGGTAAGGTAGGGTAGGATAGGGTAGGGTAGGGTAGGGTAGGGTAGGGTAGGGTAGGGTAGGGTAGGGAGAGTAGGGAGGGTAGGGTAAGGTAGGGTAGGATAGGGTAGGGTAGGGTAGGGTAGGGTAGGGTAGGGTAGGGTAGGGTAGGGTAGGGTAGAGTAGGGTAGGGTAGGGTAGAATAGGGTAGGGTAGGGTAGGGTAGGGTAGGGTAGGGTAGGGAGGGTAGGGTAAGGTAGGGTAGGATAGGGTAGGGTAGGGTAGGGTAGGGTAGGGTAGGGTAGGGTAGGGTAGGGTAGGGTAGGGTAGGGTAGGGTAGGATAGGGTACAGTAGGGTAGGGTAGGGTAGGGTAGGGTAGGGTAGGGTAGGGTAGGGTAGGATAGGGTAGGGTAGGGTAGGGTAGGGGAGGATTTCTATAAAGGTTATGATAATCATTAGTTCTTAAAAACTAAACAACAATTTTAAAAACAACAGCTAAAAGTTCAAATTCACCCACAAAGACCACTGACAATTGTAAATAATTTTACGATTATATTATGGTTTCCTTCCGCCACGCTCACTGTACTAACCCTTATGATCGAGAGTTGAGCAAACCCTTCGAAAAAGTAATTAATTTCAAAAACACGTTAAATTTTGTCTTAAAACTTTGAAAAAACACACGGTGAAGGCTTCCTCTTCCTTCTTCTTCTGTGGTTGATGTAGTGGCCGCCTTCGGTTTGATCTCACGGTTTGTATACTTGGTATAGAAATTGTGATTGCTCCCCTATGCCAGCTCAACCCCTGTCCCTAAAGCCTTAGCCCAGAACTCTAGCCCAAAGCCCTAACCCTGAGCTCAAACCCTGAGCTCTAGCCCGGAGCCCTAGTCCAGAGACTTAGTCCAGAGCCCTAACCCAGAATCCTAGCCCGGCGTCTTAGCCTAGAGCCCTAGCCTTACTTTTTTTTTCTTATTCTAACTTACCTTACTCTACCTTATTTACCCTAACCTTGAGTTCCCGTACTTTACTCTGCTGTAACTTAACCTTTCTTACTTTACCTTACCTTACCTTATCTTAAAAATTTTTGAAATTTAAATTATTAAAACCTGTGTCCCACCACGAAAACCTCAAAAACCACCCATTGACGTCAGGCTTTGTAATTCAACTACTCTTCAATGCTTATTAAATCATTATTTTTATTTTTATAAACAACCTAGGTACTCATTGACGCATGTTTTTCACAGCTCAGTTAAAGAATTTTGATTTATAAACAAGTCATGTTCGTAATATATTACACAGCACTTTACGGGAAGGCGGAAGACTGGGTGTACCTTTGTTGGGAAGAAGAAGATTGCATTAAAAAATTATAAATTTCAAAAAGTACATTGTTATACAGTACGTTTTGATTTTTGTTTTGTCAAAAAAAATAAAAATTTCGAAAAAATAAAAAAAATGAGTTTTGAAGGTTTCGTTGCAGGACCCAAACAAATGATAAGAAAAATATATTTTTTAAAACTTTGTAAAATAAGTAGACGTTCAGCATAGTAAAAGCATTTGCAATATGAAACGTCTAAAAAAATCGTCTAAAAACCTGCCAAGCCAAGCCCAACCAAACCCAGCCAAGCCCAGCCAAGCCCAGTCAAGCCCAGCCAAGCCCAGCCAAGCCCAGTCAAGCCGAGCCAAGCCCAGCCAAGCCCAGCCAAGCCCAGCCAAGCCAAGCCAAGCCAAGCCAAGCCAAGCCAAGCCAAGCCAAGCCAAGCCAAGCCAAGCCAATCCAAGCCCAGCCCAGCCCAGCCCAGCCCAGCCCAGCCCAGCCCAGCTTAGCCCAGTCCAGTCCAGCCAATCCAAGCAAAAATAAACCAAACAAAACTAAGCCAAGCAAAGACCAGCCTAGCCAAGTCAAACCAAAACAAGCAAAACTAAGCCAAGCAAAGATCAGCCTAGCCCAGCTCAACCCAACCCAGTAACGTTTATCAGTCTTCCTATATTCTTCCTTCCTAGTCTTCTTAGTCTTCTCTGTCCTGACTGTGTTAGTCTGCTCTGCCTTACCCAGCCTTGCTCAGCTATTCCAAGTAAAATCATCCGTCCAACTCAAAAAATTATCAAAACCCAAATACCCCTTCCTCTTCTCCTCCCCTCGCATTCATCTCCTCTCCTCCTCACCTCCTCAACCTTGACATGCCCATGTGATCGTTTAAAAAAGTACTTGATTAACTCTTAAAACAACTCAAGGGTTTAGCAAATTAACGCCGTTTTACGGAACGATGACTTTTTTCGTCGGTGGGGTAAGTAAGCTGTTTTTTGTGGCGTGAAATTTAATACAACGCAATAAACAACAATTTTGAGTAGTGAAAAATTGAAAAATGCCTTGGGGTTTGGTTGCTTTAAAAAATTAAGTTTTGGAAGTTGTAGAAGAGTTACACTTCTATTAAGGAAAAGTGACAACAAACATTGCAAAAAATTGAAAAAATCATTAATTATTGACTAGTTTGAAAACAGTTTGCAAGAACGTGAAGTTTTTAGTTTTTAAAAATAAAAAAACTTCATAAAGCAAAACTTTTTTATAATAAATTCTGAAACAATCTTGCCTTGTTCTTCACTGTTCTGCTTTGCTCTGCTCGGATCACCTTACAAGGAAAGTACCCTGCCTGCCCCGCTCAGAATCAGCTCAAAATTTTATATGAATTCTTTGTACCACCAATAGTACTCACAAAAAATTTTAGCTTGCGCTTTTCAGTTTTAAATTTAAAATATTTGGGTTTCCCGCCAAGTTGGCAACTTTGGCATTGTGTTTTATGCATTTTTTCAACTTTCCAGACAAGCTACGCTTTGTCGCTCGATAAGAGCGAAATCATTCTCTTCCGTTTCCAAAACTTATCAAGAGCTTGCTGAGAACGGCCGAATCGGGGCGACCGTTTCCATTAATCAAGATCAAAGTCAATATATAATATGCGTTAAAAACCTAATAAACAAGTCAACTGAAAGTTTGTAAACGTTACAAACACTCTTACAAATTAAAAAATCTAAGTTTATTTAAAGGTACTCTACTAATATATCAAAGAAAAGTTCTTAAAAGTCAAAAATGGCAAAGTTACAAGCTTGACACATTTTGAATTTCTCGCCAAGTTGGCGAGAAATTCAAAACCAACTTTGATCTCGACTTTTCAGAGAGTTCCTGGAAAGCGCAATTTAGTACTTTGCTGAAGATCTTATATTTACATGATCTTCCTATTTAAAAAGATTGAAGTCAATCAGAGCGGAACAGGTCGGTTACTTTCCTTGGTAGTTCACTCCTTGCTACTCTGCCTTCTGCTGTTTTGCTTTTGCATTAGCAGTTTAGTCAGGTCCTGCCCAGCTTAGCACAGCGAAGCCAATTTCAGCGCACCTAGCTTTTTTCTATCTTTTTGCTTTGCCCTGACCTGGCTTTCTCTGCTCTGTCTTGTCCTGCCTTGCCTTGTTTTATTCTGCTCCATCATCCTTTAGCACTTTGTTCTTGAGTCTCATTACAACCATATATGTTTTATACATTACAATAGACTTCCATCCAGGAATCAAATTTGGAGAAGTTGTCTAGCCAAGAAAACTTTACATAAAAACAATTGAATTTAGTCTGGCTTATCATGCGGGTGATTTGCTAATTGCATTAAACTTTAACTAAATGGTTTACAGCAAACTCTTTACAACATAATTTGAACTGATACACACGGTATTAAGCTTAAAAGGTAAATTTAGTCAAACTGTTCTTAGTTGAGGTTACTTAGCTTTGTTGTCCATACAGATAAAATAAGAAAATAAAATTTTTTTTGGTTGGCTTGGTTTAGTTTGTGTTGGCTTAAACAAGACAGAACAATGAAGTTTTTTTTGGCATAATAAACGTTAAAATAACAATTTTAAAGCTTATATAACAGTAGTACTGATAACTTTTTTTATTTTCGAATTTCAAAAACAAGATCAAAAAAGAACAGCCAAGTTATTAGCCTCAATTTCAGCCGTAGCAGCCCGAATTCTAGCCTGTTCCGCGATCCACAAAGCCTTGGCTTTGGCCTGTGAAGCCAACAGTTGAGCGTTGATTTCGGCTACACGTTGTTCCGCCTCCAACTTTCGTCTAGCTGCATTGGCAATGATTTGAGAGTTGAGTAGGTTAGTCGTTGCTTGAGACTGAGCGGCCAAGCGAGCTGTATTCGCGTTCCATGCGGCCAAATTGGCCGCCGCTTGCGCTTGGATTTGAGCGTTACGAGCTTCTGCTTCGGCTTCTAACACTTCAAATGATTGACGTTTTGGTCGGATCAGAGTTGTAGTAGTTGATATGATTAGAAGGAGAAGAAGGGTAGATTTTAAGATAAACATCTTTCTAAAAAGGTTATTTTAGGTATGATATGCAGTGATAATACATTTAAAATATACTAGACATAAAATAGCAAGAACTTTCTTTACAAAGCATAAAATGACAAGAACTTTCCTTAAGTAACAAAAAAGGGCAAGAACTTTCTTGACAAAACAAGAAATGGCAATAACTTTCTTTACAAAACAAAAAAAAATAGCAGGAACTTACTTTACAAGCCTGTAAATGACAAGAACTTTTTTTACAAAACAAAAAACTCAAAGAAAACAAAACTTACAATATTAATAATCTTTTTTAGAATAGACGCCGGATAAACAACCTACACTACGTTTCTTATATATGTGATTTGAGACAACCCACCTTAATCTTCTAGAAACATATTGACCTTGATTTGGATAATATTCGTAAAAAAACGAAAATATAAGGACGCCGTGTACCCGTTGCTTTCGTAATCTACACGTATGTTAATGTATTTTAGGTTTTGATCTATGTTCATTGAATTTTAATATCTGCGCTTTGCCTTTGGTTTTGCCATGTGTTATCCTTTACATGCCCTACGCAGCTTTACCCAGCCTTGTAATGTTCTTCTCAGTCTAGCCCATCCTAGTCTATCCCTGTTTTGTTTAGCCCGGCCCTGCCGGTAAAAAATTTCTTTTAATCACCCCCGCCTCTTTCTTTTTAAAAAAAAATAATTTATTATGATTTATTTGCAAAATTATTTTCTACAAAAATGTAAATACAAAGATATTAAAAATTGTCTAATAAAATCAGATAATAATAGCAATATTATTCATATACAGGCTCAAAAGGCTTTCCAGCCAAAGCTCCACCGTCTACAACATAGTTAGAGCCAGTGACATAAGATGCTTTATTTGAAGCCAAAAACGCAATAACATTGGCAACTTCTCTGACCGTTCCAGTACGTCTCAATGGGATCCAATCGTGTCGGTTTTCATACATTTGATCAACTTCTTCCTTATTATCAGCGTGACGGAGACGGAATTTGGTGTAGATTGAGCCTGGGCTAAAATCAAAGCCTTAGTCTAAATCCCTAGCCCAAAGCCTTAGCACCAGCCCAGAGCCTTAGCCCAGAGCCCTAGCTCAAAACCCTAACCCAAGCCTTAGTTCAAAGCCATAGCTAAAGCCCTAGCCTAGAGTCTTAGCCCAAAACTCTAGTCTAGAACCCTAGTCCACAACCTTATCCCAAAACCCTAACGCTAGGTTTAGTTCAATCTCATAAAGATCATATACCTACCTAACAGCATTTATTCTGACATGCTTGTGAGCATACTGTAAAGCCGAGTTCTTGGTGTAGTTATTCAACGCTGATTTACTGGCACAGTAATGTTGAGAAGGCGGGAAACACATTTTCGAAGCAATCGAACTGACATTGACAATGTTGCCATGAGTTATTTCGAGATGGTTGATGGCTTTTCTTGTCATCGATATTATACTAAAAAGTAGTTTTTAAAACAGTTTTACTATAGGTAGGGTAGAATAAGTTAGGGTAAGTTAGGGTAAAGTAGGATAAGTAGGGTAAGGTAAAAAAACAAAAAACTGCCTTTCCAACCCAAAAAACTTACCTTCTAAGATTAACATCCATGACATAGTCAAAGTTTTCAAGCGATTCCTGTTCAAGGCCAGGCCCTTGACATAAACCGGCATTATTGACCAGAATGTCAACTTTGGCAAACTTTTCGACCGTTTTGTCAAACAGCTCATCTTGAATCTTTTCGTCTTGAATTGGACCTTGTACGTACTGATAATGGGTCTCCTTGATGCCGGCTTCTTTTAGCAATGCTATGGTCTCCTGAAAATGGCAAGAACTTTCTTTACAAAGCAAAAAATGTCTAAAACTTTCTTTACAAAACATAAAAAGGCAAGAACTTTCTTTACAAAACTAAAAATAGCAAGAACTTTCTTTACAAAACTAAAAATAGCAAGAACTTTCTTTACAAAATACAAAATGGCTTTTTACTCACATTAATCCCCTCAAGCGACTGTCCATGCACAGTAACATAAGCTCCTTCCTCAGCGAACAACAATGCACATTCTTGGCCAATGCCCGAGCTCGATCCGGTCACAATCACTGACTTTCCTTTAAAAGACATTTCTCGATGGACTGAAAATGGAAAAGTGATCTTTTATGTTCGTCACTTGGGTTGTTTATCAATATGTTTCGTTATCAACCGCGAAGATGATGGCAAACGGAAGAAACGTGAAGAGAGATTAAGTCAGCGTTCTTTGCTGCGGCTTCAGAGCTTCAGGCAAAACAAAGAAGTATACATTTATGGTGATAACGTATTTTTGAGAAAGTAATCGGTTGTTTTCTTTTTTAAAAAAGTGTTTGAATAAGGTATGTTATCATACCTCCAAAAAACAAGAAAAAATGTTTTAGAAATATTTATAACATACCAAAAAATTCCAAATAAAGTGTTATTAGTAAACCTGTCAAGCGGCAGGACTAACAAGGCATTGTTACAAACAGCTCCGCGCTAATTATAAAACGAGTTATACCGTTGGAAAGAGCGTTACAAAGTAGTCTAGAACCAGCTTTTTGTAGCTGCCGAAATCATGTGGCACGGCAGCTACAAGCTTTGTAACGGGACCTACAGACCGGGCCTTGGCTTAAGCTTCGGCACCCGGCAGTTTAAGCTAAGCCCCTGGGGCATTAATTTAGGCTTTAAATTTCGGTCCAACCTGTGCCAGTCCGACCCGGCTCTTACCAAACAATTTTAGGTTCGAACCTAGGTCTAACCGTCAGGCACCAACCACAATATCAGACATGGAAAAAGTGAACCAAAAAAAAATTTTTTTACAGAAAATTGAAACATATCTCTGTGGGAAGGGTTAGAAAATATAAAAATTTTTTGGAATTTACTACTTATAAAATCTTCTGTTCCACCGAATATAAAATATCACGTTAACCAGAACAAAGATCAAAAAGTAAAGCCATCAAAAAACGTTTTGAATGGTCTTTCAAATAAAGTATAATATGCATATGCGATAAAACAAGTGACATCGAAAGTTAAATATTCAGTTTCAAAGTTGAGGCACTTAAAAAGTAACATTTCGAAAATATGAAACATTTTAAACATAGACTTTCTTGAAAAATGATCTTGTTTGAATACAGACAAAAAATAACGTGTATTACAACAAGTCTACTAACCGTATTAAATTTAATGAAAAGATAAACGAAAGATCAAGATAGATCAGATATATATCATAATTTGTTGTTCTTGTGATGTTTTTTTAATAGTTTGCATCAACCACAAAACACAAAAATAAATGAACAGGTTTTAATTGATAAAAAAAACAAAATAATCATACTTACAATTTGTAACTTGCTAGACCCCTTCTTCCATCTATTTAGTTTAGCATGTTATGCTTTAAAAGAGACTTTCTGAGACCGTGAAGCATCCTGGAACAGGCATGTGCACTAGAAATTTACTCCATGTTTTTATTTGCTAAATTCATGAGATAGACGGTTTTAAGGTATGCGGTAAAGTGATTTCGGACAAAATGCCGTTTTGGCACTTTTATGCCATTTTTTGTTAACATACTGTTAAAATATACCAAAAAATCAATAGTCCGCCAAATTTTCTGAAAATTTGTACACTTACGTTTTTGACCATGCCAAAAAATATTGTAATTGAAAATTTTTTTCTATCGGTACCGTAACCTACCGTAATCCGACCGGTCGATTATAAATGTGCAAATATCTAAAAAGTTAACACGGATGTTCATAAACAATTTTTGCATATTTAAAATCTCCATGAAAATTGGATTATCATAGGCTATACTCCCGTTTCTAGTCCGATGGGTTTTGGGGGTTTTTGGTCGATTCAAAAATTAAATTACGGTAGGTTACGGTAACGATAGAAAAAAAATTTTCAATTGCAATATTGTTTGGCATGGTCAAAAACATAACTATCCACAATTTCAAAACGTTTGATGCATTATTGGATTTTTTTTAAAAATTTTTTTTTCTGCACGGTCTGCTACCGTAATTTTTGAACCAACCAAAAACCCCCCAAACCCATCGGACTAGAAACAGGTGTATAGCCTATGCTGATCCAAATTTCATGGAGATTTTAAATATGCAAAAATTGCTTGTGAAGATCCGTGTTAACTTTTTAGATATTTGCACTTTTATAATCGACCGGTCGGATTACGGTAGGTTACGGTACCGATAGAAAAAAATTTTCAATTACAATATTTTTTTTTGCATGGTCAAAAACGTAAGTGTACAAATTTTCAGAGACTGTTGATTTTTTGGTATATTAACAGTATGTTAACAAAAAATGGCATAAAAGTGCCAAAACGGCATTTTGTCCGAAATCACTTTACCACATACCTTAAAACCGTCTATCTCACGGATTTAGCAAATAAAAACAAGGGGTAAATTTCTAGTGCACACCTAGCTTCACGGTCTCAGACATCGTCTTTTAACATATAGCATATTATAAGGCAGGCTAAAGCACAATAGCTTTTTAGACCTAGTTAGGAGTTAAACTTAAAACTTTATAATATAAAACTTATTGGATATTTTTTTCCTATTTTGTTACTTTGATATTGTGTTTTGGTTTAGTTTCATTAACTGTCACATTGCATTAATTTAACTTAGGTTTTTTATAAGGAATACATGTAGTAGTTGCTACAGCAAAACAAAATTAAATGTACATATAGTTTAGAACTTTGATACCTTCTAAATAAATAAAACTTTATAAAGTAAGAAAAAAATGTTATGTCTACAACAAACGTTTCACTTGTGATTTTTTAAGTTGACATTTATAGGAGTTTGGTGTTAATACAGTAAAACCACTATATAATAAATTGCTAGGTAAATTAAAATTTGTTCGTTACGAAGAGGTTACGGTATAGAAAGGTTTAAAATGCACAGTGTAACGATAGACGGGGATTCAAAAGTTGTTCTTTATACAGGGGTTTCGTTATATATTAGCAATAGTTTTTTACAGAAAAATGGCGAGTACTTCTTTTAAAAAAACAAAAAATTACAAAAACTTTCTTTACAAAGCATAAAATGGCAATAACTTTATTTACAAGACAAAATGTAGCAAAACATTGTTTTACGAAACAGAAAATTTTTTTGGCAAAACCAAAATGCACTTTCGAAATTTCAGATTATTAAGTTCAAAATTTTTTGCATTTTCTGCTACATATTGCATTAACCAGTTCATCGATGAACCGTACCTTCGTACAGTTCGGTTTCCGATACAAAGGCACGAAACACAGGAAAGGCGCGTTAATTTCTTAGCGTTTAAGCGGGGGTTCGTTAACTTGCCGACCTTGTGTCGGTTTTCGATTGCGGTCTCCGCTCTTAATCGATGTTTTGATTGGAGTCGAGCGTGTGGCATGTCTTTTTTTTGTGCTCACGCTACAAAACTTGTTATATGATAACGGTTAAGACGGTTTTCTTCGGTTCCTTCGGCTTTTACATTGGGGTTAAAGTACTGGAGGCTGGGGTAGATAGGGGGTCATAACAAGAGGGTGGAAAGGGGGAATAGGGTAAGGGGAGAGAAGGGTAAGAAAAAAAGAGGTAAGGAAGGGATGCGAACTGACAGTATCTTAATATTACCTCTCGTGGAAATGTAAAAAAAAAATTTTAGGGTTGACCAACTAATTTTATGGCCGTCCTGAGCAAATTGCAACGATGGCTACCATCAGTCCGAGAAACAACGCCGGCGTTGTTGGGAACGGCCGCCGTCGTGCTGATTATTAAATTTTACAAACGCAAACATAATTTACAGTAAGTTCTAAAAATACTTTCTTAAATTAAAAAAAAAATTTTAATTTTGCCTTGCCTTGCCTTGCCTTGCTTTGTCTCGCCTTGCCTTGCTTTGCCTTGCCCTGCCTTGCCATTACCTTTTACTACCTTAATCTACATTACCCACCTACCATTGCCTTGCTCAACATTGCCTTGTCCTGCTCTACCCTACTTTAATCTACCCTACCCAACACACCCTTTTTGTGCACTGCCTTGCTTTACCTTCTCTTGCCATGCTTTGAATTGCCCTACTTTACCTTGCTATGCTTTATTTTGTCTTGCTCTTTGCTTAATCTACCTTTTACCTAACCTGTCCTACCCTAGCCTTTACCTAGCTTGCTGTTTGCCTAATCTAGATTTTACTTAACTTAGTAAAAGTACAATACATAAAATCATAGTGAAATATTCAAACCTTTCAGTCAACTATCGTCCGGTCCCCTGGTAAAACTAGACAAATCCAAAAAGAAAGACGAGAAGTCTCACGTAGACGCGGTTTTCTTCAAAAAATTATGGAAAATTGTAAAAATTTTGATTCCAAAATTCTTCTCCGCCGAAGTATTTTACCTCGTTCTAATCGCGGTAACTCTACTGTCACGAACCTACGCCGATCTGTGGATGATCACTACCTCAACATCGATTGAGGCAGCGATCATTGACCGCGACAAACGACAGTTCATGAAATGGATCATACACTACCTGATGTGTATGCCTATTATATCTGTGGTCAATAACTTACTCAAGGTAACTTTTGAGTTTGATTTGATTTGACAAGTTTAGGGGTTCAAAGTTTTAAACTTTTTTCAAATTTTTGGATTTTGAATAAAAATTTTAAGGTTTTGAAGTGGCAGTGGATGCTTTTGCAAAAAATGACAAAAACTTTCTTTACAAAACAAAAAATGGCAAGAACTTTCTTTACAAAACATAAAATGGCAAGAACTTCATTGACAGTTATTAAAATGCTAAAATAGCCTTAACTTATTTCAGTTCGGCCTAAGCGAACTAAAGCTCCGCTTCCGTGAACGCTTGACTCAACATCTATATCAACATTACCTAACTGGTTTTACCTTCTACAAGATGTCAAACCTAGACAACCGAATAGCCAACGCTGACCAACTCCTAACTCAAGATGTAGATCGTTTCTGTGAAGGCATAGTTGAGTTCTACTCTAACATCTCCAAACCTCTGGTCGACGTAGCACTATACGTCAGCACCATTGGTGGTGCTCTGGGCTTCTCAGCACCAGGTCGTCTCTTTGCCTACCTCATCGCATCAGGAGTGGCATTAACCTATCTTCGTCGACCAATCGGCAAACTGACAGTTGTTGAACAACAACTCGAAGGTGAATTTAGATACGTCAACTCGAGGTTGATCATGAACTCGGAAGAGATAGCCTTCTATCAAGGTAACGAAAGAGAAAAGACTTCCATTATGAGTGCCTTCCAACGGATGGTACAACATCTACGACACTTGATACTGTTCAGGTTTTCACTTGGATTTGTGGACAATATTGTGGCTAAATATGTGGCTACTGTGGTGGGATGGTATACAATGAGTAGACCATTTTTGAATAGAAAGAATGAAGCCTTGAGGGATAAGAGCAAGAATGAGCTTATGCAGGTAAGAGTGAAAGAGATTTTTTGAGTAGTTTTATAAATTATCGTAACAAGAAACTTATAATAACTCATTGTTTCAGTCCTTTGAGTGTCATACAGATTTGACTGTAGTATTATTAAGGTTATTTTAGTCAAGGGGCAAAGTATAAATGAGCAAAAAGGGAAAAATAGATGAATAAAAGAAGAAGAATCAGAAGAGTAAGAAAATAATTAAAAATAGAAAGAAAAATAAAAAAGTGAAAAGAAGGAAAAAAAATAATTAAAAAGAGCAAAAAGAAGACGAAGAAAAAGAAAAAATATAAAAAATATAAATACGAGTAAGAAGGGTAAGAAGGAGAATAAAAACATAAAGAAGAGCAAGAATAAATAGAAGAAGGAGAAGAAGAAAAAAAGAAAATAAAGAACAATAAAAAGAATAGAAAAGAAAACATGAACAAGATGAAAAAGGAGAAAAAGATAAAGATAAAAAGATAAAAGAAGAAGAAAAATAATAATAAAAAAGAAAAAAATTTTTTGAATCATAACAGGCTGATCACATTTAACGTTTTCTAAAACAAATATGTAGAGGGTATAGCTACCGAAGCAACCTTTTGCCGGCTTATCCAGGTCCTTATCGAGAATCGACAATTTAAAAAACTTTTTTTTACATATTTGCGCCAATGATACTAAAATACGTTAAAAAATAACAATTTATAACAAGACTTTGCTTTCAGGACTACTACAACAGCGGTCGAATGATGTTTAAGTTGGCCGAAGCGCTAGGAAGACTGGCATTAGCTGGCCGTGAACTTACCCGCCTTTCTGGCTTTACGACTCGTGTTGATTCTTTGATCAATGTTCTTGATGATTTAGAAAATGGCAAGTATCAACGAACAATGGTTGCTGGAGGAAAGCAAATTGATGAGGAAAAGGTAGGCTAAAACACATTACCTTGCTCTATCTTATCTTACCCTACCCTGAGCTGCACGACTTTTACTCTACATTACTTTACCTCACACTATAGCTCTAAAATTTACTGTTTTAGGCCCTACTATCAGCTGAATCAATGGGAATAACCCCAGGAAAAGGTCAAATCTTCCTTCAAGACAATGTCATCAGATTTGAAAACGTACCCTTAGTTACTCCAAATGGTGATGTTCTAGTAGAAGCTTTGAATTTAGAAGTACCATCAGGAAGGAATGTTCTTGTTTGCGGACCCAATGGATGTGGCAAATCATCATTATTCCGAATTCTCGGCGAGTTATGGCCATTGTGGGGAGGAAAACTGACTAAACCTGAATGTGGAAAACTGTTTTATGTGCCACAGGTGAGGTTTTTGATGAATATAAGTGACTTAAAATGCCTTTTTTCATCTTTTTTTACAGTAGTAAGCAAATGTACCCAAATTTTTAAATTTGAAATTTTGGGCGTGGTAAAAAAAATTTTTTTTGGGGGTGGATTTTTTTTTGTTTTTTAATAATTTTCTAGTGTTATTGACTTTACCCTACCCTACCTTACTCTACCCTACTCTACCCATTAAAAAAAACATTTGTATTTCAGCGTCCATACATGACCATCGGAACCCTGAAAGACCAAGTGATCTACCCAGACAAGCCAGCTGATATGCGTCGTAAAGGAATAAACGACAAAGACCTAATTCAATTCCTAGACCAAGTACAACTCTCATACATACTCAGTCGTGAAGGTGGATGGGATTCGGTACAAGATTGGATGGACGTGCTATCTGGTGGGGAGAAGCAACGTATAGCAATGGCACGACTCTTCTATCATCGGCCACAGTTTGCCATTTTGGATGAATGTACGTCGGCGGTTAGTGTTGATGTTGAAGGGGCTATGTATGAAAAGTGTCGTGAGCTTAACATCACATTGTTTACTGTATCACATCGCAAGTCGTTGTGGACGCATCATGAATATTATCTACAAATGGATGGGCGAGGGCATTACGAGTTCAATCAGATTACGGATAACGTTGTACAATTTGGGTCATAAGTGGTATTGTGTAGTACTGGTTGAGTCATAAATTGTACTATAGTGGACTATTGATATTCATACTGTGTAGTACAATATGGATTATATAAAAAATTGTAAAATTATTTGATGTTTGAATAAAGTTATAAGATAGAGATTGAGCGAGTAAGATAAAGTAAGGTAGTGTAGGGTAGACATAGGAAACGGGCCGGTTTTATTTTTTAGGCTTGATTTTCACATTTTGCTTAAGCCCGGCTCTAATGTTTTTTTTAATTTTCAAACGGACTGGGCTTCTCGAGCCGGACTGCCCTTAATTTTCTTTTCAGCCTAAATTTTGCTTAGGTTTGTTTAGTTCTTCATGTCTCCTACAAATACAGTGCTAAAGTCTAATTTGAAATTAAGAATGGTTTTGAAGTGACTTTTTTACGAGCTAAACGCCTGGCAAAAGTTATATACTCAGTGCTATATAGTACGATTGGTCGTTAGAGTATAAGTGAAGTTAAAATACGCTCAGAATGGTCTTTCTATAATATGCTTCTTAATACTATTGTATTAGTTTATTGCTACTGCTAACCAAACATAATTTTAGCAGACTAATCTTTTCCACGACCACACAGTGGGCCTTTCCATAGATCTTCGGATAATTGTTAGACCGTCTTTTTATATTTAAATATTTAGGGGAACTTGGGATAAATATTTTATAGTTACTTTAAAGCGTCATCAAGGAGATTAATTGTTCTAGAGAAAGAAACAAAAAGCTTGGTACTACAGAGGTTTTAAGTTTTGGGTGGGTTATTTTAGATGGCAGAGGGGGAAAGAAAATTTTTTTTTTCAAATTTTAAAATGTTTTAAAGGGTTAACAGAGAAGGCCAACATCAAGACCTTTAAAACTTTTGAGGGGGGGGGGGGGTTACAATTTGTAGTATAAAAAGGGGGGGGGGTTAAAATTTGTAGTACATTTACATTTATATGACAAATTCTTTATTTTGCCTTTTCATTTTAGCAATTTTAAGATTTAGCTCTTAGTGGAAAATTTAAAATTAGAAGCCCATTAGATGGGCTCTTTAAGACCCTCAGGCCGAGTGGTTAAGAATCAAAAATTAGAAAAATTAGCTTACTGAGCATTAAATCGTATTCTTTGTTGCAGTAATGTAGCTTTTCGTTTATAAACAAAGCAAACATTTTTTATTTTACTGCTTTTAAATATCGTATATATATTTACTTTAACTTTTTTTATAGACGATTCTTAAAGATAGACTAGGACTGAATAGGATAGACAAGGCAACTTACCTTTTAATCTTTAGTACAACTTTACTCAACGTGTCACATAGAAAAAAGCAGATAAAAATATTATGGTAGGCTACCATGTGTAAGTAAGACACAGCAGAGTTGGGTAGGCTATCGTAAAGAAAAGTAGGGTAGGATAGTGTAGGAATAAGAACAATGTTGTCTTTGTTTATACGTACTTGTCAGACTATATGAGATCACAATACATAGACAAAAAAAAGTTTGTGAAAGTCTTAGAAAATTGTATTACCAACGTTCTAGGAAGACATTGTTAAACGTTCTTTTAGCAGTGAGATTTAAAAAAAACGGAATTCAAATCTATAGACTAAGCCGTAAATTGAGCCCTTGCCTAAACCTTAGCTTAAACCTTATTTTGAGTTCAAAAATAAACCTAAGCCCTAGCCAACCTTAGCCGAAGCCTTTACTTAAAAATTGTAAGCCAAAACTTGAGCCTTGTACAAAAAGCTTAATCCTTGACCTAAGATTTCTTTTGAAGTTTTGCCTAAGCTTTAGTCTAGCCGTAGCTTAAGTATTAGTGTAAGCCCTAAGTGTCAGTTCTAGCTTTGAGCCCTAGTTTTAACCAAGGTCTTAGCTTTAAACCTAACATTACCTTGTCTTAAACTAGCTTTTTCTTAATTATACTCTAGCTCTGTTCGTAGCCCGCCTTAAATTGAATCCCTATTTTACGTTTTTTAAGCAAAAATGACACTATAAACCATACAGTATTTAAACATGTTATGCTACCCCTGCACTTTCCGTGCAATTACCTCAACAATCTCGAAAGCCTTAAAAACTTTGAAGAGTCGTAAATGCGGCTTTGAAATAACTCTATAGTGTATTACCCTCTTCCCTTTCCGCGATTTATTCTTCCGGCTTTACATTGTTTTTGTCCTTCTGGAACGAGTTCGGCAGTTGTTTTTTTGATTTTTTTGATTGTTTTAGTACTGTAATTTCAGAAATTAAAAAATTTCGATATGTTTTGGGCTTTATGACAAATTTAAAAAAAATTTTTTGAATTTTTTAAAATTTTTTTAAAATTTTAAAAATTCATAAATAAACCAACAACATGGCGTTTCAAATAAATTATTGTCACCGGGATTGAACTGTTGCATTTCTGAGCGAATTTTTGAAACATTTGACTTGTTTGCCTTTCATTGCCAAGGGATTCTGCAACCTTATGAATCTGAACGGTTAATCCTTGTTGTTGTACGGATTAATACAATTTTTAAACAATGGAAAATGAATTCATACTATTGTAGGATTTACTTTTACAATATTAATGTAAAGTATACTTTTAGTTTGTTTAGAAGGCAAATTTAGTATTTTATTACAAATAATATTATAGGTGGATAGCTGGAGTTGCTAAAAAAATTTTTTTGAAAGTAGGAGATGTTGTAGAAGGTTTAGGTACATGTGGAAGAAGGATACGTTAGGGTGGGGTAAGTAGAGATAAGATTGGTTACCTCACTTCTAACGTACATCATGTTGAAGGTAAAGTAAATAGAATAAGCCAGGATAGAGATACGTAGTTTGTGCTATAGTAGTGTAGAGTAGGGTGGAAGATATTGACATACAAGGCAAGGTTAGTAGATTTAGGTAGGATAGCTCTTTTTAAAAGTTGGGTAAAATATTTTATGACAGTATTGATTCAGATAGGGCAATATAAAGTTGAATAGGGTAGTGTAGTACTGAGTTGAAAAAGGTAGGGAAGGGTAGGGTAGGGTAGGGTAGGGTAGGGTAGGGTAGGGTAGGGTAGGGTAGGGTAGGGTAGGGTAGGGTAGGGTAGGGTAGGGTAGGGTGGGGTAGGGTAGGTTATGATATTGTACTATTGTTTTAGGAAGTATTTGCAGCGTGCACAACAATAACAACAACAAGCCGCTCGCAATTAGACCTGAAATTCGATATTAAACGTAAATAAAAACCTTGAGGCGGTTCCGTACTCGGAATGTGCCTTATTTTCGTTGATGTTCCAATACATAAATTATAGATTAATTATGTACTTGCGTCGCGACTGTCATAGATACGCTGCTTTGAAGGTCTTATTCGTTTTGTATGAATGAAAACATACAACGAAACGTGGACAATGTCTAGGAAGTTTGTGTTTCAATATGACATTGTTTGTCACGGCAGGGGGGGGAGGGGGGTGGTGGTTTTTGGTTACGGCAGTTGTTAAAACAAATGTAAAAAAAAGTATTAAAAAATAAAAAAAAATTTAAAAGGCTTAAAAATAAATAAAAAATAGATTTAGAGTAAGAGGCAGACCAGAGCACAGTTACGGTAAAGCAAGCGGTAGACTAAGGTGAGTTGGTTCAAAGCAGGGGTAGGATACGGAAAATAATTATCATGGCTTAGGCTAAAATATTGGCTATGCTTTTAGGCTGGGGCTTTGGACTAGGGCTTAAAATACATAAAAATAGGCATAAAGAAAGGAGTAGACGAAGGAAGGGTAACGGTTTTTTTAACTAGAGGTAGACGAGGTAGGTCTAGTAAGACGTAATATGGAAAAAGGTAAGAATGGGTAGGCTAACGCTAGGGCTTGAGCTCTGGGCTAGAGCTCTAGGTTAAGGCTCTTAGTTGGGATTCTGGGCTTGGGGATTTGGGCTAGGGCTCTGGGATAGGACTCTGGGATAGGGCTTTGCGTTGGGGCTCTGCGCTAGGCTATATAAGACAGGTGAGGTAAAGTAGTTAATTACCGACTTTCTTGTTATTTTGGTGTAAATATTTACTACCGGCAGTAAATACAGTATTATCCGAGTATTAAGCCTATTTGTTTTTTACTGTTCTCATGGTAAACATAATACTGTCAGTGAAAAAAGAACCGTTATACTGTTACTATTATTATCGTTTTTTACCGTCTTAGTAGTACAACAGCATTATGTTATTACAAAACTATAAAGTATTATAGCAACTTATCATGGGTGTGGTGAAACATAGATCTTTATTGTGCTATACCCTGTCGTATAGTACTAAGTTTTACAGTATCATAGCACATTTAATCAACAACACTTAGCTTTTACTGTGTAATACTCATATTTACAGTTATATATTGACTATGATAAGCCCGCCTCATTAACTTTACTTGAACAAACAATACACTTTAACTGAAAATGGCATGATTCTGTCTATTGTCCTGCCCAATTGAATTACGGTACACGTAACCAGCCGTTCTTCTTCTTTTCTTTTTTTTCAAGTTTAAACACGGAAATTCAAATAGATTCATGATAATATAGTTTATGTTGGACTTTTTTGTCTAAAAAATTTCAAAAATTTTTATGTTTTTTTAAAATTTTTTAACATGCAGTACTGCATGTAATGTAAGAGTAGTATAGAGGTAAATTCAAGGCCAATGCTAAAACTGATGTTAAGTGTAAGGTTAAGGGTAAAGCTAGAACTAGAGCTAGAGGTAGAGTTACGCTATAGCTAGAGCTAGAACTAGAGCTAGAGTTAAGGATAAGGGTAAAGTTAAAGATTTGTTTTAAATTTAAATTCAGGCTCGGACTTAGGTTTAAACTCAGGTTCAAGCTCAGGCCCAGGCTAAGTCTATGGCAAGTTCGAGTGGGCGTAGGTTTTAAGGTACGGCTAAGAAAGTATGTTAAACCTTTATAATAGCTTGTTTAATCACCTAAAATTAACAAAAACTAATGATTTATAGCCTATCTTCTTGTCTAACAATCCACTGTTTTAGCCAAATAACTCTTGAGTAAATTAATTACTTTTAATTTGTTTTGTTATAT